CAGTTTTCCCAGCACCATTTGTTGAAGAGACTGTCTTTTTCCCATTGGATATTCATTCCTTCTTTGTCGAAGATTAATTGACCACATCACTGTGGATTTATTTCTGAGGTTTCTATTCTTTTCTATTGATCTATGAGTCTGTCTTTGCACCAGTGCCATAGTGTTTTGATTACTGCAGCTTTGTAATATAACTCGGAGTCTGGAATTCTGGTCTCTCCAGTTCTGTTTTTCGTTTTCAAGATTGCTTGGGCTATTTGAGGTCTTTTGTGCTTCCATTCAAATTTTAGCATTAGTTCTAGTTCTGTTAAAAATGCTGTTGGTATTTTGATAGGGATTGCATTAAATGTGTAGATTGGTTTAGGTAGTATAGACATTTTAACAATATTCTTCTAACCCATAAGCATGGAATGTCTTTGCATTTCTTTGTTTCATCTTGAATTTCTTTCATCATAGTTTTCAGAGTACAGGTCTTTACCTCTTTGGTTAAGTTTATTCCTGGATATTTTGTTGTTTTTGATGCAATTGTAAATGGATTGTTTTCTTAATATTGCTTTCTGTTGCTTCATTATTCGTGTATAGAAATGCCACAGGTTTCTGATTATTGATTTTGTGACTTTACTGAATTCATTAATCAGTTCCGGGTTTTTTTTGTTTGTTTGTTTTTGGTGGAGTCTTTAGGATTTTCTGTATATAGTATCGTGCCATCTGCAAATAGAGTTTGACTTCTTTCTTACTACTTTGGATCCCTTTTATTTCTTTTTGTTGTCTGATTGCTGTGGCTAGGACTTCCAGTACTGTGTTGAATAAAAGTGGTGAGAGTGGATATCCTTATCGGATTGCTGATCCCGTTGGTACCAAGTCTGCCCGTTCCAGTCATGGGTCCTGGCCGGCCGAATGTCTGTGGTGTCGGGGATTGGTCCTATCAAGTTTATATATGACCCTACTTTTAATTCACATTTATCATTTCAGTTGATTTAGTTATGTGAGCCATTTCTTTGCTTGAAAATGAGCATTTTTGGTCTCGATAAAGTCTTAGCTGTGTGACGGCTAGATTTGGGGGATGGTTTTACCTTTGTTTGCACCATTCCTTGATTTCTAAGGGGGATGGTCTTGGCTACAGTCCAAACAGAAGGACAGTTTTAATATTTGTAGGAACGTTTCTTCCCACCTTCTTCCTGCCCCGCTGAGCTGCATGAGCAGCTGGGAGAGGCCTCACCCAGCACCTGCTTCTCTCCTGGGGCCTGTTCTGCCCTCTGTCTCCTAAGTCAAGGGATTGAATGAGAGGCCCTGTCCAAGACCGCTGTCTCACTAACGGCCTCTCATTTCCCTTTTCTCCTGAAGAGGCCATCCTGTCCTCCCCTCTCTCATGCATTGGCCCCAGGCTGGTGTTCATAGAACAAAGAGGGACAAGGCAAGAACTCTGTGGGGGGGTGTGATACTGCTGGTGGGGCTCGGGCAGCTTCCCCACGGCCGGAAGGCTGTTGAGGACCTTGCCGGGAGACCAGGGTGTGGAGGACCCTTGCAAGAAGATTGACCAGTCTTGTCGGTGGCTAAGAAACACGGATTCTGTCTCAAAGGTGACAGAATGTGCTGGCAGAGCAGAAGCAGAGAATCTTCTGTGACAAATCTCATGATCTGGGACGTGGCCTGTTGGCACTAGAATGGTCTCAGGAGGGAGGTGTCACGTGATCCTGTCTAATAGATAATGCCCCAGGATGAGGCCCTAGGGTCTGCAGCCGCGGGCGCGTGCACCTGACAACGTGCTTCCACACTCACACGACGCCAGGGTGTGTGACATTGTCATTACGGCCCCAGTGTTGAGAAGGGCGTGCGGAGGCCCAGGGAGGGGAGGCAGCTGCTTCGGTTACACGGTTCGTCAGGGCTCCAGACCTGGAGGTGCCTCCTAAAAGCTGTGTGTTGGGTCCAATGTGAGTCCTGTGCATGTTGGTCCCATTCAATCCCATAACAACCCTGGCAGGTGACTTCATCATCCCCCTTTTCCAGAATAGAAATGAAGACAGTTTGCCCGTTTTTCCTGGCCGGTCAGCAGCTGGGCAGGGTTCAGACCTGAGTCTGTCTGAGGCTTCTTCAAACATACACAAGTAGGAGTTGTTGTTTTTTTAAAAAGGCTGAAACCAGGACTCGGATATTCGTCTTTCCATGTTTACTCCCTGTAGACAGTCACACAGATTGAGGAAGTGAGGTCATCTGTCTTTTGTTTCATTAACTTAAACACAACAGGTTTGTCTGTAACTTGTTGTCCAGCGGTGCCCAGTACTCCCAAAGCTGTTCCACGAGCCCTCTCTCCCTTGGCACGTGGAAGGTGGTTGGCCCAGAGATCCGATGACATAGCTGAGTTCTGCAGGAACATGGGTACTTCATCCTGTAAAGACTGTCACCAGGGTAGCACAAACAAGACCTGAAATAGAATGGACATAAAAAACGTCAGCATTCTCTTCTGTAGCTATCGTGTTGCATACTCTAATATAATCCCTGAGCTACACACAATGAAGTATAGTCTCTTTCTCTGTGTTTGTTACACTGGCACAAATGTTTAAATATTAAAACCACCCCAGAAGTGTTTCCTGAGATTTTACAGAGTTACTGATGAAAATTCCATAAGCACTGACCCCAGGCCATTGGCAGTTACCAGCCCTCCCGTGGCCTTCTGTGCAAAGCACCCACCAGCCCCATTCACACGCTTGCTTTGTCTTTAGGGCCTGTGTCAGTGTCTGACATTGTTTTCTTGTTTCTCTGCCTGTCCCCAGTGTAAGTTCTCTGTGAATGGGAGCCTTGCCTGTATATAGTCTTAGAATCTCAGGTGTGGAGCAGACACTCTGCACGTGCTTTCCGGGCAGATGCTGGGATGTGGGCTCTTCGTGGCGCTCTCCAGGAGTAAAGGAGTGTGGCTGCCACCCGCGCCCCCAGCCTCAGGACGACACCCAGCTTCTCTGGTCCTGTTTTCTCTGTCCTCCAGCCTCCCCTCCCCATCCCCGGGCGTCCCCTCTTTCTACACCCAGTCTGGCCCCTGTGCGTGGTTATCCCTGTCACCGTGGTGACATGAGAGAATGAACTATGCATTTGTGACCCAGTTCTAATTATCCCCTTCTGTGATTAAGCTTTATAGGTCGTTATAGAAATCACCAAAGAGATAATCTATAAAACACCCTTTCTAAGTTTTCTGAGCCAGAAACATGATCATCTAATAATATAAATTAAAGCTAGGAGATGGGCAGAAATCCAAAAGTTAAAGTTAACATGTTTTGTTGGTGAAGGCTTGGGGAAGCAGGCATTTTCCTGACACTGCTGGTGGGAATGCAGACAGCACAAGCTCTGGAGGGAGATTCGGAGCAGAATGACAAACGTGCTTACTCTTGGTCAGGGCAGCTCTGCTTCTAGGAACTTCTTCCCCTCATACACCAGGAAACATGTGAGGGCTGTGCAAAGGCCATTCATTGTGGCACTGGTTGAGATAGGAAAGGATTTTCAACAACATAGGGTTTCTATTTATAGAGGGGCGCCTGGGTGACTCAGTCGGGTAAGTGTCCAACTTTGGCTCAGGTCGTTATCTCCCAGCTTGTGAGTTCAAGCCCCGCATCAGGCTCTGTGCTGACAGCTCAGAGCCTGGAGGCTGCTTCCAATTCTATGTCTCCCTCTCTCTCTGCCCCTCCCCCACTCACTCTTTTGTCTCTCTCAAAAATAAAATAGACATTAAAAAAAAAAGATTGCTATTAATAGAGACCTGGTTGAATGGACTCTGGTGCTCTGTCCAGTAGAGCTCTGTGCAGCTCTGAGAGTAGAGAGAGGCTCCATGTTGCTAAGGAGAAGTGGGCAAGATGGATAATTAGATGAAAAAGCAGAGGTGGAAAAAGTATGTATGATATACTCCTGTTTTGGAAGGGGGAGTATGAATATATGTATGTGGTTACATATGTCTTAAAAATGGAAGGATAAGCCGTACTCTTACTTATTTTCGTAAAGCTGCATATGGGGAAGGGAGGGACCCAGGGTGGAGGCGACAGAGAGAAAAGCTGGATTCTGACTGTACCTTGTTTTGTCAGTTTGACTTCAGAACCATGCAGATATTTTACATCATTGTAAAGCAGATGTACATAAAAGGTCATTTTCTAAGATTTTGGTAGACACTGTCAGTTTTTTCCCCAAAAATATATACACCCTATTTAGCTTCTGTCATTGCTTAAGGAGAACTCTTTTCTCCCGTACTTCTGCCAACACTGGATTCCCATCTTTCAGGACTTCGCCAGTCTGTTGGCAGAATGTTGGCTGTTTTCATTTGTGTTCCCCAGTGACTGGAGCAGTTAAGCATCTTTTGTTTTGTTGTTAGCCCTTTTGTATTTCTCTGAAATGCAAGTTCCTAACCTCTTTTTGTAAGAAAGACTTTCCTGTTGATTTGTAAAAACTCTTTATATGTTGTAGATACAATTTGCATTTGTTGATTGTTACCAGGTTCCTGACCTCATTTCCAGTTAAATTGTTGAGGCCTCTCAGTGTAGCAGCTGGTTTTTTTTCTCTCGTCACATATCACCAAGTTCTGTACAAGGACATCGTGTATGATGAATTTGAAGTACACTGTTCCTAGAGTAACGTGGACCAGTTTCCCTAAACTGTTCATGTGCTGGACCTCAGTTTGTGAGCTCTTTGGAGTGATAGCAACTGCTTTCTTTTTCTTTTGAAAAATTTCCTGTGGCTTATCACTGTGTCTGACTAGTGGGTGGTTGGTGAATGCCCACTTGCGTTGATTTTTGGTGAACGTATACATTGACTTTGATTGTCTTTTTGGTTTGAGATTTTTCTTGATTTTTAATGACCCATGATAATCATTTTTCTGTTGTGTTCAATTGAGAATCTGAACAAACCAGTCATTTTTCATTAAAAAAAATATGTATATAATAGAAGTAGATTCTGGAAAAGTTTTTGTAGTTGTTAGCATCTGTCCTTTGCTCATCGCTGCATCGCTTGTGTTTCTTGACTCGTTCTAGGTCATCACTCCATGTAGGAAACTCATCTTATGTGCTGACAACAGGAAAGAAATGGAAGACTGGATCGCGGCGCTGAAGACTGTCCAGAACAGGGAGCACTTTGAGGTTCAGAGAGAGAAACGTCCCTTCTCGTTGCCCGCCCCCCAATAGTCTGCCGCGCCAGCGTCTCCACGTGTGGCCCGAGCAGCCTGGAACTCCCTTTCTCACGAGTTCCTTGTAAAATTGAGGCTCGCTGCTCACCTTTTGGCCGAGCCTGACTTCCTGTCCTGCCCCGGGTACCTCACTGAGCCCCGTCGGGAGGGCCGCGGGACGCCTTACCCTGGCCGTATTTATGTTGTTCCGCAGCCTTCCCAGTACAGCATGGACCATTTCTCAGGGATGCACAACTGGTACGCGTGTTCCCATGCGAGGCCGACCTACTGCAACGTGTGCCGCGAGGCCCTGTCTGGGGTCACGTCACACGGACTGTCCTGTGAAGGTGCGGAGGGCGCGTCGTGCTGCCGGGAGGGGTGGCCTGGGGCCTGGCCTCACGAAGCCGTAGGAACCTTAACGTGGTCGCCGCAAGTCAGTCTGTGTAAAGCGATTTCTGGGACTCTGTGCCTTTTGTTTTACCTACTGAGGAGTCTGATAAATGATCTCGTGTAGTAACAGACAAAGCGAACTGAAGGGAAGTGGTAAGGAGACACGAAGAAGAAGCATCAAGGGGACAGAGAGAAAAGAGGTGAAAAGTCTCTGTCGGCCCTGAGGGGGTTATACCCACCCTGGGTAAACCGGGTTGTGGGTAAACGGATGAAACCTGGTCTTCCAGATCCAGAGGGTGGGTTACAGCGGTGTGGCAGGAGCAGGGGGCAGGGGCGGGGGGGGCAGGAGCAGGGTGCGGGGGGGCAGAGCGGGGGGGCAGCAGAGGGGGCGCAGGAGCAGGGGGCGGGGGGGCGGGGGCAGGGGTGGGGGCAGGGGCGGGGGGGGCAGGAGCAGGGTGCGGGGGGGCAGAGCGGGGGGGCAGCAGAGGGGGCGCAGGAGCAGGGGGCGGGGGTGGACACGCTCTGGTCCGCCAGCCAGTTCCCACCTGCCGCCTGTTTCTCTACAACCTGTAAGGTTGAGAATGCCTTGTACATTTTAAATGCGAAAAATTAAAAGAAGGCAGTTTTGTGACATCGGGATTTTGTCACATTTAAATTTCTGTGTCTGTACGTGGGGCAGGGCCTGTGGTGGCCTTTGTGCTTTGGGGCGGGGTCGACGGGTCGGGTCAGAGCCTGTCCCGGATGCTGGTCTCACTGTGATTAGACTGCGCACACCCCAGCTGTTCAGTTTACGGGGCGGTGGGGGGGCACTCTGTGTTCGGGCCCAAGTGTCCTGGAAGAGCAGGGCAGGCGGGTGACACGGGGCCGCTGCCTCAGGCACAGAAGCACCGTCTCGAATGGGGCTTGAAGGTCTCGTGTCTGTTCTCCCACAGTGTGCAAATTTAAGGCGCACAAACGGTGTGCCGTGCGTGCAACCAACAACTGCAAGTGGACCACGCTGGCCTCCATCGGGAAGGACATCCTTGAGGACGAGGACGGGGTACGCATGGGGGTCCTGCCAACCCCGCGCAGACCTCCCGCCTTGGGCTGCCGCCGGGCCGAGAGGACCCTGGTCCCCAGGCCTGCTGCACTCACTCTTTTTGTTCCCGGGCCTTCGTGTCCATTGCCCCCCCCCACCCCCGCCCCCTACTGGGGCCTCAGCATGGTCCAGCTCGCCCCTGAGCCCTGCGGGAGGCCCCTGCAGACCTGCCCCGTCCCCTCTTGTGTTGGGGAGAAGGCCTGTTGAGTTTATCCTGGGGCACGTTTGCGTGAGGGCTTCCTGCCTGCGTGTGGGGCTCTGGGGACGCACCATCTTTGTGGTCCGCAGATCGCCATGCCGCACCAGTGGCTGGAAGGGAACCTGCCTGTGAGTGCCAAGTGCACGGTGTGCGACAAGACGTGCGGCAGCGTGCTGCGCCTGCAGGACTGGCGCTGTCTCTGGTGCAAGGCCATGGTGAGTGCGTGCACGCCGCGTAAACGCCCGGACGGGGCCGGTAGCTCGGTTGCTCCTGGAGCGCCCACTCCCACGGTGGCAGGGACCATCATGGGGGATGCAGTGACCCCTTGTCATGCGTGGGTTCCTGTTTCAGGTGCACACGTCATGTAAAGAGTCCTTACAGACCAAGTGCCCGCTGGGCCTGTGTAAGGTGTCGGTCATCCCGCCCACGGCGCTCAACAGCATCGACTCTGATGGTGGGTGCCTCCCGCTCTCCCGGCTCACCCGTTTCTTCGGGCTGCTTTCTCCATGCATTCTCCCTCCCCCATGCCAGCGTTGGTTGCACTGGCAATGTGTGATGTGTTCAGGAAGAGGTCAGGCCGGGTGCTGCGGGGAGAAGATATGCTCAGAGGTGGTAAACAGCCCTGACGGCCACTGGGCACACGTGGACAGGGGCTGGGGCACTCGTGCTGTCCATCTGGCGGCCTATCCGGCGGCAGCGGGGGTGGCTCAGCACGCCGTTGCATACCTGCCCACCTGTCCAGGTGGTAGATGGTGGTGTGTGCTAACGGGCATTGGTAGAAAGGTGGGAAGCTGGGGTACGGATCTCAGGAACTAGCTCCTCCAGACTGACAGCAAGACAGAAGAACAGGGGTGAGGCGCATGGTCATGGAAACATAAGGTCAAACCGGATGGGACTCCTGTCCTCCTCTGTAGGGAATGGCCATGTGGACATCTGTTTAGTGCTGTCTTGCTGGTGACTGGGCGTGTGTGTGTCAGTCACAGGTCTCTCTGGGGTGTCTGCTGTTTTTCATATGACTGACCCTCTGTTCTCCCTCCCGTTCCATTCTCACGTCCAGGCTTCTGGAAGGCCACGTGCCCTCCGTCCTGCACAAGCCCGTTGTTGGTCTTTGTCAACTCCAAAAGTGGGGACAACCAGGGCGTGAAGTTCCTCAGAAGATTCAAACAGCTGCTGAACCCTGCCCAAGTGTTTGACCTCATGAACGGAGGCCCACACCTCGGGTAGGAGGCTTACAAAATAGACCTTTCTTGGAGTTCAAAACAGTTTTGAACATAATGCACACTTAATGGAAAAAATCATTCAAAGATACAGGAAAACTTAAATAGGAGGTGAAAATAGTCTTTGTTGAACCATCCCCTCCCCAGATTCCATCAGCAGAGGGAACCACCCTTAGCAGTGAGTAGAGCTACGCATCATTCTAGCTTTCAAATGACACACTTTTAAACCAGGTTACTTCTCGTTGCCTCCCGTGTGCTGCCTGCTCTTTGCGTGTGTCAGCGTGGATGTTTTTTTATGTCACTGGTGACAGATCTGCCTCATTCTTTCTAATGGTGCCTAGCACTAAGGAGGACATTGTCTCCAGTGAGGCCACGAGGGAGATTCTTTATTTGGGGAGGGCACCAGAGGTCTTGTACCTTACAGATGCTGTGACGCGTGCGGATATGTGAAGCCCAGCGTATGGGGCAAAGTAATGAGGCCTTTTATCTGCCGGCTGGAGATCTGATGGGTGTTCTTTCTACTTTGGAACATTGTATAGTTTGTGGAGGGCATTTGCTGCTGTAAATTGTGTCATTTGAATGAACTCTTAGCTTTCATGCTTGGCAGCTCCAGTTCAAGGCAGGAGCTCTAAGAGGCTGCCTTACCTGGAAGGGAGATTGTCCAGGGTATGTGTCGGAGAGAGTGCTCTCAGAACGCGTTCTCTGATGTGTATTCGCTTCTGAGGCTCCTAGGAGTGTGCTGATTTGGAGCCTCAAGGAGCCTGGGTGCCTGGTGGGGGACAGGATCATGCCCACCGGCCCCGTGGGGGTCTGGCATGCCGCTTTCCCCATCCCAGCAACAAGGTTCTGTTGGGGAAGAGTCACGGAGGGCAGCTTGCGATCCTGTTCCTTAGAGGCGGCGTTCTGTAATTTCTACAGAGAGACCACTGGACCGAGAGATGTGGGAGCACAGTCACTGTTGGCTTGATAAAGAGTCGTTAAAAAAGTCATTTTGGTTAGAAAATGGGGGCAGAGGCAGGATCACAAGCCCTTGTATCCCAGACAGAGCCGGCTGTTACCCAGCACGGGCCCAGGGTTGTTGGGTGGGTGGGTGCTGGGGGTGACAAGGGGCAGTGCGGGCTGCATAGCACAACCCGGGAGCTGCTGGGTGCTTGTTCTGGCGAGCCCCCCAAGTCCTGGGCCCTCCTATGCCCCCTGAGTCCCGGGCTCCCCTATGCCCCCTGACCCCTGGGCCCCCCGATGCCCCAAGTCCCTAGGCCCCCACAGGAGTCAGCTGGAGACAAGGTGGCTTCAGAAGTGCCCACACTAGTGCAGCAGGAGTTGGTTTAGTAAGTTCCCATTGCTGGGAAGCAGCCTTCACCTCAAGGTCTTCACCATGAAACTTGGAGATATGGCTTTGTTTTCCTGATAGCCAGCCTGGACGTGTCATCTCTTCTCCAGGGGAGAAGGCCAGAGAGAGGCCAGTGTCCCCAAGGGAATGCCCTCTGGCCATTTCACTCACGTGAAGGTCAAGTGCAGCCTCTTGCTTCAGAACCTCAGCTCTGTTTAGACCCAAGTTTCGTGTAATGTCTCTCATCCCTGTTTGTTTTCTGGGGACTTCTGGCTTGGACTCTGTGCCGGATGCAAGACCAAGTGAGGTGGGGTCCCTGTCTTCAGGGTGCGTAGCACACAGACAGGCAGTCAAGGTCACAAGACAGGGCGACTTGTCACTGGTCAGGCTGGTGGGCATCTTCTTTGGGAACCCAGGGAGAGAGCACATAAATTAAACTAGAGAGTCTCTCAGTTTCTCTGCTGAGCTGGTGTTTGAGGAGAGTTAGTGTTTCCATGGCAGCGAGGGAGGCAGGGCACCTGTTAGAGGGTGCTGTGTGTGCAGGGAGGTGAGGACACGGTGGGGTGGCTGGCGGAGCTGGGGCAGGTGGCACTGGCTGAGAGGTTTGAACCTTTCCTGGAAGCGAGTGGCAACTTCTAAAGCTAGACACCGGATGAGACTTGTTTTGGGAAGGTCATGCTGGTGGCCCAAATTGGAGGTGCCCGAAAGAGACAGGAGGTAGGTAGAAGGCTCTTGTAGTGGCTACGAGAGAGGCGATGGTGGCCCTGCACTCCGAGGGACAATGGGGTCTGGCCCTGTAACTACGGTCAGTGGTGCTTCCATTCCCCAAGGAGAGAAGCCTAGGATAAGGGGGTGCCCGTGGGACACTGGGTGGTGCATTCTGGTAGACACCGGTGTTGTCCTTCAGGAAGGCCTGGAGGTCATCGTTCAGGGTCATCGCTATCTGTGTGGTCCCTGAAACCCAAAACGTGGCTAAGTTTCTCGGGAGGAGGGCAAGGGGTCAGCGGAAGGCTGTGGGAATGTCCCGAAGGGCCATGTGTGTAGGGGTGGGCGACCAAGAGGAGCGCAGGAGGGAGACGGAGATGAGCTTTGTGGGGAGCGGATGGGCCTCCTGCCCAGGAAGGAGGGGCCCATACAGTCCTGAGGCCTGGGGCTCCTGAGCTATGTGAGCGAGGGGCAGTGGGCCCAGAGGTGTGGGTGGGCGGTCCCCCTGGCCTGAGCCTTGGGCACGGACTCCAAGAGGCTTATTCACAGCAGGGGCGCAGGTGGGGCCTCTCAGGGCAGGACTGACTGGCCGTCATTTGTCCTTTAGATTGGACCTCATTTCTTTGATGTTCTCTTTTCTCTGCAGCTTACGCTTATTCCAGAAGTTTGATACATTCCGGATTCTGGTTTGTGGTGGGGATGGCAGTGTTGGCTGGGTGCTCTCTGAGATCGACAGCCTCAATCTTCACAAGCAGGTGTGTGGCCGTGGAGGGGCCCAGCCAGGGAGAGGGGTGCTGCGGTGACAGGATGCTCCTTGGCCGCTCGGCAGGGCCCAGTGAAGGTCTGGGAGGGAAGAGCAGGTAGCTTGGTGGCCTCACAGGGCCCTGGAGCTGTGACGTAGGGATGGGAACCTGACAGCTAGAAGTACAGGGAGGTACCGGAGAGCAATCCCGTCCCCGGAGGCCCCAGGCAGGAGCAAGGTGGGTGGGGCCAGGGCTGCCATCCGGGGCACCCCCACTGGCTCTCGTTGGGTGGGGGTAGATCTGCTGCCCGGTCTCTCCTGCCAGTGGGGAGGGGCGGAGGTAGACCCGAGCGTCAAGTCAGGACTTCGGTTTTGATTTTTTTTGGGGGGGGGAACTATTAAATTAAAAATAGGTTTTCCTGTTTGGAAAACAAATGTTCATGGACTTTACACCCTCCGCTCTGTCATCCTCATCCCCACTCCCCAAAGTTAACCACTGCCAGTAACGTTCTGAGAACTTTGAGACCTCCTGTTGACCTATATGCACATATGTACATATGTGTGCAAATACGTGCAGGTGGTGTGATGCAGTTTTAGTGTAAGCTCACTCCCGTTACCCACGCTCTCCTGTTCCTGTGTTCTGCCTTGTGATCCACGTCTGTAAATAGCCCGGCGATGGTTTTCCTTCCGGCAGAGCCGTGCGGCCGGGTCAGCTCGCCTACCGGCTCCCATTCCTCCTCAGTGCCTTAGGCTGCTCCCCACCAGGGCCTCACTGTTCATGCTCCTGGCGCTATAGGAACTGTCCTTTCCTTTTCAGTGGTGTTCACCTTCTTAGTTTTGCCTGAGTAGACAAGGAAAGACCGGTTTTATTTTTATTTCTTTAATACTGTTGAAGTCAGTATATCTCTTAATGGATTTTTAAATGAATCACGTGTTCATGTTTTTTGCCTAGTTTTCTATTGGGTTTTTGTTTTTTTTTAAAATTTATTTTTAGGGGTGCCTGGGTGGCTTAGTTGGTTAAGCGTCCGGCTTTCGCTTGGGTCATGATCTCGCGGTTCGTGGGTTCGAGCCCCTGCGTCGGGCTCTGTGCTGACTGCCAGCTCAGAGCCTGGAGCCTATTTCAGAGTCTGTGTCTCCCTCTCTCTCTGACCCTCCCCTGCTTATGCTGTCTCTCTCTCTCTCTCCTAGAAATAAATAAAAATATTAAAAAATAAATAAAATAAAAAATTTATTTTTAAAAAAATGTTTATTTTGAAAGAGAGAGACAGAGTGTGAGTGGGGTGAGGAGCAGAGAGAGGGGACACAGCATCTGAAACAGGCTCCAGGCTCTGAGCTGTCAGCACAGAGCCCGACGCGGGGCTTGAACTCACGAGTCCGTGAGATCATGACCTGAGCCGAAGTCAGACACACAACCAACTGAGCCACTCAGGTGCCCCTAAAAAATTGATTTCTAAGGATTGTTGTATTAGGGATACAAACTCCTCGGTCATATTTTTCCTAGTTTTGTCATTTGCTTTCAGGACAGTTTTTTCCCAAAACTTCGACCTGACCCGAGCACATTTTTCAGAGACTTAGCCTTCTCTCCTGACTCAGGGTGGACTTTTATTGTCTGCATTTAGGCCTGGGCTCTGGAGGATGTTGAAAAGTGGACAGTCTGAATCAGGCCTGTGCGGAGGAATTGCTCAACTCAAGCACATACTGCTCCCTAGTGGTGAAATTGGAATCGTACACTTGGCCCAATTTTAAGTTTTGTGGCTTCTAGGATTATTTATAAGTTCACTATCACTAGTCGAGAAGATGGGGGGGCGGAAACCAGTCATTCGTTTTCATCCACTCAGAATGCTGAGTTCAGTGAGCATTGGTCACTGTGGCTTCTCTGTGGCACTTGGTCCTGGTCAGTCGATCCCCTACTAGTCTGGCTTCCCCGAGGCCCCACCCTCACCCTTCTGTCCTTCCTGGCTGTCCTCTGGCCTCCCTAGATGCCTCCTGGTACCTTAAGCCTGGCATTTCCAGCACTGAGCCCACCACTCAGCCCCACCTATCCTGCGTTTCTTTCCTTGGAGTCTGAAAATCTCATCCACCAGACACTCAGGCCAGAAATCTGACAGCTGTTCTGGGTTCTGCCCTCGCCCTCCCTCATTTCTGGTGAATCAGTGGGGTTGATTGACACCTCAGAGTGTCTAGGCTGCCCACTGCATCCTGCTGAGTACGCCTCAGCTGACCCTGGGCCTCCGTCTGCTCCTCCACGGACACCTTCCCCATGAGCAATGCCACTTACTCACCCGCCCCGCTGAGCATTCCTTGGTGCCTCCTTGGCTTTGGAATAAAGCGTAGACTCTAACATAGTCTGGCAGAGCCCCCGGTGTGACTCCTTCCTCCTCCTCTGCTTTCCTGACTTCCTCTCTCCTGACTTGGTGGGCAGGTCCCCTCTCCGCCCGGAACACCGCTGTGCCTTCACTGCACTGCCCACTCCTTTCACCTGAGGCGCTGGGTTTCCTCGTTCTCGCCCTTGGGCAGGCGGGGCCTTCCGTCTGATGTGCTGGCCTCGGCAGTGTCCTCAGGGTGGGTGGCCACAGGCTGTGCTGTGGTTTGGGAGGACTGACAGCTCCTCCGCACACTGCGTGGCGGGGGTCCCGCATCCAGGGAGCTCCCTGAGCCCGAACTGGCCCAGTGAGAGTTCCAGGTGGAGGCCGGGCCTGAGCAGCACCCACCGCTGCTCGGGGAGGGCGTGCGGAGAAGGTGTCGGGGGGTGAAAGGGCACTAGTGATGTTTTTGGAAGATGAACTTGGCATTGGTGAGTAAGATATAGTGCATGGAGAGGTGGTGAATGATTCTCTGTGGGTTCAGATACTCGCAGGGAGGGACAGGACTGTGGCCATAGCAGTGAAAATGGGAAGGGAGGGGATTTTGGAAATCTACACCACAGAGGTCCTAGAGGATTAAGCATAGCGATGAGAAACAGATGTGGGAGAGGGTGGGACAGATGGTTCTGGAATCTTCTCTTAGGTGGGAAGATCCCCTGTCTTGTCTAGTGGGCTCTGCCTAGAAGCTGAGAGCCATGCCCTCTTAGAGGAGGCCTCTTGCTGCGTTTAACCACCGTTGTAGATAGCAAGGGAAGGAGGGCTTATGCTGTGTCTTCTCCTCTGTGCCCTGCCAGTGCCAGCTGGGAGTGCTGCCCCTCGGCACAGGGAATGACCTGGCTCGTGTGTTAGGCTGGGGCTCAGCCTGTGATGATGACACTCAGCTCCCGCAGATCTTGGAAAAACTAGAAAGAGCCAGCACCAAGATGCTGGACCGGTGAGTAGAAGGTGTACTTGTGCTAAACAAGGCAGGTCACCTTGACCAGTGTTCTTATTTATTTGTTTGTTTGTTTATTTTTGAGGGGGGGGAGAGAGAGAGAGCAAGAAGGAAGGGCGTGGTGGGGGTGGGGCAGAGGATCCAAAGTGGGCTCTGCGCTGATAGCAGTGAGCCCAACATGGTGTTCAAACTCACGAAATGTAAGATCATGACTTGAGGCAAAGTCAGATGCTTAACCAACGGAGCCACCCGGAGTCCCTTGAATATAGGTCCTGTGCAACTAACTGTCTGTAGAAACTGGACCTGAATGAGAATTATTGAATCAGTATATGTACACTTGAAGCTATCATAACACAGCGTGTTAATTATACTTCAATAAGAGACAAAAAAGGTCCAACAGGTCTGAGATGGAAATCCTTGCCCTGTCACTGGGAGTTGCATGAATTTGAGCAGTTCACTCTCTTCATCTGTAGAAGAAAAATAATCTCGGCTACCTTGTGGGGTTGTTGAGAGGTTAGAATTCATCCATTTGGTCAATTCAGGATTTTTTGTTGTTGTTGAAAAAAGAAAAAACTGAACCTGAGTAGGAATTCTTTTTTTTTTTTTTAATACTTTTTAACTTTTCATCAGATTAAGCAGAAGTTAAAAAAAAAACAACCCAATTAGGAACCGTGCCCTTAGGAGTGGTCAAGTCTTGTGAGGCCTTCAGGGCTTTGGAGAAGGTGGCTCTGCCCCCTTCGGACACCTGTCAGCAGAGTCACCCTAGTCAGATGGCTGAGTGGCCCTGTTTTCCCATGTTCTATTTCCAGAAGAATCTTAAGTTCTGGGTAACTGTCCTATATGGGCTTAAAAATACTTTGGCATCCGCTGTGAGTGAGCTACTTTTAGTTCTGAGCTAGATGTAGGGAATCCCACTAACCACATGCCTGTGGTGGATTGGCTTCACTGAAAACGCTCCGTAGTCTCAGGAAGGATCCCGGAGATGCGGTTCGCGGTGTGTGAGTGCGCTCTGGCTGCCCCTGCCACGGCTTCCCTCTTTAAGGAGGCATCGTGCCTTCAGTGCCTGTGAAACGCTCACACCTGGCGAGCTGGCTGCTGGCCGAGGGGTGTTCATACCCGCAGGAGGAGAGCCCGTTCCTCACAGATGCAGATGTTCATTTATGGGATCCCTTTCCCCTCCTTCAGGGGAGCCGCAAGGCCTTATTCGTGACGGTTGTTCTCAGCTAAGGGAAGGGATGCAGAGTTGAGATGAAGGGCTTACAGGTAGGTAGTGCTGTGGGCTTGCCTGGCGGCCGGGCTGACCTGCTGAGAGCTGCTTTCGTGTGTGCAGGTGGAGCGTCATGGCCTACGAGACCAAACTGCCTCGGCCGGCCTCCTCTTCCACCACTGAGGACTTCAGCGAGGGCTCTGAGGTATTTGCTGTCCTGCCCTACCCACCCCCCGCAGCCCCCAGCACCATCTCACTGGCCCACTCACCAGTTCGCACCACCTCCCCTACTCTCTGGTGAAGAGCTGCTCCTTGCCTTGAACGCCCTGCCCGAGGTCAGACCCGCGGAGGGGCAGGGTCAGCCTGGGGTGCGCTGGAGCCGAGTCAATCCTGACTGCCTCGTGGGCTTCGGGGTCATCTGGGGGCTTCCTGGGGCCCTGCTCTTGCAGTGGACACTCCCGAGGCTGCGCCCCCACTGCCTTTGTCCCCAGCAGGCCCCCGGCGCCCCCTCTAGTCCCACATCCTCTGTGACCACCCTCCATCCTGCCGCCCTTGCACCTAGGCTGTGCTAGTTTGGTGTTCACTCTTCTCTTCATTTTACGGATGTGATGATCCCCTCGGGGCCTAGATTTTGCCCAGGCTGGGGCAGCGCGGGGTCCTTAGCTGTGCTCATCCCCCTGGGCAAGCTGGCCCAGCAGAGAGAACACTCTGCCAAGATTTGTCTCCCCGTTGGGAGGGTCAAGGACAGTGGGCTAGGGCAACAGTCTGCACATGGCGACGCCCAGCTCAGGTGTGCCCGGGCCTGCTTCGATCTGGCCTGTGAGCAGAGAATGGTTTGTGCGTTTTGAGAGAGGAAGAATACATTTGCAAAGACTAAAATAATTAGTGTCTGGCTGGCCACAGGCTCGGGCCTGTTTGTCACACAGTAACCACATTTCAGCGGGCAGAGCTGGGTGGTGAAGGGGGTGATTTACACTGAGATGGGGAGAGGGGCGGGGGCCAGGTTCCCAGCCAGAAAGAGAAACCTGCGCTTCGCGGTGAACGGAGGCCCAGTGGACGAGGCCTGCCTGGTGGCCTTGCTGCTGTGAGCGGCTGGGATGACAGCCTGCAGTCCCCGCACACACTGGTGAGGAATCAGGCTAAAGCAGCACGAGCTGTTTGCAGGATTTTTTTGACATGGTCTTTTTTGTTAAGATCTGTCTGTGCACACCTTGGTGAAGCTTTTGAGATCTTTGAGCCAGCGCTGGTGAATCTCAGGCTGGGGTGTGAAGTGAGCTAAGGCCCTGGCTGGCAGGGACGGTGGGCGAAGAACTCACTGGGAGCATTGAGTCACACCCCCCCCCCCCCCGCCCCCCGCTCGGGGGTCTGGGGATAATTGCAGGTGCAACAAATTCTCTTCTATGAAGACTCCGTTGCGGCCCATCTTTCTAAAATCCTGACCTCGGACCAGCACTCGGTGGTGATCTCCTCAGCCAAGTGAGTGCCCGGTGGCTTTGGGGGAGCCGGGGGTCCACCTGGCAGGGTGCTGGTTCCCAGCCAGAACTTTCTCTGAAAGTGTCTTTCCATGTTTCCTCCCATAGAGTGCTCTGCGAGACGGTGAAGGACTTTGTGGCTCGGGTGGGCAAGGCCTATGAGAAGACCACAGAGAGCTCGGAGGAGTCAGAGGTCATGGCCAAGAAGGTCCGTCTCTGGGCTCCTGGGTGGGAGGCTGTAGGACAGAGAAGCACTCCGCCCCATTCCGTTTGTTTCCCGCCAGTGCTCTGTCCTGAAAGAGAAGCTGGACTCTCTCCTGAAGACCCTGGACGACGAGTCTCAGGCCTCATCCTCCCTGCCCACCCCGCCCCCCACCATCGCGGAGGAGGCAGAAGATGGAGACGGGGCGGGCAGCGGCTGCGGCTCCGCTGGGGAGCGCCCGGTGGGGTCGGTGTGCCCCGCCCGGCCGCAGATATTCCGTCCCCGGGAACAACTCATGCTCAGGGCCAACAGCCTGAAGAAGGCCATCCGGCAGATCATAGAACACACAGAGAAAGGTAGTGGGTCTCTTAATGATGAAGGAGCTTTCTCCAGCAAGCACCGGGCCCTCCGCGTTTCCCCAGACATGGTGACAGACAGCTAGGAATCTGCTGTGTAGGCCAGAACCAGACCCCCGGAGGTCACTGGCAGCACCTTGTGTCCCAGAGCGCGCTGGGGAACAGTCTCCCTCTTCACCATCCTCACATCTGATGGAAGGGCTGGAGGGAGCAGAGAGCGCCCCAGCTGGGGACGATGCAGACCGGTCCTTGGGTGGGAGTCGCTCCCTGGATGGGGCCTGACCCCATCGTCACTGTCAGACCCCGGGTGCAACTTGGCAGAAATGGGTGGCCAGAGGTGGTGCAGCGACCTTGCCAAGGGGCGGGCCCTGCAAGAGGTGGGCTGGCCTGGGCGGCGACTGAGGCTGTTGGCTGAGGGGTGGAAAGAGAGGCTGGGACACGGCCCTGCTGTGGCGGGGGTGGGAGGCCAGCGAGCGGGAGGGGAGGTGGTGGGAGCGGTGGGCAGAGCGGGAGCACCTGCGCTGTGGGGGCCGAGGCCAGGTGGGCGCCAGGCTGCGGTGCTGAGGGTGCTTGGGGCCTGGTGGCCCGGCTGCTGACTCTGTGATGAGCCTGCAGGTAGTGGATGGCTCGGTGGACTAGGTAGGATTAAAGACTTGCCAGCTGGTCGCTCCCTTTTCCTAGACTTGGTGTCTGACTTTTGAAGGGAACGCTGCCGGCGCATGGTGACGTGGCCACTTCCCTTCCTCCGTCTGTGCACTCTCGTTCCCTCAGAAGCCTTCCCACCCCATTCCCACTCGCTCTGTCCTTGTCCTTCAGTGAGAGTGACGGGTTGTGATCCCCCCGCCGGTATGATGGTCAGGCGGAGGCCCCTTGTCACGGCCCCTCTGGGCGCTGTGTGCCCTCACTCCACTCCCCTTCTCCACATCTTCCACCCTTTGGCTCTCCCCCTTCTCCCCTGCCCGTCCTCACGGATGCCCAGGTGCCTGGCGGTCTTGCGGGGACTCGGGAGAACAGTGGGGACAGGGTGGCAGCGTCGGGCTCTAAGGCTTCCCCAGAGAGGACAGTGGAGGAAAGCTCACTGAGGCCAGGAATGCGCGGTGTCGCTGGGTGGTGTCCTCTGCACGCCCCGTGGCTGCGTGCTCAGCCGTGGGCATCCTTTCCTTGCAGCTGTCGATGAGCAGAATGCCCAGACTCAGGAACAGGAGGGCTTCGCCTTAGGTCTCTCGGAGTCGGAAGAGAAAAAAGACCCAAAGTCGGACGACAGAGTGTGTCCCACCGAGAGCTGTGGGGTTGCCAAGGCCAGGAGCCTCCGCAAAGGTACCAGCCGGTCTTGACCCCCGCCCCGCGATCAGGTCCCTCGGGCTTGCGGTAGCGGGAAAGCCTGGCCTGGAAGTTTTAGGCACCTTCTCAGAATTGCTCTGGCCACTGGCAGTATAAAAAGTCACAGACACACAGTGTGTTTCCGTCTACTACCTCCTGGTCTGGGGGAGGCCCCGCAGGACCCGGTAGGAAGGAGCGTGCTTTCCTCAGAACCTGCCTGTGTACCGCAGGCTCAGCGGGGCTCTGGCCCTTGGGGCCTCCCTGTGCGCCTCGGGTCCCGACCTGGGGCTCACGCACGCCTGGCCGCAGCCTCCAAGCTGCACTTTGCTCCAGGCCCAGTCGCCATGCATTTTGGCTGGGGCACCACCCAGCCTGTGGGCTCTCCGCCTGGGGCCCCTTATCCCTCCTGGAATAGCCCCAGCGCAGACCGCGGCCCTGGGGAGACACTGCCTCCCTTCTGTGTGCAGCCCCCTCCCTTGTGGCCTGTCCCAGCTGCTGGGCGGTGTCTGCTGAAGCCAGTACTGGGATCCTTACCACTCTGAGCTCCACTGTGGCCCGCCCAGGACTGGCAGCGAGCCCCTCCTCCCCTTCCCAGCCTTGGCTGCGCCTGTGTCGCCCTCTAGAGGGCGTCCTGACCCACTTGCCTCTCCATCCCCCTTCCCATTTCCCTCCTCTCCCCTCTGCCTTTTGACTTGTCTTCTGCACTCTGCAGGGGGCTGACCAGTGGCTGGCAACTGTCACCCCCAGTCCCCTCAGCCCTTAGAGCCATCGCTTCTCTCATGACCACTTGCAGTACTTGAGTAATATTCCATTTCGGACAGTTTTATGGTTTTCTGTTCTGTTTTTTATAGTATCCAAATCCCCATGTGAGAAGCTGATAAGCAAAGGAAGTCTGACGCTGGGCAGTTCTGCCTCTCTTCCTCCGCAGTCAGGAAGCCGGGACGGGCTGCCAGCACTGAACACCAAGATCCTGTTCTCGAGTGCGTGTCCCCATGGATTGGCCCAGCATGTCTGTGGGCCGGTGCCGTGCGGGTGGGGCGATACCTGCCAACTAGCGAGGTCCAGGGTCTGTAGCTTAGGCACTGAGCCATGAGAATGAATGTGACCAGGGCCCTGTCCTCTTAAGAGTTTATATCTACCTCTGTGGGAAACAGAGACAGGATTCCAAAGTCATGTCATGGCGTGAAAAGTGCCCTCATTTAGTATAAAGGGCAGCCAGCTCCCAAATTGCCGCATGGTGCCCCAGGAAGGTGTCATTCAGAGGGCAATACTTGAGCTGGGCACTGAAGGATGAATAGGAGTTCTCCTGAGGGAAAGGGGAGGGAAGGGTTGTGATGGGGAGCCAGTCGAATCATCCTGTCATTTCTGGCATGATCGTAGGAGGTGCAACTAGCCACCAGGGGAGTTGGGCCTAGTCCACATTCCTGCCTTTGCTTTCATTTTTCCCAGTGTAGGCTTGAGGCAGTTCCTCCTTCGGAAGAACTGCGTCCACACATGGTGTGGAAGGCAGGAGTAGCACCAGAGCCCCTTCACCAGCTTCAGGTGATTTCCTGAGGCCGCCTGGGCCTGGCAGAGCCCATGCCAGACCACCTGTTCCCATAGTGATTTAGCAGTTTCGAGGTGAACCTCAACTGAATGGAAAGAAAATTCCAGAAGTCCTTGGCAGTGAGGCTAATGAGACATATTTGGTTAATCAGAGACATAGGTATCACTGGAAGGGGTGGATTGGCAGAATGTTTAAAAGCAGGGCTCCATCTCTGCCTTAATGTTTATGACTTAAAATTTAAAAACAACTTTTTTAATGTTTATTTTTGAGAGGGAGAGGCAGACCATGAGCAGGGTGGGGTGGGGGTGTAGAGAGAGAGAGACACACAGAATCCGAAGCAGGCTGCAGGCTCTGAGCTGTCAGCACAGACAGCTTGAACTCACGAACCCTAAGATCATGACCTGAGCCGAAGTTGGACGCTTAACCGACTGAGCCACCCAGGTGCTCCTATGCTTTAAGGGCGCACATTCCTTGACGGTTCTGGTCACCTGGGGTGTTCTTGATGTTTCTGTCTCATGAATTTGGCTTCACAAAGCTGTAGGACTGAACGCTAAGGTTGCCTGCACCTAGAGAACATTTCGGTGCATCTTCTTACCGTCTTTATAAGCTGGTTTTTAAACTGTCTTTAGGTTTGGTTTCTGCTGCCCACTGTGTTTGGCTTTGTCCCATGAATATGGCTTTATGATGGTGGTTTTTGATCTGAACCACTTAAGTGTCAGAATTTGGATCTGTTTATATATTATTTAGATTTAATCACAGTAGTGTTTTAGAATACATGTCCTTCAGCCTTGAAGGCATGAACACCTCTTAATTCAGTGAGTCCTGACCGTCTCTTCCTGTTCCCTCCCTACAGACGTTCGGGCTGGGATGTCTGGTTCCTTGCCTGGAGGTTCAGTCATCAGTCGCTTGTTAATTAACGCTGACCCCTTTAACTCGGAACCAGAAAACCTGTGAGTATGGGGGTGAACCAGGCGCGTGCACTGTTAAGAGAATGTCAGTGCCCAGAAAACAGATTTGGAATTGTCCAAGGAATTCGTATACAGATGACTAGGTGATCCTTTCCCAGCTTTGGTTAGCTGAAGAGGAAAACCTAGAAATGCCGCAGCTAAGAGTCGGGTTGGAATCGTGTGATGGGCGTGGCCTGTCCCAGCTTCCTGAGAGGTCACGTGTCAGTGCCCCCGAACGTTCCTCCGGGTCTGAGGTTCTCTGTGGGGTTAGAAGCGCCTGCTGGGAGCTGACTTGGGCCCTGTTTTCCTTGTCATTGTCGCGCTCCGGTACCTGGCTGGCGCTGTGCTGGCACCTTGTCCCCACACCCTTCCTAACCCGCTCTGCCCTGTGGGTGCTGCAGGGGCCTGGATTCTGGGGCCGGGTCTGGGAGAGACCATCCTGGGTTTGCCGTCGCAGGGGAGAAGGTTCGATGCTGCTCTGTGGGTTGGTGCAGTGTGTCCTCCTCCCTGTTCCTCGGGCGGTGGGGACTTAGACGCAGTTTAGTGGAGTTCGTTCTTTTGTGTGTGGAGGCCGCTATGGAGACAAATGGTGATTTGAAAATCTGGTCTTTAGATTTTCCTTTCTGCTGGTTGATCGCAAGCTCTGGGCAGCGTGGTGGGTGGCAGAGGGTTGCTTGTTGTCAGCTGCGTGTGTCTGGCGTGCTGGGGGAGGGGCAGACATGCGCAGCTCGCACAGGCTCCGTGGGTTCTGGGGACCAGAGCCAAAGTGTGCACCGTGGCCATTTCTGCTGCCCTGTTTGCCACGGTGGCCTGCCTAAGCACGTCTGTGTCCCCATCCCGGGCCCCACAGTGCCGCCTGCCCACCCCTCTGGGGCTCTGGTCCTGACCTTCCCCGGTGCTGTTTTTCTCAGAAAGGCCAGAGCTGCAGCCTCTGCCCCCTGAGCCAAGTGCTTCGTTTGTTCCCTTCCCTTGAGACCAGATGCCCCACACCTAGTGGTATCAGTGTCTTTTCCTCCTCTCATCTTCAGGAAGCGGGAGACTGACCCTGGGCAGCCGGCTGCTGGCCTCTCTAGGCAGCTGTAGCTCAGGGCCCCTAGATTTGTGGTCATCCTGCCTTTGCCTGCGGTGGCCCCTGGGCCCGGCTGTCCCTCACTTCCCAGGCCCCTGTGCCCGGTCTCCCCACCCCCCATCCCCTATCCCCGTGCTGGTTCTCTGGGTTGGATCCCTCCATTTCCCCAGCACCTGTAGATACTGGTCAGCATGTGGTCGTCCTCTCAGGAAAGTTTCTCCCTGAGCTTTGCTCTCACCAAGCTGTTAGGTGCACTCAGATTAGATGTGTCATAAAAACACATCCATGTGGGGATGGCTTCCCAAATCAAGCTGCACATGACTGTTAACGTGAAATGTGGCCGAGTTCTGACCCAGGCGTATTTCCTGCGGAGCCCAGGAGTGCTAGGCACATACTTTCCTCCTTGCTGCTTCCTCTGGGTGGGGGCTCAGCGTCTCCTTACATTAGCCAGTCCCCCAGGAGGGAAAGGAGGGTCCCGGAGCCCTGGTGTGGCCTCGGTGGGCACAGTGATCGCAGGGGAGGCCGAGAAGCTGGAATGAAATGAATCTCATGGGCAGTGGACTCGGGAAACGGAGGTGCTGCCCCGGGGACCGGCATGTGCTGCTCTCATCGGATCAAGGGATGCATGAGGCGTGTTGAAGACATGAGAGATACAGTCAGGTTCACGCTGCTGGTGGGAGTGCAAGACTGCACAGTGGCTCTGGGACAAGGTTGGGTAGCTCCTCCCAGCCCGGTTTCCACGGGGCCCAGAGCACCTCTCCTGGGGCCACGGCCAAAGAGTGAGCACATGGCCCCCGCAGCGTGCGTCGGTGCTCACGTGTCTACAGCAGAGTGCCGTTCGGCCACCGAGAGGGGTGAGGTCCTGAGCAGGGATGAGTTCTGAAAACATGATGCTCGTGGGTCCTGTTTAGACGAACCTTGCATAGTAGGCGCCATGGAGACAGCAGTCGGAGGTTGCCGGGGTCGGGGATTGGGAGCCGAGGGACGGTTACATGACTGAGCACGTTAAAAATCACCGAGTCCTGCTTTTTAAATGGGCGCGTCGGGTGGTATGTGAGGCCGAGCCCCGTAAAGCGCTACTGAAGGACGAGCCACGAGTGCAGCCCTCAGGGAGAACTGCTTGGGGGTGGGGGGGCTGTGAAGGGAGTGCGGTTCTCATGGGCCCGGAACCCCCTCTGCAGAGAGTATTACACGGAGAAGTGCGTCATGAACAATTACTTTGGCATCGGCCTGGATGCGAAGATCTCCCTGGACTTCAACAACAAGCGTGATGAGCACCCGGAGAAGTGCAGGTAGGTGTGCACACCTGCTCCTTGCGCCCTCGCTCCCTCTTCCAGGTAGAGTCAGCGAGGTGGCGGGTGTGCAGAGTGTGGGGGCAGAAGGCATATGTAAAAACTGGGCGCCTTGTTGTCGGAAAGGCAGGTGCTTGAGCGAGATGTGGGTGGAACTAGATTGGGGTCCGGAAGGCCTGTCTGGAGGAGGGTTCCAGCCCTCAGGGTTGGCATGAACAGGGCAAATTCCACACGAGAAAGTGAGTGACTGCGCTCAGAAGGGTCTGCGTCGTAAGTCGTGGTGGTGCTGTAGAGGGACAGGTGACACTGTGCTAAGAGTGCACTGTGCCGGGTACGTGAGTCCCTGGCAGCACTGGGGGCAGGTCTCTGTCCCCTCCTCACGCCAGGCAGAGCTGGGCAGCCCTGCTGCCTCCCCACAAAGCTCATGAGAAGACACCCCTCGTCCCTCGCAGCCTAGGGAAGGGCTGGAGAGAAACGGGCAGGCTTCCTCCTGGGCTGAAGCAGAGATTCCGTCTCCCCGTGGAAACACGAGAAGTGAAGCAGGGAGTTAGCGTCTCCCACCCCACCCTTCAGTAACCCCCCAGAGGAGACATTCTAGAACTGGAGAAGGAGAAGCTGATGTGCGGTTTGGGCAGGGAAGGCCACTGATGCAGGCGTCAGGGGCCCCTTGCTGAGGAGCCTGCAGACCTGCTCGCCATCCCATCTTAGCCATGTGTCCCCTGCTTGCTTGGTGCTGTTGTCCCTTGGAAGGGGACTCTGGGAGAGCTGGGTGGGAGGGAGGTCACACACTTCAGGAGTCGCCCTGGTGAACACTCGGGTTCTCTGTAGATGCAGATTTCTTAGGAAGCCAAATCGAGGGTGAGAATTCAAGAAACCTTTGAACTCCGGGGTTCTTGTGTGGAGGAAAGTGTTTCAGAGGCTCCCAGGGACATCTCTGTTGTTCAGCAGAGATGGTGAGCCCGGCTCCTTTAGAAAGGCCCCTGTTCGTTCAAAAATAACTCAAAGGGCATTAAAATGTGTGTAATTTAACAGAGTAAGATAGGTGAGTGACGGGGCCATGTGCAGTACATGTTTAGAACTGCGGGCCCCTGCTGGATAATCCCGGAGTTAGTATCAAGAGCTCTGAAGATGTCTAAGAGAATTTCATTTCTATGCGTCTATCCTAAGAAGAAATGAAACATTTGCAAAGAGGCGTGTACGAAGGGGCCACTGCTGTGTGACTTACGGAGCCCAGGACTGGGAGCTGGCTGGGTCCAGCCACAGGGACTAAGTGCACAAGCACCGGTCAGGAACGGCCCCGCTGTGATCGGTCGGGCATCTGGACGCGGGGTGTGGGGCCAAGTGTGCGGAGTCGGTCAGGAGACCATAGACTGGCTGTTTCCCCTGTGAGTCAAAGACTGAAGAAATACACCAGGTTTTTACTATCAGGACGCACAGCTTTGGGGATTAGGAGGATTTTGTTCTCCTTTGTGCTTTTCTGTACTTCCCATATCTTCTATGCTGCGCATAATTTTCTAGCTGGAAAAAAAAATTATCAGTTTTTTTATGAGGTTCTGTAATTTTTTTTTTACTTTTTAGGTAAATTAGTTTCTTGGGATTGTTACTTTCTGGCAGAATTTTCTATCACGAGACGTATTTCTTTATGCACACGATACGTAGGCACATAAGGAGGACGTGCCCGTCCTTACTGAGCTGGCGATGCTGTGAGTGGTTGCCGAATCTGACCGCTGTGCACGATGGGATGCATTCCTGCGGCCGCGGCAACGGCCGCGCTTAGCCGTGTAACTTGCTTTCCGCCTCCAGGAGCCGGACCAAGAACATGATGTGGTACGGAGTTCTTGGCACCAAAGAGTTGCTGCACAGAACCTACAGGAACCTGGAGCAGAAAGTCCTGCTGGAGGTGAGCGGGAGGGCCTCCTGGTCTCCGCAGCCCTTCTCCTCGCTGGACATGGGCCCCTCTGCTGTGTGGCCCCTCAGTGGGCGCTCAGCGGTGGCGGCGGGGTGGGTGCTGGTGAAGGACCAGGCTGATGCTGTGGTTCCCTGTTCTCCCCCCGCGGCGTCTCTGCTGCAGTGTGACGGGCGCCCCATCCCACTGCCCAGTCTGCAGGGGATCGCTGTCCTCAACATTCCCAGCTATGCCGGAGGGACCAACTTCTGGGGGGGCACCAAGGAAGATGATGTACGTATGGGGGTTCGGGGTGGCCTGGGCCCCAGCTGGGTGTGGGTAATCCCTTCAAGGAGTGTCCACCACTTCAGGCCCCGATGAAGCCTTCTGGCTTTGGGGCTCCGTGGGTGGCTCGGAGGTGCGGATGGAACTCCTCCCTGTGCCGGCGGTCACAGGGCAGTGGAGAACAAGACAGTAGGGTCCCCTGCTCACGAGAAGAGAGGCCGAGTGGGACAGGTGTGGCCAGGGGCACAGGTGTGATGCGGAAGCCAGGCCCGACTCCAATTTGGGGTGGTCTGGGAAGGCTTCTCAGAGGAGGGGACATCTACACTGACACCTGAAGGAGACCTAGCATTGGCCAGGTCTGGTCAGGAGAGGGTGCAGAGGCTGTTCCAAGTAATTGCTGGAACAGCATATGTGAAGGCTTAGTGGCGAGATGGGTGTGGAGGAAGCTGATGGTGCGTGGTGGGTGGAATGCAGCCCAGTCAGAGCCCACGTGGGGATGTTTGATCCAGGGAAGAAGCCTGTGGAAGACGTCATTTGCTTTTAACCACGGGTGCAGCTTCCGTTGTCTGTAATAGGGAACAGAAAGAATGAACGTGAAGCGCACTCAGGATGTCCTGGTTGCCGGGGCGCCTGGCTGGCTCAGCGAGTGGAGCATGCAACTCTTGATCTCGGGGCTGTGAGTTTGAGCCCCACATTGGGTGTAGAGATTACTTAAAATGAACAACAGAGAAGATGTCCGGTTGTTCTAAGCACTGCGGGTGCATTGACTCAGCCCTCCAGAGAGCCTCTTGGGGAACGCACCAGTTTTATCCCTGTTTCACAGATGAGAAAACCGAGGATGAGAAAATTAAGTAACTTGCTCAAGGTCGCGCTGCTAGAAAGCGGCAGACCAGAGATTTGATCCCAGGCAGCTGGTTTCGGGGTCTTTACTAGAAACCCTCTCAGTGACACAGTCACATCGTAGCTGCTCCTCAGGACACGCCAGGCGAGTCGTGTGCCTGTCTGTCTCTGACCAGGCCAGCAGCCCCGAGAGCAAACAGCAGAGGGCAGCGCGGGGAGCTTCGGGGCAGGAGTTGGCTCCTAACGCTGGCCCTTTCAGACTTTTGCAGCTCCGTCGTTCGATGATAAGATTCTGGAGGTGGTGGCTGTATTTGGCAGTATGCAGATGGCTGTCTCTCGCGTCATTAAGCTGCAGCATCACCGAATTGCCCAGGTAGTGGCCGTGGTCCTGTGGGTGGGAGAGACGTGGGAGGCAGTGTGGCTCACACACGTTTGGAGAGGCCGGGCTGGGCCTGGCCCACAACCAGTCTCCTCTGTGGGTGCGCCTCTGCTGCACAGGGCCCAGGAGAGGGGGTGCTTTTCCAGGACCACCCCCGCCCCCGCCTGCTGGTTCAGAGCCCTTCCTCACCTGCTGTAGTGGAAAGTTAAAAAACACTCTTTCAAAATGGGGGCCGACTTGAGTCCTGCCGAGCCCCTGCCCTGACTTCCTCTGTGGGTGCCAGCCGTACCCCGACTGTTGAGGTGGGACGAGATGAGACAGGCCCCACTGACCTTGGTTTGCGGCTGCCCCTTTCAGAAGCTGCCTCCTGTTTGGGGGAGGAGCAGACGTGAGCAGTGGAGAAAGTGTGGCGTCGCCTGGCTGGTCTGCGGCCTACCTGGAGAGGGGACATGGGGAGGGGCTTCCCCTAGTACTTGTTCCTGGTGATGGGCTGGGGAGGGCAGTGTTCTTAGGCACAGGAAGTGGGAAGGTGGGTACCCTGGCCCACCCGAACCCCAGGCTGTGATGTCCCGGCCTTTCCTGCCTCAGTCTGTCCCCACGGAGGTGGGGTGTTTGGATTTTATGATTGAACTCTTTAGTGGCATTTTTTTTATTGAAAAGAGAAGCAGTGCATCACTGGCCACCTGTTGAGACTGGTTTTCCCTGTCCCGGGAGTGCTTGCGTGTGGGCAGGGTCCCCACCCCAGGCCCAGTGCTTGGGTGTGTGACCACCAGGGTCTCACTGCAGTCACAGAGGCCATGCTGGGTGAGGGGACCGTGGGGGCGGGACGGATCCTTGGGCTTCACAAGCTGTGCCCTAGACAGGGATGCCTGACCGCAGCGGTGGTTGGCAGGGGGCACGGTGTCGCCCCAGATGTTGGCTGGCTTGTGCAGGGCCGCGTGGGACGGGAGGGCCCCTGTGGTGCTGACATTCAGCACCTTAGCTCCTTGGCTGAGCGCGGTGCGTGAGTAACGCTGTGCTGTTCGCTCAGTGCCGCACGGTGAAGATTTCCATCCTGGGGGATGAGGGCGTCCCTGTGCAAGTGGACGGAGAGGCCTGGGTCCAGCCTCCGGGATACATTCGGATTATCCACAAGAACCGGGCGCAGACACTCACCAGAGATAGGGTAAGAAGGGCTGCACGTGGGGACCCGGGGGGACGGCCCTGGGGCTCACCTTCTGTGAGGAGACCTGGAGTTTCTAGTGCTTCCTTCTAGGAATTTACTTTTCTTAAATTAAGTGAGCAGGGGTGCAAGTTCCAGGACCATTTCCCCTCCTCAGTGTAAAAAAAGAGATCCATGTCTCCTTTTTGGGCTGTTGTCCAGCTCAGGTCCCAGTGCGCTTGTTGCCGGTTACGTGCTCGCCTCTCGAGAGAGCGGCACACAGTGTGACGCCGGGTTCCCGTGCCCTAGGCGTTTGAGAACACCCTGAAGTCCTGGGAAGACAAGCAGAAGTGTGAGCTTCCTCGCCCTCCGTCTTTCTCTCTGCACCCGGAGATCCTGTCTGAGGAAGAGGCCACACAGATGGACCACTTCGGGCAGGCGGCGGGGGCCCTCATCCACAGGTGGGCCGCCGCCTCCTGGGGGGTCTGCTGGGGTTTCCTGGGGTTTCTGCTGTCCCTTGGCTTTGGTTTATTTCCCCTGACTTTCCGAGATCGCTCAGGGTTTGTGTAGATGGAGGCCTGAGATCCACAGGTGTTTTCAGAACCAGCTCACGGGTTTTAAAACCTATCCCGGATTCTTCAGAATAGCCCACTTGCTGCCTCCTCTGCTTTATCCCAGACAGCAGGTTTGTTCCTAAAGCACAAACCTCATAGTTATTTGAGAGGAGAAAAAAAAAAAAAAAAAAGGAGACAACAGCTGGAGGCATTTCCCGCTCTTACTCTGCCTTGGAGAAGTGGCTCCTGGGACTGTGGGGACCTTCCAGCACGGAGGTCCCTCTGCCCCTCTCTGTCCTCCCCACCTCCCCTGCGTGCCCGCTGCCGGCGTGCCTCACTCCGGAGGGGTCTCTCGGCCGCCACATCCTGCCATCCTCGTCCGTGGTGCCGCTGTGTGGCTTCCTCCTCCGCTGCCCTTGCCAGGAGCACCGCTGCCCTGCGGGCTCCGGACTCTGTGCCCTTCGGGGCCATTCCCCTGCCTTTTCCCCGGGCATCAGGCTCTCAGCCCACAGCTTCGAGCTCTCACTTCTGGTTCCAGGGGTCCATCCGGGCCCCCCAAGAGCACGTCTGTGCCGAGCTCTGTGTCTGCGGCCTCTGCACCCATGACCAAATCAGTATCTGCGCCTGATGGCTTCACTTGTTACAGTTTTTCCCAGTTCCTTGCTGTGCCACCCGCGCTGGCTTCCTTCCGTCTTCGTTCTCGTCCCCTCAAAGCCTGTGGCAGCCCCACAGATGCGGCCCTGTGTCTTGGCAGCTGCTTCTGGTTTTCCCCAGGACGGGACGAGTGGTTCCCTGGCTAGCTTCCCCGACTCTTGTGCTCCTGGTGCCCTGGCGGTGTCCGACCCTGTCACCACCGTCTCCTTGCCCGTGTGGGTCCCTGGGGCTGCGGGCTGCTGCCTGGGGCCGTGTCCTGGGGTCTGTCTTTTGAAGCAGGATTGTCCCCACAGAGGAGGGTCCTGTCATTCTCATTTACAGAGTGAGACAGGCCAAGTCTCCTTTCACGATCAGCTGTCTACTTGCCATTTTATAGGGCATGAAGAAAATCTCCTTCTGGGGATTTTCCTTCCTGGTTGAGTTTCTGGAAGGACTTGGATTTTGATGCCCTGCTTCCCATTTAAGACTGTCTCTGTTTGCCATCAGTGAGGGAATGATGGTCAGGGTCATCCTGTGCTCGTTTTCATGGCGGAGCCGTGTCTGCATTGGCCCTCTGGGCCGAACCTGGGTCTGCGTTCGAGTGAGGTGATGTAGGCTGCCCTTTCGCCTGCTTTGATGAGTGCCATGTCTCTCTCTCTCTCTCTCTCTGACTCTCTCTAGTATCCGGGAGATAGCTCAGTCCCATCAAGACATGGAGCAGGAACTTGCCCACGCCGTCAACGCCAGCTCCAAGTCCATGGACCGAGTGTATGGCAAGCCCAGAACCACAGAGGTGCCTGTGCTTTTTAAGTCTTGCTCCTCTGGAGTCCCGTGGCCCTTGGGCCTTCTACATGGGTGTCGTTCTGGTTCCTCTCAGGGGCTGAACTGCAGCTTTGTCCTGGAAATGGTGAATAACATCAAAGCTCTGCGCAGCGAGACGGAACTGCTGCTGGCCGGGAAGATGGCCCTGGTAAGCTGAGAGGCCGGCCTCGCGCTGTGCGTGCAGTGACCGTTGTTGTACACAGGGCAGCACATTTTAGTCTAGAATTCTAGACTCAGTGTCAGAAGGGGCCTTGGAGGTCCTCTGATCTGGCCGTATGGTTGGTTCTCAAGCCACAGCTCAGGCACGTCGTGTTGAACATATTAGACTGTGGACGGGACCAGCTCTATCGCTGTGCTCAGGGTTCTGCCTTAGAAATCCACAGGGATGGAGCCACCTGCCTGTGACCAGGCCCTGGGGCCTTGTTCTCAGACACACAGCGCCCTCTTCTTCCTCGCTCAGCCCTGCACATCTGGCCAGGAGTCCGCTCTGGGCGAGCACATGGGGTGGGTTTCACTGAATCGAAGAAGCTAGAATAGGGAAGGCCCGAGGGATGGTCTGGCCAACCTTCTTGTTTTAAAAGATGAGGACGTGGAGGTCAAGGAGGTAGAGTGATCTGCTGCAGCTCACATGTCTGGAAAAGCACCCGAAAGCCTCGTTCCTCGTCCTCTGCTCTTCATTCCAAAATAGTCTGCTCTTCTGGGCCTGACAGCTGCTCCTTGCCGCCTGCCAGCGTGTCCTGCAGCACTCTGGTGTGGGCGGGCTGCTCCTGTCCTCTTTCTGACACAGGGGTCCCGAGGTCAACCGAAGTAGGTGAAATGGCCACTCCGCTGATGTAATTTTCAGACGGGCTTGGTTAATTCCAGTATTTTTGAAAGGAGAGTTTTAATTCCTGCATCTTCTCCTTACAAGGGGAGATTCTGAGTTTGGCCCCTTAGCCAGTGCTGTGTGACTTACTTTCGTTAGGAGTTTTTGTAAGCCTTTCTGAGACAGACAGACCACATCTGGAGCAGATTGCACGCCTGCATGCAGGCCACATGTCGTGGCCCCAGCTCCTCCCTGCTACTAACCAGCCATGTTCTTTTCTGCCCGGAGCAGCAGTTGGACCCCCCTCAGAAGGAGCGGCTTGCGGCTGCTCTAGCCGAGATGGAGCGGCAGCTCAGGAAGCTGGCGGACACCCCCTGGCTGTGCCAGCCCCTGGAGCCTGGTGATGAGGAGGTATTTGGGTCACGGGGCTTCAGCGTGGGCACCTCTGGATGCGGCGGCTTTCCCTCAGTGCCTGTAATCACTGTGACCTGTGCAGCTTTGAGATTAAGATGGTGTCCGTCTTGCAGCCCCTGATAAGGCTTCTCAGGACTTCTCTGTTAAAACACCTTGGAGGTGTGGAAGAAGACTGGCAGGGAGGAGGTTGGGAGTTAGTATTGAGCTCAGTCCTTGATGACTGGGGCACTTGTCACCCTCAGAAACAGAATGGCTGGGCTGGCCAGGAAGCTGATAGGTGGCTGAGCCCAGCCCTGCTGTTTGCCCCCGGTGTGAGGACACATCGGTTGGTTAAATGGCAGCTGCTTAAGTTTGTTGATGACAGGGACAGAGTTGGTGTGTCCCGTTCACGATCACACTTGTGTTTTGCATGTATTTAGAGACTTTGGCTTGTCGTAGGTCCTATAGCCAGGACGGACAGGAGCCCAGGCATATGGCACCAGGAGGTTGCTGCCTCCTGCAGCAGGGAGACAGGCAGGAAGAGCCCGGGAGGGGTGCTTGTTGTACGGTCGGTTTTGTGGGTGGCATCTTGATAAAGACGAACTGAAGGGTGCTTTTTTCCTTAGGGGTAGAGCAGAGGTGGGCCGGGAGAAAAGTTCATCCTAGGCTAGGGTTCTACAGTCTTGCCAGAGAAAGGATGTTAGACATGACATATCTGGCACTCCTGCTGCCAGTTTTGTTCGTTAAAACCTGGTGGCAGCAGTTAGGTGATGGTACAGAGGAGGGTTACAGCAGTCTATACTGCTCTGCTCTGAACATGCAGGCATTTGTTGACAAATGTAGACCCTGCATGGAAAACTGACTCAGAGGCCTCCCAGCAAAGCAACAAAACTCAGCAGCATATGTATGAGAACATTTTGGCTTAAAGGGGCAGGCCAAGCTCATCAAAATAAGTTAAACTCTGAATTCTAAATACTAAATTTTCATTTAAAATTTTTTTTGTTTTATTTATTTTTGAGACAAAGGCAGAGCATGAGTTGGGGAGGGGCAGAGAGAGAGACACACACAGAATCCAAAACAGGCTCCAAGCTCAGAGCTGTCAGCACAGAACCCGATGCAGGGCTCGAACCCACGAATCGTGAGATCATGACCTGAGCTGAAGTTGAACGCTTAACCGACTGAGCCACCCAGGTGCCCCACGAAATTTTCATTTAAAAAAAAATTCCTCAAATGATAGTATATAAAATGTTTAATAGACGTAACAATAACATAGTCCTTAATTCCAGATTAAGTTACCAAAGCCTGTGAAGTGAACAGTGAGATGGGGGGGCTGGGAAGAAGACAGGGACAGAGAAATGAAGGAAGACACATTAAATTCCTTCTTTTAAGATGGAAGGTTTAAAAAAAGATTCTTGACTGATAATTAGGGAAATGCAGTTAGTTAATCTTTAAAAACATAGGTAGTTCTAGTAGAATTGAAAAGGTTTATGTTGACATTGGACTCTGTGCTGACAGCTTGGAGCCTGGAACCTACTTCAGATTCTGTGTCTCCCTCTCTCTCTCTGCCCCTCCTGGGCTCATTCTCCCTCCCTCTCTCTCTCTCTCTCTCAAAAATAAATAAATAAACATTAAAAAAAAAGAAAAAGTTTGTTTTTCCAAATCAGTTTTTTAAAAACAAAATATAATCTACGTTGTGAAGGAAAATAAGGGACCAGTGAAGATGTAGCTAACAGCATAAAAGCGTAGCTTCTCTTCTGAAAAACAAACTATCATAAGATTGCATTAAAAAGGTAATCTAACTATATACCAATCACAAAAGTCCAGTTTTCTCTCCCTACCCCCAATAAAAACTTAAGACACAAAAAGATAAAAAATTTCAAGAAAATACACAAAATCTGAAGTTACAGTATTGATATAAAACTAGATTTGCAATAAATGATAGAGGATCACTTTATATTGGCAAAATACAATAATACTATAATCATAAAATTTTTTTTGTCTTTTTGATCTATCTGTTACTGTCAAACTCTCTGACCATGAATGTAGATAGCTCAGTTTACCTTTGTGTTCTTATTTTTGCTTTCTGTGTTTTGAGGCTATATTGTTGGGTACATATAAGTTTTATCATTATGTAAAGACCCTTAGTAATTGTTTCTAAGTTTACTTGTTTGGTATTTTCATCTTTATACTTTTACTTTCAAGTTTTATTTGAGGTGTCTCTCTTGTGAATAGCACGTTGTCAAATGTTGAATTTTTATCTAGTCTGTCACCTCTCTGTTTTAACTGGAATGTTCAGTCTATTTATCTCTATTGTGATTATTGATGTATTTATATGTACATTTTGCCATATTTTGTGTTTTATATTTGTCCCACTTTTTTGTTTTCATTTTTCCCTTTTGATTGAGAAGTCTCTCCTTCTCACACAACAACTCTCTTTGTCCTCTCTAGTAATTTGGAAATAGATACTGTCTATCCTTTTAGTGATTACCCTCCAAATTTTAATTTGTATAAAATCTGTAAAGCAAAAACTTCTTGAAATGGGGAAAAGTGACAGAAACCAAAGTGTAATGTGAACAGTCACTGTCAGTCCATGATTAATGAAATAAATTATATCACAGCATATGAACAAAAAAAGCTTGGAAAAATATATAGAACATATCATGTTTCTACAGAGAGAGAGCTTTATGCCCTAAAGAGGGAATATCTTTTTTCTGGTTGCCCATAGGACATTTTTCAAAATTGTATCATATTTTAGATAAGCAATACTAATAGGAGTCTCTGTTATTCTAGAAATAGGGAGCGTTTAGAAACTTTTAAGCAACTAACAGAAAAATTTTATTTCTCTTGAAAATAATAAAAAATTCAGGCTTGTATTTTATATGTCCTTTTTTGGTTTCATTTAAAAAAATTTTTTTTTGTTAATTTCTGAGAGAGAGAGAGAGAGACAGACAGCGTGACCAGGGGAGGGTCACAGAGAGAGGAGGGAGACACAGAATCTGAAGCAGGCTCCAGGCTCTGAGCTGTTAGCACAGAGCCTGACGCGGGGCTCGAACCCACAAACCGTGAGATCATGACCTGAGCTGAAGTCGGACACTTAACCAACTGAGCCACCCAGGCACCCCTGGTTTCATTTTTTTAGTAGTTTATTTTATTGCATTTCATGAGAGTACCAGTCCACTGTCGACTGGAAATTGTTAAAATTGGTTCCTTTACAGGCGTGGTGTGAGCAGCACAGTGCCAGGCCATGGGGCCAGATACCATAGTCATCAGCTGTGGGCCCTGGCTTCCCACGCCCTTCCCCTGGCGGGTAGGTAGCTTCCCCCTCTGTGCAGATTCCCTCTGAAGACAGAGGAGGGCTCGGATTTTACGTGGTTCATGGGCTGTGTGGCCGCTGCTGCAGAGGGAGGCTCGCAGCCTGGTGCCTGGTTGCAGGGCAACCAGTCATCTTCGTTTGTTTGGGACTTTCGGGTCTTAGTATTAAAAGCTCCCGTTTCACCAACTATGGTTCCAAAGCTTTAAGCATAAACATGTTTTCAAAACAAATGTCACCAAATGTGGAGCAGAAACCACACGAGTTCCCCTGGTGCTCTGACCTTATGAGTCCTTGAAACGTGTGTAGTGGCCCCGGTTTCGAGGGTTGCTAGTTGTGAGCTCATGAGACGGTGCAGGTACCAGACGGGAGAGATGGCTCCAGGGGCAGGCTTAGCTGCAAAACTAGAAACCCTCGAGCCGGCCAGGGCAGAGCAGGGAGGGGGTGGGGTGGTGTTCTTGCAGGCATTCCTCTCCGGGAGCCTAAGGCCGGAACCTGCAGCCAGGTGTCCGGGGAGGGAAAGGAAAACCACTCTCGCTCCCCGGGGCCTCCCGCCTTCTCCAGCCTTCTCTGCCTGCTGCCAGATGGCTCCGTGCTCCTGTCCTCTGGGACTCTGGCTCCCCCTCGGTGCGGGCAGAGATGGGGGTGGGGTTCAGTGGGCAGAGGGGAGCTTGGGGGCGGTGCCACATTTCTACCGGCATAAAATAGGAAAATTATTTATTTGAGAGCAAAAAAAAGTTGACAAATCTGTGAGCTAGTTCTTTGAAAGTATTGACCCTGAACGATAGTCTGAACTGTTTGGGTCCACTTATAGGTGGGGATTTTTTGGGTAAATATAGTGCAGTCCCGTAAATATATTTTCTCTTATGATTTTCTTAAGTCTGGCTGGGAAGTGCAGAGGGATTGAAGGTCATCCCCCCCCCCGCCCCTGCAGTGGGAAGCACTTGATTTCGGGGGGGGGGGTCCTTGATGGGTAGCGGTACCTGTGGTGTCCCCCTGAAAGATGACAGCATGTCTCACCTGTGAGGAGCAGGGCAGTCACTACACCACTGGTGATGCCCTCTGCCGGAGGATGGGAAGCTGGATGGGACCTGCAGCTCCGTTGGGGTGGGGGTGGGGGGGCAGGGAGCCGTCAGTCGGTCAGAGTCAGAATAGGAGCCGTCTTACAGGACAGACAGCTGGCTTCTCTGAGGGCAAAGGCCGAAGGCGGGGAGCCCGAGTGCCACAGCAGCTGAGTGTCACAGGCGGCCCTCATGGCAGTCTGATTCAGACAAAGCAGCAGAGGATAAACCTTCACAGTGGTCGGGGAGAGTTGCTCTCATTAGATATAATTAGACACGAGTGAGTTCTTGCTGGCGTCCTGAGTGACGGTGGTGCCGTGGTCAGGCGCTCTAAGAAGAGAGGGTTCCCGTCGTGCAGGGTGGCACACTCAGGTATTTGTGGGGGCAGTAGATGGGTGCCTTCAAGGGCAGGGAGGCGAAATAAGACCGCACGTTGGCAACGAGCCTCATTCTACTGGCCTCCCCATTTTATGAAGGGATGAAAATACTCATGTTAAAAGTTAGAAATCAATTTAATATTCCTGTGTGCATTTTTTTAAAAAAGGACGTTTTGAAGTCAGGAGTAGGATTTTGTTCGGGCCGTGCTGCAGGACAGCTGCCTGTCCCCGCGGTCGCCACGTCCCGTGGAAAGTGCTGGGAGCGCGGCGGCACCAGCCAGTCCGGGCAGAAGAGCCTGGTCACCTGGTTGCTGAAGGCCTTGAACGGAGCAGCCGTTAGAATTGAGAGTTGAGGGTTTTGCCAGATGTAACACGTTTGTAAAAATAGGTTCCTGCACCCTGCAGTCATTGGCTAGACATCCCACCGTAAGAGGTATCTTTTGTTCGTCAAGAATGTGAGACATGAAATGCTTCAGATTAAGAGATACACGAAGGGGCCATCAGGGGCACAAGGAAAATTGGAGGCACGACAGAGCACGTTCCCAGGCACACTGGGTCATTCCAGTGACAATCCCTTTCAGATCTGCAAGTGTCGCAAAGCCAAAAGGCTAACTGTGCGTCGGTGGTCCCGGGGCAGGAAGAAACAGGCACAGGTGAAAAATAAGGAGATAGTGCTTTATTTGCGAGTGCAGGGGCGATCCATGTACACAGGTTATAAATACGGGCACGTGCATTGTGTGCGCAAAGCGTCCTTTACCGCGGAGGTCCCCATCCTAGCTCGTGTGAGAACACGTGTGGTCCGCATACCAGCGGGGAGGGGGCAGTGTTCACTCCAGCCGTGTCCTGGACGGCTCTGGGGGGAGGTGGCTGCCAAGCGGGGGCCCGGTGTCCCTGTCCCTCTGGCTCCCTTCCCTCCTCACTGCTTCAGGGGGCAGGTCCCAGGGAGAGAGCGCTAAGTGCAGGAAAGGCTGGTTTAGAAAGATAGTCCAGTACCGGTGGCCCCGCCTGGCAGCGCAGCACTGGGTCGGCTGGGAGCCTGCTGGGTAATCTTTGTATGATGTGCTGACGTTGAGGGAATGTCTGAAGCTTTTTAACCACATGAGAAACATGTTCTAAAATGATAGCCGAATGTGAAACTAGACACTGTGCAGTCACTGCGCAACCACTTTTAAGAGGCGTCACAAATCCATCAACGCCAAGACTAGAAACCAGGGGAACCCGAGTGAGAGAAGCCGGGACCGCAGCCCCTCTGCCAGGCTCCCCGCCTCTCTGAGAAGTGACTCGGGCCTGGCTGGATCGGGTCTGACCCTCCGTGTCTCTCGCTTTCCCTACAGAATGTGATGCTGGAGCTTTCCAAACGCAGCCGCAGCGGCAAATTCCGCCTGGTGACGAAGTTTAAGAAAGAGAAGAACAGCAAGAACAGAGAAGCCCGCAGTAGCCTGGGAGCCCCGGGTACCTGCCCTCACGCTGCCCTCCGGCCGTCTGCGCCCGCCGCCGGGGCCCTCCTTGTCCCTGCGCTCTCTGCGGCCTCGCGGCTCTTCCCCACGGTCCGGGTCCCCGCCTGTGCCGCGGCCCCGGCCCTGTCTGTAGCCGCAGGACCGCGCCTTCGCTTCCCACGCCGGGTGGTCGCTCTTGGCCGGGGTCGCTCCCCGGGCTGACTCCCGCATCCCCCATCGTCATCATCGGGGCTGCAGGGTGGGAGGAGGGCCGCAGAGGTGACGGACACTCGGAGCCGCGGAGCTCACGGAGCTCACGCTCAAGTCTTGTGCTGGGCCCACTGGGCCTGCCTCTTGGGAGGGGCTGCCGGTCCCCCGCCAATGAGTCATTGATCCAGGCCCTGTGCTGGAGCCCCGGCCACCAGACTGCAGGCGGCCAAATCAGTGGAAAATGGCACTCAAGGACAGTCTGGGGGGAGAATCAATAAATTGGGGCCTAAAAATCTGGAAGGTTGGCTCTGAGCAGGGCTGTTCCAGTGCTCTCAGGTGCCGGGAAGCCCAGGTTTGGGTTTGTAGGTGGTGGTCGCTCCCTCTGGTTTCTCTTTTTTGCTTGTTTGCCCAGCGGTTGCGTTTCTTTTAATGATGGTGGCTCTGACCACCTGAAATCTCTGCCTGTTTCCCTTCCTGCTCTGGACCAGGAGTGATGGGAATCCTCTAGAAAGGAGGGCAAGCTGACTGCAGCTCACAGTCAGAGTGGCGTTTTCCTCTTAAATAGTGGCATCCAGTCCCCCTTGGGACACGTGACAAATGTCCAGAAGGCTGGTGGCCAACCTGGCAGGAACAGATGGCAGCTCCTGCTGTGGCTCGCTCCCCCTGAAAGTGGGCGGCTCGCCTGCCTCTTCCCGCAGAGCTCTGGGTGGTGCGCGGGGCTGAGTGGCGGGTGCCGGCTGCTGGGGGCGTCTGGGGGCTCCCTACTGCTGGGGCGTCTGGGGTCCCTACTGCTGGGGCATCTCCTACTGCTGGGGCATCTCCTACTGCTGGGGCGTCTGGGTGCCGGCTGCTGGGGCGTCTGGGGTCCCTACTGCTGGAGTGTCTCCTGCTGGGGCGTCTGGGTGCTGGCTGCTGGGGTGTCTTGGGTGCCAGCTGTTGGGGGCATGTGGGTGCTGGCTGCTGGGGCATCTCAGGTGCTGCCTGTTGGGGGCATGTGGGTGCTGGCTGCTGGGTATCTCGGGTGCCGGTTGTTGGGGGCATGTGGGTGCCGGCTGCTGGGTATCTCGGGTGCTGGTTGTTGGGGGCATGTGGGTGCTGGCTGCTGGGGCGTCTGGGTGCTGGCTGCTGGTGGTCTCCGGCGCCGGCTGCCACCTGCCTCGCACTGGGCTCTGGGCACTCACTGCCTTCGTGCTTTTCCGTCTCTGACAGTTCACCTCTGGGGGACAGAGGAGGTTGCTGCCTGGCTGGAGCACCTCAGTCTCTGTGAGTATAAGGACATCTTCACTCGGCACGACATCCGGGGCTCCGAGCTCCTGCACCTGGAGCGGAGGGACCTCAAGGTACTTCCATGGCGGCCCCTGGGGCCCGGCCTGGGCTCCCCGCACTCCCTTCTCTGTCCCTCCCTCGAGCTGGCCATGCCCCTGCGTCGTCAGACTGCCCTCATGCATGGCTCACAGTGACACGTGGAAGTGGCTGAGAGGCCACCTCTGGTCCCCCAGCAGTGGCGTCTCCACCCGCCACAGCCCGACAGCCAGAGCAGGAGTCATGGAGGGGGGGTCTTGCTTTTCTTAACCTCGTTGCACCGATGAACTATTTTAACATTAAAAACCCTGTTGCGGGGGTTGGGAGGGGGCCTGGCTGGCTCGGTAGGGGGAGCATGTGACTCTGGATTGCAAGGTCGTGGATTGGAGCCCCACGTTGGGGGCGAGGCCTACTTAAAATTTAAAAAAAAAACAACAAAACACCACCCGAAACAGCCCCGTTGGGGGACACAGCCCTGTGCTGATTGGCCCCCGGAGGTCTGTGTGTGAGGACGGCCCCCAGGGGCGGGCCCCTCTCCCTTTGGGGCCCACACACGGGCACACCTCGAGCTTCCAGACTGAGGAAGCGAGTCACGTGACTCCTTGGTGCCCAGTGCGTGCCCGGTGCGCGTGGGAGGTCATAATAGGCCGACGTGCACTCCTCAAGTGAAAAATCCTTTCTGGCTACAAAATGCTGACCGTCATCTGGGCTTCCAGGGAGCCACAGTCACTGGCCACAGATGACCGTGACACATTTCGTAGCCAGAAGGTCTGAAGTATCGCGAGGATTACCAGCCTGTGACACAGAGACTTGCAGTGAACAAGTGCTGCGGGGGAAGCGGCTGCAGGCGCAGCGCGGGCGGGGCGGCAAGATGGGGTGTGCCCGTGGCGGGGGAGCCCGGGGAGACCAGGCCGGAGCGCGACCCCCCCCAGCTTGAGGTGCAGTCGGCTCGGGCCTGCCTGACCCGGGGCCCGCGGGGCCGCGCCGAGAGGGTGCCGTCCTCAAGGCAGCTTTCCCGAGTCGCCTGCCCCCCGCCTGCTGCCGGGTGGGGCCTCTCTGTCTTGTGCGGCCGCGGTGACCTGGTGGCTCTCGGGAGAGGTGTGGCGCGCGTCTGCACGACTGTCCCTGTGTGTGCCGTCCCCGCCTCCTGTCCCCGTCTCCATCTGTTCGCCCACGTTTGTGCTGGGCAGGCTGGGGAGGAAGGCCCGCGGGGGCGCGGCGCCCTGCCCGGCGTCAGGCTGCTGTCCTCTCGTTGCAGGACCTCGGCGTGACCAAGGTGGGCCACATGAAGCGGATCCTGTGTGGCATCAAGGAGCTGAGCCGGGGCGCTCCTGCCACCGAGGCCTAGCCCTGGCCCTGTCGGCCTGCGTCCCCCGCTCACCCCGTGACTGAGGCGGGGACACGCTGTCCCTCCTCATGGTGCTACCCCCCCGCCCCCCCCGCTCCAGACAGGAAGCCTCGCGGATGCCCCTTCAGTGACCGTTCCGGGGCGTCGCCCACACCAACACAGCTACCTTTGAAACAACACCTTGTCCGGCCGGACGCCGTGCGGGGAGGACCGCCCCTGCCTCTCCGCCCTGCGACCCGGGCCCCTGGCCGGCCTGTGCGCGCTCTCCCCGCCGCCAGCCCTGTAACTGCGCGCCGTGTGGCCTCTCCCGGGTGTGCAGACCACCTGGCCCGGCTGGCAGCCTCCCGCACTGGAAGGTTCTGTGTCCGCCGGCCCCCCCCCCCCCCTTCTTCTCAGCAGCCTTGCGAGGCCACCACCTGCCTGGCGCCCCTCCCGCGTGTTCCTGAGTCTTTGGCGAAGATGCTGCCCCTCCTGCCTCGAAAGCGGCCCAGGCGCCGCCCACGTCGGGGCACTTGGCCTCTGGAAGCCGAGCAGACGGCCGGGTCTGGTCCTGGGCTCGCAGACCCCCTCCCCGGTTGCCTTTGGTCTCGTCCTGGTTTGCGCCTTCCTCGTGAGCTGCTGGCGTGGGGCGTGGCCGCTCTGTCCCCGAGAGGCCGCAGCCCCGATCTCCCCGCAGACAGAGGATGTGTCTGCGCGAGCCTGGGGTTCGTGAGCGCGAGCGCTTCCCGGGCGCCGGGGGTGCCTCCCTTGCGGGGGAGCGTCCTGACCGCCCCTGACCCCGTGCGTGGCTGGCTGCCTCACGCCGCTCTCGCCCACCCCCCCCCCCCCCCGCACCGCCACAGCTCAGCCTGCGGGGCTCTGTGACCCGGCCCAGCTGCCAGCCGGGTCCCCACGCCCCTACCCTGTAGCTCACGTCACCCCTCGTCCGCGTGAGGGCACGGGGCTGCGGGTGTCATCCAGTAACCCTTGGGGGGCTCACCGCTGAACAGCATCTGCCTGTTCCTTGCTCGGCAGGCCCCTCCCCCTCACCCCTACCCCGTGAGCCCGGCCAGGCCTCTGCTGCCGGGTTGGAGGCTCTCCTGCCAGCGGCATGGTGGGTGCCTGGCCTGCTCCTGTCCCCGAGGGTGTAGTGGCGGCGCCAGCACGGGGCGGGGCGGGGCCTGTGCTCTGCGGTGCGCCGTTGTGCGGGGCCTTCCCGACCCCAGCGTCCCCTGTGCCGTCTGTTGGCCGCATTGGACGTGGGAAGGCAGAGAGGGACGATCTGGCCACCGGAGGTCACTGGCTTTTAAGGTAGAACAGGCTGACAAAGGAGACTGTGGGGACCTGAGCCCAGGTACCAGACGGTGTGCTCTGTCACCTCTGGCTGGGCCCTGGGCTCTGGGGTCCTTGGAGCAAGCAGGGGTCAGGCCCGCGCTCGGTGAGGAGGGGAGCGGCGGCTGGTGCTGATGCTGTGAGGCCGGCCTGTGCCCTCCGTGCCCTCCCTTGGGCGAGCCTGAGGGCTGGGCGAAGCATGGTGTTTAGAATTAATATTCTGTCAATGATTAAAACACTGTTTACGTAAAAACCGTTTTTCTGATTCTAGTAAGAGGTGAGTGGAGTAAACGTGGGTGTCGCATGGAAGTGTCTCGGTGTCGGGCGGTGGCCGTGTCGCTTTCCGTGAGGCCGCTCCTCTGCCTGCCCCCCCGCCCCTGCTGTGGCTGGGCGCTGTCCCGCGGGGCCCCGGTCCTGTCCGCATGGAGGAAGGAGGGAAGGGTCCTGGGGAGTCTTGGAGAAAAGGTTTTGTGCCCTCGGGTGGGGCTTACCCCTCATATTTATGATCTTAATTTATACAGTGCCCGCCGTGGAAGCAAATGCCTCCAGGATTGCCATGTACAGACCCGGTCTGGGCTTGTAAATAGGTCGTTCTGTGTATAAATAAAATCTTCCGTTGTCAGATTTCTTGTTGTCATTCTTTGTTGCCCAGATCTTTCCATACCGGCTTTAGGATTGTGTCTTTTAGCTACTCTAGAAATATGTTGGCGCGGCTGAAAAGCAAAATGGAAAGCCATTGTGTTTCTTGGGGTGTGGGTGCAAGGATCTGTTGAATTAGCAACTCCGGCAGGAGGCGGGGCCCTGAGCAGGGCAGAGATTCCCGACTTCACCACCTGCAGCAGGGACCAGCCGACTGAGGGAGGGTCGTTTAAGCAGAGTCTCGTTCTCCTAAGTCTTTCATATAAAACTGTAGACCACAAGCTCTTCTCTCTTTCCATTTACTCACCGTACCTTTATCGCAAGGGATCAAGGTCAGGGTCACTGTGTCATCTCCCAATTCCCTGGGATGAGGGATGGTGACCGGAATCACAGGATTGAAGATGAGGCCAGAAGGGCACAAAAAGCCGCCGCTGTGGGCTTTGAATGTATTGGTGGCCTCTCCAGCGGCTTGTCCCCCTTTCCTTGCTCGTTGGAGCCCTGGTTTCACTCTGGTGTACCGCCTCCTCCCATGTGGCCATCCAGGATCAGGCCTCATGGCTACAAGATGGCTGCCGCCATGCCGGGCATCACACCCAAATGTGACCATGTCCAGGGTAAGGTGCGTGTGAGCAGGTGATGGTCTTCTGTGTCTCTTTAAGATAAAAGGACCTCCCCTGATGTCTCACTGTCTAGAATTGCATCCTAGGACTTTATTGGTCAGTGCAAAAGGATGGGGTCGTGCTGGTGACGGATTGTGGTACTAACACACTTCGTGTCTTACGCCAGGTGCTGGCCTGAGTGCTTCACGCAGACTAACTCCTTTATTTCCCCCAACAGTCCTACATCTCACAGATGAGGAACAGACTCAGGTTCCCAACTTGTCCCACATGTCTCCGCTCGCATGTGGCAGAGGTGGGGAGTCATGGGCAGGTGGGTGGGTACCTGGGGCCGTACCCCAAGTGCTGCCCTGTGTCCCAGGCCTGGCACCGAGCTCAGCCCACATGACAGGTGAGAAAATAGGCCCGGAACCATCACACACAGCCGTCCAGGCCCCGAAGCCTGGCTCGGGACAGCTTGCTGGGGGCGCCTCGATGACAGCGGCGGGGGTGGGGAGGGCCGCCGGGTCTCCGCCAGCTGCCAGCCTCCACCGACTGGCGAGGCCTGCTCGGGGCTGGGCTCCATTGTGGCACAGAGCAGGCGGGTGGCTTCCCCAGGGGACCTCATGGCGGGGGCGAGGGGGTGGGGCGGGAGGGGCAGAGGCCAGTCCAGAGGGGGTGAGGGCGAGGGTTCAAGTGTAATGCGGTTGCTAGACTTGCCAATACAGCGTGTGCAGAAAGTGGAGCCGCCGCCGCTCCCTGTTGAGAATTCCTCCGCCCGGGAAGTTGTCCCGTTCGGGAGGCCGAGCTGCTTAAACAAGTAAACCTTGGAGTGTAGTGGCTCAAGCCAGAGTGTACTTGTTCCTAGAACAGTCCCGGGGCCGGGATGGGGGTGGGGGGTGTTTCAGGCACTCAGGTACCCAGGCCGCAGCCCCCTCCGTGTGTCAGTTGGGGATCTGGCCCGTGTGGCCACGGTCACCTTCCTCCTGGGGTGGTGGGAGCGCGGGCGGGTGTGCGTGAGGTTTCCTGAGCCCACCTGGAAATGAACTTGGCTGGCGGCCCGGCCACGCCGGAGGTGCGGGGGGCGGGGCCGTGGGCCGTGCTCATCATGAGCCTCTGCTCTGGGGCCGCTCTCCTTGAAGGTCCCTCCGCTGACGCACACCTTGCCCTGCTCTCCCCCAGGTGCTTCCCAGGTGCTCGCCTTCCCAGGAGGCACAGGTCGCTGAGGGGAGAGGAGGGCCGGCCTCGGCACGCGGACCCTTGGCACCACCCGGCTGGCAGTGTTCCGTCGGCCAGCGTGGCCTTTACCTGCTGCCCGGGATGCTGACCTCGCACCTGGAGGCTGACGTCTGTGACCCAGGGACCGTCCTTGGTCCCAGGCGGTGTAGCCGCACGTCTACACTGAGTGATAGCGGAAGGTGGCTTGGGGGAAATTAAGCTTTGGGACGGGGAGGCGAGAGAGGAAATTGAGACCCATCTAGCGCTTCATCCTGCCCCCTCCCCCTCCCGTGTCCCACAGCCCTTTATGGAAGGGAGAACTCTGACCGTGACTGAGATGGTCCTCCGCGCTAAGCGAAGCCTGGGGATGCAGCCGCCGCGGCGGGTTGCGGGTGCGCCCGCACAACGTAGGGAAGACCGACGTGTTTCTCAAGCTGATACCTAGGCTGGCGTGACTTTTGTATTGATCCCGTGTTTAAGCTTTTAATATTTTGTTCCTTATGGATTTTTCTGCATTAATTTTGATTTCTAAAAATGCTGTTATTAAAGACAGCTCTGTCTTGATTACTGAGATTTTTGGGCACCTTTGAGTTTTGTGCCCGAGGCCTCCACTCGCCCAAGTCCTGACCCTTCTGTTTTCTGACCTAATTGTGAACGTCAGACCTCAGACTCTCTCCGCATCTGTAGAAGCCACTGCTTGAAGCTTCTAATCAGTTTCCTGTCTCCTGCCCCACTCACAGAACCCCCGCACCATCCGGGTGACGCCAAATGTGCCCTGCAGGTGTGGCATTCTCCAGCCTCTTCTGCAGGTGACCTTAATAATGGCACCAAGCTTTGGCCCAAAGACACATAAATATTAACTGAAATTTCCAGAAAGTTTCCTTTAAAACATAGATGCCTTTTTTTTTCCTCCTGCTGCTAGCCTGGAGGGTAGACATGATGGGTGGAGCTCTAGCAGCCAGCGTGGGCCATGAGGATGGAAACCTACTCCTTGGCATCTCCGTGGTCTCCATGAAGTTCCTCCCCACACCTGCCACGCTTCTTTTATGTGAGTGAGAACTACGTGTGTCTTGTCTCTGAGTTGAACCTCATTCCCGAAGCCTGCCTTCCATAAAGATTTTGTATTTGGAAGGCCAAAGCGAAAGCATAGAGACGCGGGTTGTACCTATTATAGAGGTGGGGGGCCAAAGAAGGGGGACCCCCAGGGGAAGGGGGAAGTAGTACAAAGAAAGCTTCTGGGCAGACTGATGCACACGTGGGGTGGGGTGTTTGCGGGGCGTGGAGGCCACTCTGAAGCCGGGGTGTGAGAGCACGGCCTGGACGTGAGCAGGCAGGAACTCGGGCACAGCCCGTTCGTGGTTTTCGTCACAAAAGCGAACCAGGCGTGCAAAGCTCATAGAGGAAAAGCAGCTGGCTGGGAGCTCGAGGCTTTGTCGCTCGCGCTGTCGAGGGAAGATCGACTACAAGCCTCCCGAGCGCTCACGCTCAGAGATTGTGTCACCGGGTGATGAATGTGGTCACTCGGCCCCAAGGTCATCGTGACGGGCCTCCAGGATGTGCACACTCAGGAAGGACGTGCACACTCAGGAAGGACGTGCACGAGTGGTGCCAACCCAAAGGGGAGTTCTCCCGGCGTCCGGCCAGGTCACGTGTGCCCACAGGGACAGCCGACCTCCAGGTGGGCCGGAGGGCAGGGAGCTCGCACTGCTGTCCAGCCGCGTGGGTCCCGACCTGCGAGAGGCTTAGCTGTGGTCATCCTCACCCCGTGTACACTGTGTACACTGGTGCCGCCTCCGGTTTACAGCGGCCTTCTAGGCACCAGCCGCCCAACCCTGAGCAGCTAGGGGCAGCGGACCTGCCCCGGAGACCCCAGACCCGGGCCGGGACCAGGGACCGCATCCCTCTGGGATGGGGGAGGGGACTCGAGTATGGTCGGGGTATAGGCCGAATAGCGCGGATAGCAGGTGCGGCGCCGTCAGCCAGGAACCATCTGAATGGTCCCGCCCGTGGACCTGATCTCAGCCCGAGTTGCCGGAACCAGCCTGGCCTGGGTTCAGTGGCCCGGAAGTGAAGCGTCCTGGCCACTATACCGCGCAGACAGCGACACAGGCCACCGTGGTGAGTGGCTGCTCTCCTGGGTGCAGGGGCGGGGTGGGGGCGCAGAGCGGGGAATGGAACCAGAACCAGCTCTTCCTCTCGTGTGCACTTGGCCTTGGGAAGGGAGTGAATTTCCAGGCTGTAAACACACCCACAGTAAATTTTACCGGCCGGAGCGGTGGATGGGCGGGTCACGGAGGACAGAACGAGAGGGGCTGCTCGTGGCCCCCGTGGTCCTTTGCGGTGAAGTCTGTTCCAGAGAGAAACTGGCATCTTCGAAGGCATGGTTTTTGATCATCAGAAATTCTGGTGAATCCCCCTGGCCCCCCTTTTGCCAGAGAAACGTCCTAGTGGAATGAATGTTCTCTGTAATGCAGCCAACCACTGCCCCTTCTCCAGAAACTTCCCATTTCTTCCAACACGGTTTGCCCCAGGAGTCTGAATTTATTTAAACTTCTGAAGCAGGACCGAGACCGTATTTCTAAATCTGTTTATTTAGCCTCTGACGTGTGTCTGGGAAGAAAAGCGGGTAGAGACAAGAAGATCGGCTTATTGAACAAGGCCTCACGGCCCCCGGGGCCCCGCTCCACCCCCACCCGGAGGGACGGAAGGACGGACAGAAGGCAGGACGAAGGCACGTGCGCCGGCGCGGTCTCCGGCGGGAACGTGTGGCGAGGCCTCGGGCTTCTCCCAAGCACAGGTGTGCAGTCACTGCGTCGCTATCTTACGACTGTACAGCGACCGGGCCGCCCACGGAGCGTGTGTGAAAGGAACGGCCGCGGAGGGACAGGCTCCAGCCACGACCCCCTCACCTCTGGCGTTGGCGTCAGGGAGCCACACAAGGTGCATCTGTGGAGCCCGTCTACACCCGCGTGGGAGGCCCCTAGGGTGGATCCAGCGTCTGGGGCCCAAGAGAGCAAGTCAGGCGTCTCACACCACCGCCGCTTCAGTCCAAACGCGGACACGACCCGGGCACGGTGACGCCAGACACGGTGCCTCCCCCCGCGGCTGGGACCGGCAGCTCGCACCGGTCTTCCCGCCACCGAGTGCGGGCTGGGGGAAGGGGCGCCGATGGCCTCGCGGCAAGAGCTGCCGCAAAGCCTCACGTGAGGTAGGAGTGAGCGCGTTCCCTTCGCAGCAATCCCGCTCCGGCCCGGCGGGGGGTGCACGGTCCCTGTGTCCTCGTCCCCCGGCTCGGGGACCGACGCTGCTCCGCCACGGATGCCGGTGAAGTCTGAGTGTTAGCCACGCTTAGTCAGGAGGAAAAGGATCCTGGTTTACGTTTTCTGTTTGGAGGAAACTCGGGGCCATCGCTCGGCCCACGCCAGGCTTCCGGACACAGGGGCTTTGGCAGCGGCGGCAGCAGCGAGAAGGTTCTGATCGCAGGCAGCACAGGGCAGAGGGCACCTCGGGGCTGCTGAGCCGCCACCGGGGTCGCCACCCCTGAGGGTTCCTTCTCTTCAGCCGCGTCCGCTGAGCCCAAGGGGCCACCCTGTCTCCTCATTCTGGAAAGAGAGCTAATGCTTTAGAAACGGTTTTAACTCAGAGGAAAGGGAATCATGTGCCGTGCGGGGGCCCGAAGTACCCTGTGTCCCGGCAGGAGCCGGGCCAGCCCGCCGGCGTGAGCGGAGCTGTAGGAATCCGTGTTAACACACAACCACCGGGTCTGAACAGCGGAGGACGGCCGAGCGTGAGCGCTGCAGGCGGCGGACGTTCCGAGGGTAGCAACGTGCCGCGTTATCCGTGCCCGCAGTTCATGCGACGCCGGTCCGTTTTCGTGTACAGTGGCGGCCGGGGTGATGTGCGGTGCGAGGGCAGCGTGTGACCGGCCGCGGGGCGACACGGCCAGGTCTGTGCAAGCCCCCCACGGGGACGTGTGCGTGACACAGTACACTTGCCTGGCGGGAGGTGGCACATCCCTCTGCCTGTTAGAAAGCGGAGGGTCTGGAGTCGCGTCTGCAGAAGGCCAAAGCCACACAGCGGCGCTCACGGCGGCCCCGGGGAGCTGTGGCCGCAGCAGAGCCCCCTGCCCACCGCCGCCAGGACCCACCCCACCGGGGTGCGGAGACCACGGGGACGTCGCGGCCACCAGCGTTATCTGAAGCTCCCAACGTGGATGGAAAGAGATGCCTCTGGTGCGCGGGGCCGGCCGGGCGTCTTGGCCCTGGAGCAAACGTCACTGCCCTGCACACGAAGGGCTTCTTGGCTGCGGGAGACAGGAGAGGCGGTCACGGACTCAGGGCTGTGGACACCACAGGCCTCACCAGGGTCAGGAGCTTGGAATGACTCCAGAATTCATTCCAGCTTCTAAGGGTCGAGGTAGAAAGGGCCACAGGGATGTGTGTTTGCAATTTTGACAGGGATTTCCAAACTGCTGAGTGGGAGAACCTCCTCTCTCCCCCCGCCGCGCCCCCCCCATGTCAGGACAGTGGTTTTTTGTACACTGTCCACACAGCGTGTCAGACTTGGCGCTTTTTCCAATCTGCCAGGTGAAAATGTCTCCCTGCAGAGTCCTCTTTACCTTCTGAACCAAGTAGAAGATTCACAGGCACACAGTGAGGCCGGGGGAGGCCGGCAGTACCTTTTCTGTTTTCCCAGAGCGAGCTGCCTCTGTGCTGCTTTTCCCAGGTCGTCTCTGGCAGTACCGAAATCTTCGTCATCCTCAACCAGGAGATTCTAGATTTCAAAATAATGAACAGTGTTTTTAGATCTCTTAGACTATGGTTAAGGTGTATGTAAAAAAATACGTCAACATGAGGAGATCTGAATTCACATGAACTGAACGAACATAAAACATCCTGGAACCACACCCGGCCGCCGATGGAAACGCCCCGCCAGCCTGCCCTCTGCCTCCGAGCGCGCAGCCCCACCGACGGCCGGCGCAGGGCTCGGACGGAGGAAGACATGGGCCCAGGGTCCTGCCCGGCTGGAAGCACAGCGGTTTCAGAAATCCTGTCACAGCAGCCACCTCCACAGTGACACTGTGGGTGTCTGTCCACTCCCCAGTGTCCCCACGTTCTCCCGAGGGACCAGACCTCGCTGCTCCTGGCACATGCCATCGGCTTCATACACGGACATCATTCACCATGAGCCCTGGCCGCCACCGCACGTGGGGACTGAGCACGACGCCAACCCTGAGCAGCGCTCACAGGAACACACGTGTCTTAAAGTGGCAGTTCTGAGGCCCGCCACCTGCCACCCGTGTGACTGATGGCCTCCGTCGTGTGCATTTGGGAGGGGCAACTACGTGCTGAGATACTGAGGAAACGCAGGAGGCTTTTGCAAGTTGCTCTTTGGTGGGAAAAACAAATCCGATACAACCTCCATTCCAGTAAGTGGTGCAGGGTGTGCTTTTCAAAAACTGAGAAAAGCTAACTACAAACCACGAGGAAATACAGAGGTAACGGGACAGACGTCCACGTCCTCAGAGTGCGTGGCCTGGGCGCCGGTTACGTAACTGTATCCCGCCGTCTTGGGGAGAAACGGAGGGGACATATGCAGACGGTGCTTGGTAGACTAAAAAGATGCTCCGTGAACGCTATTAACAGCACTGACCTTTGGCCACATTTGCTTCATTTCCCAGGAAAACACGGATTCCGTTGCTGGCGCTCCGCCCCCCAGCGGCCAGCGCTCCGTGGAGGTGAGCGCGGTTGATGCCGTCCTCCCTCTGCCCCTATTACTACCCGGGACTGTGGCCCTCAGGGACCCTCCGAGTTTTACAGGGTTTTACATTTCCCATAAATGACCATTTTGTGACTTTGTTTTCAAACTTCGATAACTGGATGTCTGTCTGTGTTGACGTCTGCAGCTCTGATGTATGGGTTTTAACTGCTGTGTTCTAGATCACCAGGTTGGTACTTTCCTTCGTTCTATCTGCCCCCTTTCTGAGGGTCACTGATGGTCTTTCCAGTTTACGCTGCAGTGAGCACTCCGCACACCTCCTCACTCATCCGTGTGAGCCGAGCCACTTCCGTCTGGGATCGCCGGGCTGTGCTGCACACGAGCGTCGGCCTGCCCAGCGCGGAGCTGCTCCCGGGGCCAGGCCGGGCACAGTCCTGCCGGCTGCCGCTCCCCCTTCAGCCCTGCTTCCTCCCGAGAACGGTGGGTGTCCGCCCTCGCCTGGCCGTCCTCTGTCGGGCTGCCTTTCCGTAACTGACAGATGCACTTCACGTTGTGGGCCATTATCCCTTATTCTTCGTGGCTGGTCTTTTCACACTTTGTGTCATTTCCTTCGATGAGCTAAAATTTTAACTTTTTATTTTTAGAGAGAATCTCAAGCAAGCTCTACACTCAATGTGGAGCCCGACCCCAGGATCATGACTTGAACCGAAATCAGGAGTCAGATGCTCAACCGACTGAGCCACCAGGTGCCCCCAGAAGTTTTACTTTTAGTGCAGATTTACCCATCCTTTTCTTTATGCCCTGTGCTTTTTGTTTTTTGAGAAAATCCTTATGTCTTAGAAGGATTTCTTAAATCTTCTAAAGGTTGGAAATCACTGCCTTTCACCTTTAAGTTTTCATATTGATGTATTTGGTGTGCGCACAACTGGATAGATTTTCCAGGGCTTGAAGCTCATATAAATTTGAGGACCCTCTTTATGAAGATTTCTTCTGTAAGAATAACCCATTCTCTGAGCACCATTTACCGAATAACCCTTTTTTTTTTTTTTTTTTTTTAAATATTTTTATTTATTTCTAGGAGAGAGACAGAGAGAGACAGCGTGAGCAGGGGAGGGTCAGAGAGAGAGGGAGTCACAGACTGAAACAGGCTCCAGGCTCTGAGCTGGCAGTCAGCACAGAGCCCGACGCGGGGCTCGAACCCACGAACCGCAAGATCATGACCTAAGCGAAAGTCGGACGCTTAACCGACTAAGCCACCCAGGCGCCCCCCGAATAACCCATTTTTAATGTCGCCTCAAGTACCTCCCCTCCTGCCTGCTTTGTCACTTAGCACCTGGTGAGGCGAGCATCCAGACCATGGTCTTTATTTTACTTAATGTTTATTTCTGAGAGAGAGGGAGACACAGAATCTGAAGCAGGATCCAGGCTCCAAACTGTCAGCACAGAGCCTGACGTGGGGCTCGAACTCATGAACCGTGAGATCATGACCTGAGCCAAAGTCGGACACTCAACCAACTGGGCCACCCAGGCGCCCCTGGACCGTGGTCTTTAAACATCTCAGCTCTCTGCCCTTTGCTCCTCCACATGAATTTATGTCTCTTACTGGACCAGCACTAACTTTAGAAGGAGGGGAAGAACTACTATCTTAATACTGTGAGGTGTCCCCTCCAAGAGCATGACGTTGCTCTATGCCCAACTGAAGCTTTAATACTGCTCAGTATTTCTGTGATCTCTGGAGAGGTCTTCTAGGTCTTCCGGCTGGATGCATCCCTGGGTATCCTGTAGTTTTATGTATACCAATCTTGGAATCTTTGGAACTCTCTTAATGGACCTGATGGTTTATCTGTACAGTCTCTTGAGTCTCCTTTGTAGAAAAACTACATGTAGTGGCTTTATGCTTTCCTTTTAGAATTTCCTTCATTTCTCTTGCAATTTTTGTTTATTTAGTCTTCTTTGGGGCGGGTCCCCGTTTATTACAATGCTGAGTGGAAGTGGTGGGTCAGGGAATACTTGTCAATAAGCAATTTCATCCTCAACCAAATACCTGTAAATTCTTAAATCAGGATTAAAATGACTAGTTTTTCACCTAGAAGTATTACTGCGGGACAAAGTAGGTGCATCCACGGCAGGTGGCTCGGTCATTTATGCAGGAACAGGACCCCAGTTGAGAGGCGGGAAGCCGTGCGGCTAATTTCAACAGGTACAGAAACAGCAGAGATTTGGTATCTCAGCACTCGTTCAGGATAAAAACAGGAGCAAACTGGAATATGGAAGAAAAGGTGTCCCCTCACACGGGAACCTGCTGAAAACCTACGGCCCCTCACATAATGGTCAAACTTCAAAAGCATTTCATGTGAGTCAAACCCAGATTAAGGTTTTGATCCTCAGGTCCTACTGGCTCATAACCCAGCTGCCTGGTTTCCCTCTTCTACTTTCCATTCTCTGAGACAATTTACAGAAGACGGGATTATCTGAGCCTCGAAGAGCTCAGAAGATACAACTTCTCTAGAAGATCACTTGATCTTGGTGTTTTACTGAAGTGGTGCGTTTGCTATTAAGTTAACTTACCTTAATACCAATAGTGTCTCCATCTTTCAAGTAATAAGGCGCCCCCTGCAAATTATCTTGCTTTTTCTTCTTTTTCCGCTTGGTAATTTGCTGGTTCTATAGAGAAATCAAGCATCTTGAATAAAGAGAAGTCAGCCTCAGGTCCTCACTAAGTTCCCCATCTGTGAGAAAGCGCACGTGGCCTCGTCACCACACCAGCAAGGCCCAGGATCGCCGAGGAAGGCCCACCACTTTACCCAGCTGGAGACCGGAAGCCACTCGAACTTTTCAGGGAAATACTTGGCGATTTCAATCTTCTCCACAGGAAGAGAGCACGAGTGGGCGATGCACTGCCTCAGGGAGCTGGTGGTCCAGCCCCGGGCGGTGTCCCACACCAAGTCCACGTGTGGGCCGTACGCCCTCTTGCCGGGGACGCGCAGCTGTGTCCTTAGCACCACGTCGTGGGGCCTGCGTGGGAAAACAGTCACGTGTCAGACTGAACAAAGTGAGAACAACACAGTAACCATGGGGGAGCGTGATGGGCGAAGCCTCCCCTCCCACTCTGCTGGTTTTTCCCAAGACCCTCTACCCCTCTTCCCTACTTGGACTTCCTTCAGAGCTGACCCGGCCCCGAGGGCGCTGGAGAAGGCTATGGAACAGGTGCCAGAAGCTGGGGAGGGGAGACGTGGGTACAACCACCGGGCATTTAGGGTGCTGAGACAACATGGGATTTTAAGTGACACATTTCTGTCGTGTGGGTGCTTTCACCAAAGGAAGGGGTGGCACGGGGAGGAGGTGTGGCGAGGCGGGAGGCCGGTGGGGGGTGGCTCTGGGGGCTGGTCAAGGACAACCGCTGGGGAGGGGGTCCAAGCAAGTGCACAGCCTGGTCTGCAAAGGGACACACACCACTTAGAACAGAGGTGACCAAGGGTCAGTGTCATTGAGAAAACACTCACATAAACCAAACTTTTTCCCATGACCCCGTTATGAAATCACACAAAATATATGAATTCATACTTGTAAATGCAAATGGCTGATCATTATAAGCCTTTGAGAAATATCCAATCTGACCAGCAATCAAAGCACTGAAGCAAATGAGAGAAGACAACCTCTTCTTATTTATCAGTTTAGCAAACATTTAAACCAACACTGAATATTTTCAACTGAGGGTGAAGCAAAGTAATGACTACTCATAGACACTGCTTGTGAGAACAGAAATTGGTGTAACTTACCTGGAAAGGAATTTAACTATTTTAAGAAGTTTAAAATGTCTATACCATGTGATCCAGAAACCCCCTCCAGGAAGGTACTCCTGGCCATATGGTGTGTATGAAGAATGCACTTTTCAGGGTGCCTGGGGGGCTCAGTCAGTGAAGCTTCTGACTTTGGCTCAGGTCATGATCTTGGGGTTCATGAATTTGAGCCCTGCACTGAGCTCTGTGCTGACAGCTCAGAGCCATCTTCAGATTCTGTGTCTCCCTCTGCCCCACCCCACTCATGTTCTCTCTCTCTCTCAAAAATAAACGTTAAAGAAAAAAGGTTAAAATGGTAAATTAAAAAAATGCACTTTCATAAACTCAGTGGGGTTAAATGAAAGTCGATGGAGGGCTCCTGGTTATGACACAGCAGGTGAACAGCAAGAATGGCGTTCCCATTGCACCAGGAAGAAACAACCTTGACTATTTTATGATACTGGTAGAAGGGCTTATAAAATATTTTTAATTTTTTAAAGTTTATTTATTTTGAGAGAGAGCAGACAGGGGAGAGGCAGAGGATCCCAAGCAGGTGCCACACTATCAGCACGGAGCCCCATGTGGGGCTCGAGCTCACGAACTGTGAGATCATGACCTGAGATGAAACCAAGTGTTGGACACTTAAACTACTAAGACATCCAGGCATCCCTAAAAGATTTTCTTATAATGAGAAAAGAAGTAGGAAGGTTGATTACAGACCCCTTTGGGGTGTTTTCTTTTTTCAATAACTAATTGACCCTGATGCAGACTACAGCAGTGACCAAAACACTAAGGAAGCGTTCTCACAAGGCTTACGTCCCAGTACTGGGAGACCTGTACGTGCATGTCAGCCGGTGTGGAGATGCAAAAGTTGGGGGTGGGGGGGACAGGTGCTGTCCTAAGTCAGTTTGACAACAGACCACCTCTGCGCTGGTAGGAGCTGGGCACAAGCAGCCTGCGTACACTCTGAGGTTCTTATGGATCCAATGTGCATTTGTGACTGTTTCCATGGAAAACGGAGTCCCACACACCAGACATACAGACGTGGTTTCAGCGGGTGTGACACTGGAGCAGTGGGGGAAAATCCTCACTGCTGGTCACATTGTTAAGTTTTCGGAGCACCACCCACCTGATAAGACATGTATATAGAATAGGATGACTTACCCCAAGTTTTCTTCTTTCTGAAGGGGCTCTAAACAGATCTCTGTTTTCCTTCCCAGTTTATATTCCCTGATAAAAGAAGTGAAACAAAATAGTACTCAGTGACATTTAATTTTTTAGATTTTTGGGGAGAAAATTCTAAGCTTTCTTCTTAAGCAAAAGAATATACTGAATGAGAACACTCAGTATTTGAGAGGCAACTATGAACAAACGGATGCCAACAAACTGGACAGGCTGGAAGAAATGGATGAATCTTGGAACGTACTGGACTTAGTATACACTAAATAGAAAATCTGAACAGACCAATGACTAGCAAGGGAACAGAATCAGTAATCACACACCTCCCAACAAAGAAAAGTCCAGGACCTGATGGTTTCACTGGTGAATTCTTTTTTTGTTTTTAGTTTTTTAATGTTTATCGTTGGGGAGGAGCAGAGAGAGAGGGAGACACAGAATCCCAAGTAGGCTCTGCACTGTCAGCACAGAGCCCAATACAGAGCTCAAACCCACGAACTACAAGGTCATGACCTGAGCCGGAGTTGGATGCTTCACCAACTGAGCCACACAGGCACCCCATACTGGTGAATTCTAACAAACACTTCAAGAATTAGTACCAATCCTCAAGCGCTTTCAAAAAACAGAAGAGGGACCACTTGTAAACTTCTATTATGAGGCCAGCATTACCCTGATACAAAACCAGACATGAACACAGATGCAAAAATGCTCAACAAAATATTAGCAAACCGAATTCAACAGTACATGAAAAGAATCCTATGCCATGATCAAGGAGAATTTACTCCGGGGATGCAAGAGTGGTTCAATATCTGCAAATCAATCAGTGTGATACAGTAACAAAATTAAGGGTAGATATCATCTCAGATGAAGAGAAAGCATATGACAAACTTCGACATCCTTTCATGATAAATATTTTCCACACACTGAGGAGAGGCAAAACGCAACCCGACATCATAAAGGCCACATACGATGAGCTCACGGCTAACGTGCCGAGAGGGGACTGTCCACAAGCCCTTCCCCCAGTGTCAGGAGGAGAGGCGTGCTGCTGTTCAGCACGGTGCTGGCAGTGCTGCCGAAGGCAGCCAGACACGGAGAAGAAAAGGCTTTCCAGTCAGAAAGGAAGCAGCACACTGGTCTCCAGATGACATATTATATATGGAAAACCCTGAACACCAAACAACCGTTAGAATAAATGAATTCAGTGAAGTTTCAGGATACAAAGTCAAAATACAAAAATCACTTAATGTTTTTTACATACTAACAGTGAACTATCAGGAAGACAAATTAAAGTCCCATTTACAAGAGCACTGAAGAGAATAAAATGTGAAGAAATGAATTTAACCCAGGAGGTAAAAGATCGATACACTGCAAAGCACTGATGACATAAACTGAAAAGACAAATAAATGGAAAGAAATTCCTTATTCATGAATTGGAAGAATATTGTTAAAATGTCCACATTACCCAGCTATCTATAGATTCAACACAATCTCTATCAAAAGTTCAATGGCGTTTTTCACTGAAACAGAAAACCAATCCTAAAATTTGTAGGAAACACAAAGGATCCCAAAGAGCCAAAGCCATCTTTTTAAAAAAATTTTTTTAATGTTTATTTCTGAGAGAGAGACAGCGTGAGCAGGGGGTCAGAGAGAGAGGGAGACACAGAATCCGAAGACAGGCTCCAGGCTCTGAGCTCGCTGTCAGCACAGAGCCCAATGCGGGGCTTGAACCCAAGAACCATGAGATCATGACCTGAGCTGAAGTCGGACGCTCAACGGACTGAGCCACCCAGGCGCCCTGAAAGCCATCTTGAAGAAGAACCAAGCTGGAGGCTTCACCCTCCCTGATTTCAAGCCACAGTAATTAGAACAGTATGGTTTTGCCATAAAAACAGACACAAAGACCAATGGGAAAGAACAGAGCCCTCAGAAATAAACCCGCGCACATATGGCCAGTGAATTTACAACAAAGGAGCCAAGTGTGTGCACCGGGGGGAGAGTCTCTTACACAGGCGGTGCTGGGAAAACCGGACACCTGCGCGTGAAGCAACGAGGCTGATCACCATCTTACACCGCACACAAAAACCCACTCAAAATCTTCCTTGGAAGCCGATCGGCTTCTCGCCTTTCACTGCTGCCTCTTACGATCAAGGGAGAAGCAAACGGTGGGGGATCCGGGCAGAGGCTCAGGCCGGTCCCGCTCCCGGAAGTGGTCCCAGAGGCCGGGGAGGGGCTGCAGGCCGCTCTGCTCTGCTCAGCGGACAGGGACAGCTGCCGGCACAGCCGGTGCCTCAAGCACTCCTGCCGCCAGGCGCGTGTTCTACCAAGAGCGGCACGGCCCTACGAGAAATGACTACCAGACTTTGTACCCTGTGTTTTGCCTTAACAACATTCTGTTTACTCTCTGTGTGCTGAAGTGCTGTAAGGACACGGGTTTCAATCACAGCTGAACACGTGATGTGGACAGAGCTCTGGGTTTGTGATATTCTATCAGAAACACTTTTATCGTATCTGTAAAATACAACATATATATGCATATAAGTGTTCTCGTTGCCTCTTCCATGGCAAAGAAAAGAAAAAAAAAAAGAATGAAAAAAAAAACTGGGAAAAAGAAATCAGGCTCCTAGCAGCTACTGTGTAGAAATTTCTCCGTACTTCTAATTTGCTGAATGAAGAAAAAAATCTTTTATTTGTGATATTTTCGGAGATATTTGGTCTAGTATGGTATATTTAACACAAACTTAAAAGAAAAAAAACTCAAAATGGATTAAAGACTTGAACAAAAGGCCCCACACCACAAAACTCATAGAAGAAAACAGGGGGTAGGCTCCCTGACACTGGCCTTGGCGATGATTTTTTGGATTTGATACCAAAATGAAAAGCAAGAAAAGCAAAAATAAGTGGGACTGCATCAAATTAAAAAGCTTTTTGCACAGCAAAGGAAACCATGAACCAATGAAAAAGCAACCTATGAAATGGGCGAAAATACCCGTAAATCATCTGTGTGATAAAGGGCTAAGAAAGAACCCATATGGGCTGAGCTGAGGGGCTCAGTCAGTTCAGCATCTTGACTTCGGCTCCCTGTGCTGACAGCTCAGGGCCTGGAGCCTGCTTCAGATTCTGTGTCTCTCTCTCTCCGCCCCTTCCCCACTCATGCTTTGTCTCTCTCTCTCAAAAATAAATAATAATCATTAAAAAATGTAGGTAGGAAGGAAGGAAGGGAATGAGGGAGAGAGAGAAAGAACCCATATGGCTCAAGGGCAGAAAACCTCCCAAAGAGTCCAGTTAAAAACATGGGCAGGGGAACTGAAAACTTTCCCGAAGATCTACAGATGGCCAAAAGGTACGTGAGAAGGAACATCACTCATCATCAAGGAAATACAAACACAACCACAGCGCAACAGCACCGCCCGCCTGGTGGAATGGCTACTAATGGAAAGAGGAGATAACTGCTGGCGAGGGTGTAGAGAGAAGAGAGCCCTGTGCACTGTCGGTGGGAATGTAAATTGGTGAAGCCAATTTTTTGGAGGTTCCTCAAAAAATTAAAAATTTAGAAACAACCTAAGTGTCCCTCACGGACAATGATACAGTGAAAATACATGTAAGCGATAGATGGTCCCTCAGCCATGAGAGAGGAGGACAGCCTATCATTTGTGACAGCATGGATGGCCCTGAAGGGCATTATGCTAAGAACGTGAAGTGAGTGAGACAGAGACAGATAAATCCTGTATGGTCCCACCAACATGTAGAGTCTAAAAAAGCCAAACTCCTAGAAACCTAGAGTTCGTGATAGTTCGAAGTCTGCGGGGGGTGGGGTAGGGGTGGTAAAGAGGAGGTGTTGGTCAAAGAGTCCAAACGTCCAGTAGGAAGATAAGTGAGTTCTGAGCCTCTAATGTACAGCACAGCTCTTACAGTTGACATTATATTACATATTTGAAAGTTGCTAGGTGAGCAGATCTTGAAATTCTTACCATGAAAAAGAAAACGTTAATCGTGTAATACGATGCAGGTGTTCGCTGATGCTATAGGCAGCAATCATTTTAAATTTACACAGGGTTGTATGTCAACTGTATCTCAATAAAGCTCAAAAAAAACTCAAAATTTGGTTCATGGTATCTGAAGCATAGAAAAAACACACGAAGCTATGTTTATGCTTACAACACGGCAAACTAAAGGCCCAGAGGTTCTGATTCAAAGCGCCCCCCTGACAACAGGCTACGTGACTCCTCCCAGCAGCCCCCTCGGCACCCAGCACCGCAGCGGTGGAGGAAAAGAAGACAGAGCATCGAGGGGGGACCTACTTGAGCCGCTGCAGGTTGATCCGTAAAAGCCTGCTGGGGCTCTTACTTTCCAGGGTCCAGGCTCTGAGGAAGGCTGGGGACGGGATGACGAAATCGGAGGAAGGGGACAAGGTCATGGCCTAGAAAAGAAACAGACATTTCTCCAATGGTTCGAAAAAGCAGTCCTGCAAAGCATATTGTTTCGGACGAAACTGAAGCCCTACACAGTGTCATCTGAGGTAAAGAGTATCTCGCATAATGATAAAAATCTATCAGAAAAAAAAAATCACAGGGACATCGCTTGAATGAAATCAACTCAGTCACTGTTGTACTCCTCTCTAGGGAAAGCAGCTTGCGGGATAAGCAAATTTTCTATTGAGCCACAAGCTCCTTTTAAATGTTTTAGAAAATGTAGAAATTAATTTCTATGTGAGTATAACTCACAAGCAAGGGGTTCCTCATCCACTTTCTTTAGTGCTAATGCAATTCTTCAGAGTTTCCTCTGTCAGCGAAAGAAGTTGAATGTGAAATGTTTCAGAATCTTTGGATGCAACTGCAGGCCTTAACTTCTGCACTGGTTTTGCAGGGGCTGAGAACTAGTTATAGATTGAGGTTGTAGGATATAAAATGGCCAGTGTTCGCTTTTTATCTACAGACAGCAATTTTGTGTGCCTAAATCTAAGAAAAAAAAGTCTCCCCTCTTGTTCTCATGGGTAAGACCATTTGCTACTTCTGAGGAAGGTTATTTCATACGCTGAGGACACACAGGAAAGTCAAGTGTCAGCAACGGATACTCAATTGTACAGCCCGATGTGTTTTTCCTTTAAGAGGAAGAAGGGATGTCCAACAACAGTAAGATGCTTCTTAAGCATTTTGTGTGGTTTTCAAGCCAACCTTTCCATTTGGACCAAACACTCTCTCTCTATGAATGTTAATACAGGAGGAAATGATACAGTGTCCAGGTTAACACCCCACCATAAGGCTGATGTCCTGACCTCCTGGGAGACTGATAACACGTCTTTTAACTGACAACATTTAACAAGTGGATCACAATGATACAAAAACAATGTAAAGAAATGAATGCTTTACAGATGTTTCAACAAATCATGTTTCCTTAAAAAAAATCAAAATGAACATAAGCTGCAAGTCACTGAGGACAAATTGAAATGAAAGCACACAGCATGCCTGTCAGAGTGGGGAGTAAATGAAAGCCACAAGGCCAAGTGGCAGAAACAAATACCAGGGGCCGTCTGAGCCATATGCGTGGGTCACCTGTTGGGTACTTACCACCGAACATGGCATATAACTCATGCCATATCAGAACAGACTGTAAGTGAGGGAAGAGGAAATAGAAGAAGAGATTAATATCTCACTGGAAGCAGCCAGGCCACCACTACCGTGCACCACAGGAGCAAGTCTGACCTGGGCCTTCAGCTCCAGCAAGGTGGCCTCTTCTGAGATCTCGAGGTCCCCCACATGGCGGAGGGAAGCCTCTGCATACAGGTCACCTGGAGCGCCTACAAGGGACAGAGCTGGAGGTCAGAGACGAGCTTTGCACGTATCCACTTTCTATTTCTGAAATATGTGCCATGTTTTGATTTCATAAACAGGATTCATATAGCTCCATTCAAGAAACTACAAATCCGAGTCCCTCAGATTGGGCCCCTGGTGACTTCAGAGGGAAGCCGCGCCTGGGAGACGGGCAGGGAGGGAGCGCACTGTGGGCGCAGTGCCACGGTTCTCTCAGTGGGACGGGTTTGAAAAGTCTCGTGCTGTGCTGTCTGCCTAGAACAGTCTTCTCTCCTCCGCATTTTCTCCTTACTCAGAAAGGACTTTCCTGGTAGGATCCTCCACCCTTACTCTTTATTTCACTTTCCTGTTTCTCTCATAACACTCATCCCGACACGAAACCCTTTTGTCTGTTTCCTGGTGTGACAGCTTTCCTGATCTGTGTCCCCGAAAGAGTGTCACTCTCCAGAGGGGCAGGCATTCTCCGTCTACCCTATTGGTCTTTCCAGTGACTGGGATGGTGGCCGCCACATAGTAAATGGCCAGCAAATGTTTACTGGACTTTCTACATTGGTTTTAGAAAGGCAAAACCAAAACGTTCTCTTATCTAACTAAAACTCTAGATATAAAAATTGGCACTAAATGTAAAACTCATTTTTGCTTTGATGATTGCTGGGCACATTGCTAACACACAGAAATCAGATGAAGTAAAAGAACTCTTTGTGAGTGGTTCTTACGTCTTAAGGACGCCATGAGCTGGTGCCACTGGAAGATACTTTTAGGAAACTCTCAGGAGTGAAAACATATTTCCCGTGTGTTGTCATATAGAAGGACTTTCAAAAAATGAACTTTCTGGGGGGCGCCTGGGTGGTTGAGCATCCAACTTCTGCTCAGGTCACGATCTCATGGTCTGTGAGTTCGAGCCCCGCATGGGTCTCTGTGCTGACAGCTCAGAGCCTGGAGCCTGCTCCCGATGCTGTGTCTCCCTCCCTCTCTCTGCCCCTCCCCCACTTGTATTCAGTCTCTTTAAAAAAAAAAAAAAAAACAACTTTACTTTCATGGAGAAAGACACTGCTTTTTAAGTTTGTATCCAATTCTGTATGTAATTATTGTCCTATCACCAAAGCATTTTTAGAATTAGTACATGTGTAATGTAACCCAAAGAAACAAAAAAACTTAATGCCAATTTCATAGGTAATCAAAATGAAGTATTTTATTGCTCCTTATGTAGAATCCTAGCTTCAGAGTAAGGAGACGACAATGTGACTCATTTGTGTTAATTTCCGCTCTGAGGCTTAAAAGGTAAAAAGCAGCAGTGAGTGTGTGTAATACTCCAAGGCACCAGAAGAGCTAAATAATGAAGTAAAACACAGTGCAAGGAAAAAATAAAGAGCTGGTCCTACCATCCATGTATTCCTTAGTTAGGAGGTAAATTAACTTGTGCTTTCTGGGCAATGAAGTGAAAATCTGTTTACAACGCACGTCAGCTCCCTGCTGGTGGCTTCTTGCTCACCGTGACATGCGTGGCCAGTTTCGTCTGTGGAGAGCGAGCGAGAGGACGGCAGCGCTCGCACCCAGTGCTTCCCCTCACAGGCCCCAGGTGACAGGCGGTGCCCGGGGTCCTGGCGGGGGCGCGGAGGAGCCCCTGCGGGGACGGAAGGCTCTGTGTCCCAGCCTGTGATAACTCACGGGCCAAAGTGCATGAGGACCGGGAGGGTGCAGACCTGATAGCCTAGTAAGGGCACCGAGAGCCGGCACCTTACGGGGCACGAAGCACTGCAGGAAAATAGGAAGGTGTTAGTGGGGAAGGAATTATTCGATAAACAGGTTTTGATTTTCAGCCTTACACTGAAGACACGTACTTCCTTTGCCTCTCGGAGCAGAGGAGTCACTTTAGGACATGTCTTGGGGACATGCTGGCTGCTACAGCTCTGGTCTCACCTTGGGTGGAAGCAGCTCTCCAGGCCCCACCTAGCGAAGGGGTGCCGTTCATCTGGTCCTCAAGACTCTTCCAGTGACCCGAGGGACCCCCAGGCTGGTACCACCAGATGGGCACCTTCAGGAAACCCTGAAGAATGGAGGTGACATACACGCATTGAGTGAATTTCTACTTCCACAGAGAGAAATGCCTTGATAATGGAAAATGTTCCTGAATTTATTATTTTTCCTTTTAGATTACTAACCGCCATATACTACATCTGTTTATGTTTTTACAATCAAAAGGTTAAGACCAGAGCTCCTGGTGACTCAGCTGGTTAAGCACCCGACTCTTGATTTAGACTCCGGTCATGAACTCGTGGTCTGTGAGATCAAGCCCCGTGTTGGGCTCTGCACTGAAGGCATGGAGCCTGCTTGGGATTCTCTCTCTTCCTTGCCCCTCTCCTGCTTGCTCTCTCTACCCCAAAATAAATTAATTAAAGAAAAATAGTTTAAGGTCATAAAAATTAGTCTTTGGGATGATGGGGACCCAATGTTCTTTGCTTGGAAGTATCTTACCACAATAAATGACAAGCATAAGCAAAATAACAAAATATGTGGCAGAACAAATTGTACAAATATTTCCAGGTGTTGTAAGAGCACCACAAAATGCCCCGCCCCCGTTAGAAGCAGTTTTCACTCATTAAAATTCCTATAGGAACTTGATAAAGAAGTAAGAACCTACTGTTAGATTCCTGTATACAAACTACAGGAAATAAAGCTGCTGTATCAGCCTGCATACACAAAGCCACAGGAGCAAATTGTTTATGGTGGCAAAACCCACAAACCAGTTACAATATGGTAGGCCGCAACTTTTGACAAAGCGATTTCAGTTCTAGGAACTTATCCTGTAGATCTACACATGCAAAATAGCATATATGCGGTAATTTTTGCAGTGTTTTTTTGTATCAACAAAAGACTGGAAGCTATCTAAATTCCTGAAACGAGACTGGCTGGATAAATCACGGCACCTCCACACAGCCCTCAAACAATGAAACAGCTGTATGTATACTAATATAACATTTATGTGGAGATAAAATATTAATGAAGAAAGTGAGGTACAGAAAAAGAATAGATGATCTTTTGCATAAAGAAAAATATGAATGTACACAAACACATGTATACACACACGTATGTGTGTGCATTAGAAAGTATATACTTCTGGAAGGATACAGTGGAAACTGGTTGCCTACGGGGGGAGGGCACTAAGCAGCCAGAGGGCAGGAGAGATGCTTACATTTTCTGGCCCTGCTTTCTATATACTTCAAATTTTGTATTCTGAATATTACCCATTAAAAGGTTCACTTAGGGGCGCCTGGGTGGCTTAGTCGGTTAAGCGTCCGACTTTTGCTTTGGTCATGATCTCGCGGTTCTTGGGTTCTAGCCCCGTTTTTGGCTTTGTGCTGTCTGCCAGCTCAGAGCCTGGAGCCTGTTTCAGTCTGTGACTCCCTCTCTCTCTGACCCTCCCCTGCTCACACTGTCTCTTTCTCTCTCTCTCTCCTAGAAATAAATAAAACATTAAAAATTTAAAAAAAAATAAAAATAAAAATAAAAAAATAAAAGGTTCACTTAAAGGTCATGGAATAAAATACAATTCTAAGAAGTGATGCAGAAGAATAAGGTATGTGCTGATGTGAGGAGAGCGTCAAGATACAGTGAATAAAAGCAAAACCCAAGTGTAAAACAGTGCACAGAGTATGACCCCCTTCACGTAAATGTTATAAGATACACACATACCCTTCTGTACCATTCTGCATACAAGCAGGCTAAGTCAGTTTTTTCTTGGAAGGGTTAATAAGGGAAAGTAAATTAATTGTGACTCTTTCTGAGGAGGAAAAATAAGGGAAAACCTTTTTCATTTTATGGATTTCCATGGTATTAGAATTTTCTGATCATAACCAAAGGGTTATCTCAGTGCTGGAATCTTTTTTTTTTTTTTTTAACTTCACCTTTACATGTGTCCACATTAAAAATAACCAAATAAATAACGGTCTTAAAAATTGGTAATACGGGGGGCACCTGGGTGGCCCAGTTAGTTGAGCTTCTGACTTTGGCTCAGGTCATGATCTCACGGTCTGTGAGTTCGAGTCCCATATGGGGCTCACTGCCATCAGCGCAGAGCCTGCCTCGGATCCTCTGTCCTCCTCTCTCTGCCCCTCCCCACCTGCGCTAACATTAAAAAAAAAAGTGGTAACACGCAGTGTTTATTTAAGAGCTCTTGGATGCGGCTGATTAGGGAGGTCAAAGTGATGCAGGCTTCTGGGAAAACAATGTGCAAGATACAGACACCTCTAGTCTTTAAAAGTTCATACCTCCTGACTTGCTAATTTTGACTTTGGAACAATGTTCAAGAGGATTTCTTTTTAAGTATTAAAAAGCTTAAAACAAGCTAAGGTTCTAACAACGGGACTATATGTGAATTAAATTGTGGTGAATTAAACTGCATACACTGGAGATGATTGTTTTTGGATTTTGTAGTCAGGTTAAAAAACGAAATATGAAAAGTAGGAAATAACACTGTATACACAATTGATTTTTTAAGAAGGAAATCTATGAAGATGTAGAACCTGGCAGCTGTCTGATTAGACAACTTACCCCAAACCCTATCATTCTCTTCATGATTGGCCGTTATTTCCCCACGATGAGAATATATCATCTTTGTAATCAGAAAGCAATCACTGTGATTTACAAAATGTCAGTTCAGAAGTGAAATCTTACCACGGGAAGAAGTTTCCCTTCAGTTAAAAGCAAAGTATCTCCAGAACGTATCATAAGTTCTTTCAGGGATGCATCCTGGGGAAAGAGAAATTCCTTTATGAGTTCTGACAGGAACAAACAGATTACTGGGTCTTTTCTTTAAAAGATGCCTCTATTACCCGTTCAAGAAAAAAAGAAACAGTAAGGCAGGTATGGGGGAGACAGGAAATAAACGGAGACTACAAAACAACGTATCATTAGGTTTTAAATTATTGGGGATGAACCGGAAGTATCACGAAAGATTATGGGAGGGGGAGACAGACAGGATGAGAAATGAGAGCCTGAGCTACATAGGATGAAATTCTAGTTAAGTCTAAAGGCCAGGTTTGATTTGGAAAGAGCTGGAGGAGATGAGAGAAGGAATTCTCCTGAAAGAACAGGGTTATGGTGGAGGTTACATCAAGAATCCAGGAAGAGCTGAGAGACAGGCCAACTAGAGTCCGGGCTGGAGAGGAAAAGGGGGGGAAAAGGAGAGGAAACTGATCGGGGTGGGGGAGGGGTCGCACGCGGAAGGAACTAGGAATAGGGGAGTTTTTAGGTGCTTTGAAAAAAGCCACTCACGTTTTCTGAGCTGGGGCGTGTACAGACCAGTCTGGCGGTTACGTGAACGACATACTGAAGTGGGGAACACATGACTTGGGGAAGCTGGTTGGTGTAATTTCGCTAAGAGGCCAAAAAAGGAAGGAGAAAACTTGCCCCAGGCGGCCGGTGGTGGGAAGGGTCAGGAAGGAGTAGAAGAGCTAAGAGGTCTCTGAAGGCCGAGACCAAATATGAAGGGTGCAGGTTCACAGGGGAGGGGCACTGCGGGCTGAAGACACCAGGCTGTGAATAGCAGGCCTGGGAAGTGGAGCCAGTTTTGAGGAAAATGAGTTTGCTTTTAGATGAACTGCTTGATACCGACATGGGAATTAACAGAGAAAATGTAGAGGTCACACGGCTAGATACGCTCTCTGACATCCAAACTCTGTCCTGAAGATTCCCTGGGGTCCACTTCTTACTCTGGGCCGTCAGATTCCTGGCCAGGCCTCAGGGGGACCTCTCTGTGCGGACTCCCTCAGCCCTACACAGTGAAGAGCGTCCCAGTGGAGGACCCCAGTCCACCTGCCTATGTCAACCTTCTGCTGATGCTCAGTGCCACCGTCTGTTCCTGAGCAGAGCAGGCGGAGAGAGACCGCAGGAGGAGTGGCCGCTCACAGAGCCTCATCTGCGGGCTTCGAGGACCGCGGGTTTGATGCTATCGGAATCAGCAAGGGGACGTTAACCAGATTCCAACGAGCCTGCGGTAACACCGTTTCTAAGGCTACCGCAAGAGTCTGGATGGATCCCGAGATGCAGTTTTGATCAAAGCCTAAGGAATAAGATGAATTCTGCCGTTGTTAACTTACAGGGAAACAGAATAAAATATTCAGGTTTCGAAATTCAGAGTGTAGTCTCACGTCCTCTTTCTGGCTCACATGTTTTCTGTTCTCTGAAGTTCTCTCTCCCAATGAGGAACTATGATTTCCAGGGACAACAGAAACATTCCCATGAGGCTGAGATTTTTCCCTCTGTATCAAAAGCCCACAGAAAGGAGTCAAAGTAGACCCAGGTACAGATGTTTGTGTCCTAAACAAAGATTAAAGTTTTCCCTTGAATGTATTCATGAGGGGGGTGGGGGTGGGTATCCTGCACAAAGCACAAAATAAACACAATCATTTGAAAGAACAAAACGTGTAGAAATAATCTTACTTCTTCACATAAAGGCTCCCCTGCTTCATAGCACCAGTCCATTTTCCGTAAATGCCACATGTCTCCTGTGAAGGAATCAAAATCAGGATGAAAAAAAAAAAAACTGTATGTTTTAAGAGTTTGTCAATAATGTCCCTTCTGGATAAATGATTTCAAGTGGGATTTGATCTAATAACTACTGAATTTTGAAGTAAACGATCTCTTCCAGGCATGAAAAAAATTAAGTCGTCCCTCCAATTTGGTTAATCTGCTCTCTATTCCATGAAGATCCGCATTCTTACAAACAGAAATAACAGGCTGTGATTACACGGTATGTACATTATACCTGTATTATCTACATGCCACACACATCACACACAAGTACACATATATACCTAACTACGGGCTCTCTCCTAAAATCATTACAAAGTTGTTTTATTTCAGGGTCTTGGTTGAAAGTATAGGCTAGTATTTCTTAGCAACTGACAATATCACAACCAAGCTGTTCCTATCCAGTTATCAGTTAATCTAACAAAGAACAGTGTTTCTGAAATAGCATTTTAATGAAGTTGGTATAAATGAGCACTTATAAATGTAAAATAATCTTTAGTAGATTACGGTCTCTCAGTATGCTTTCTATATTCAGATGAAATGGGACATGATTTGAGGAGGAGAGGGAAGATGAAGAGAGCAAGAGTTGGAAATCCTGGTTATGGAAAAAAAATAGCCACGTTCTGTGAAGAGTCAGCCAGGCCTCCCCCGCCCCCCCCCCCCCCCCCCCCCCCCCCCGAGAAGTGGCAGCTGGAGGAAGACACCCAGTCTCCCACATCACCTGCACAGGCCACAGGTTTGAGTCCTTATAACACTGCTTTGCGGACCCTCTCTTGCCATTAGCTCAAGTTTTAAGTACAGTAAAAATTATATCAACATTTAACTTAATCTAAGTGTGTTTTTAAAAAACCACCACCACTACCAGGAAGTTGACAATAGACACCATTACTTCCGAGCACAACACAGAAGGAAGAACTCAGGGTCTGTGGGCAGAGAGGCCTGGCTACTTGCCGTGTGACTGAGTAAACCCTGCAGCCAGTCTCAGCCTCCGTCTGTCACCCGTGAGATGGGAACGGACACTGGTCCCTGCGCGGGAGGAGCGTAAGCTCTGAGCAGCTAACGGCTAATGGCACCACAGGTTACCCTTCGGTGAAGCCTGAGGACGGCAGATGCTCTGAGGACTGCAGCCTGAGGCCCCCTGAGCTGGCTGCCGTGATCCCGCCCGGGTACCTACTTCAAAGATTAGTTTTCTTGGGGCGCCTGGGTGGCTCAGTTGGTTAAGCGTCAACTTCGGCTCAGGTCACGATCTCACAGTTTGTGGGTTTGAGCCCCGTGTCGGGCTCTGCACTGACAGCTCAGAGCCTGGAGCCAGTTTCAGATTCTGTATCTCCCTCTCTCTCTGACCCTCCCCTGCTCATGCTGTCTCTCTCTCTCTCCCAGAAATAAATTAAAAAAAAAAAAAAAACATACAAAATAAAAAAGATTAGTTTTCTTCATTCGTGTTACATTCCCAGTCTCCAGCACAAAAATCTTGGCACGAAACACAATGCACTGAAATTCTGAATCAGTGAGGTTAAAAAGAAAAAAACCCACAAGTGAACGGCCAGGGTAACTCCAGAAGGCATAAATCCTAACTTCGTCTCTGTGCCAGTGCTGAGCCTGGGCCCTATCTAGGCTAACCCGTGACCAGACTTCTTTGAGCTTGTAAATACGAACCAGGAGACTTCATTATGTACATACAGAAGCGTAAGGTGTAAATGACAAACCTGGACCAAAAACGTCTAAAAAGCTTTCATCAGGCTCACAGACCATTTATTATAAGGATACAGGTAAGACTGCATCATCGGGGGCTGTAACTTACCTGGGAGGCCACACCTCTCCAGCATGAGCTTTAAACACTGTTAAAAAAAAACACACACGCACAATAACCGTGTTCATTAGTTTTCTGGTTTTGAGTTACAGTATCTTGAGACAGACCCTATCTGGACCCTGGGGCTATCTGTCTTGCTATATTTAATAATTCCCAGAGCGATCGGGATGTACACAGTCATGAGGGTGATTTAAGCGAGCTCTGCTTCCTAGGAGCTGCGTGGGGCAAACCCAGGTGGGAAACAAGTTTCTGGGGTTTGCATCTGAGATGCAGACCCAGCTGACCCACTTCCAGGTCTACAGCATGAGCCCCTGCCTGTGAGGACCGACATCATGGTTTTGATGGGATAGGATTGATTAGGCTGACTTCACAGATACGCATTAAACCAACTCTTACAAAGAGAGGTTAGTCTTTATGTAGCACCCAAGAAACACCACTGGTCACCTATAAACTCACAAAGAAAAGATCTGTGCAGCCAGTGACCCCACGGCACCATGCACTGAGCGAGATGTGATTAACAGAAGTTTAAATAACAATAATAAAAAATAGAAACTCCCAACTTCCTGAGGGGAAAAATACTCTTAAATTAATTGAGGACAAAAGAGTAAATAAAACATGATTTATACTACACCAGAGCAGAAGGAAGCAAGAATAAGGAATTTAAAAAAAAAAAAAAAAAGCAGCACAGGATCAAAATATCCATTAACAGGAGAACATTTTTTTTTTAATTTTTTTTTAAATGTTTTATTTATTTCTAGGAGAGAGAGAGAGAGAGACAGCGTGAGCAGGGGAGGGTCAGAGAGAGAGGGAGTCACAGACTGAAACAGGCTCCAGGCTCCGAGCTGGCAGTCAGCACAGAGCCCGACACGGGGCCCGAACCCACGAACCGCGAGATCATGACCTAAGCCAAAGTCGGACGCTTAACCGACTGAGCCACCCAGGCGCCCCAACAGGGGAACATTTAAATACACTATAAGAGGCCTTAAATAAAAGGGTACAATGAATTTATACGTACTGGTCTTAAAAGATCTTTAACATACTTGAAGTGAAAATTCTAGTACAATACATGCAGTGTAATCCCATTTATGATGTAAAAGAGACCTTGCAAAGAAGCCCAGCCCCTCGTCGTACACGCATATGCATCTCCCCACGTTGGTCCACGCGCGCCCATAGTCTGGAAGGACACACTCACGGGTGTGGTCAGATCACACCATCCCAAGACAATGGTGACCCCTGAGGGACTAGCCGAGGCTGGTGACCAAGGAGGATTTTTAGCACGGCCCACCTCGCCCCCTGGGAGGTTAAAAAATAATTCCACGAGTACTTGTATGATTAAAAGTAACAAAGACTGTTTAGAAAAGGAGGCCGAGGAGGACGCGTTATACTAACACACGGGGAACGGGGGCAAAGCTGCACAGGGAACCGCCCTCGTCACAACCTGCAACAGGGGCGCCTGCGGGCTCAGTCGGTAGAGCGAGATTTCAGCTCAGGTTATGATCCCAGGGTGGTGGGATCGAGCAGCGGTTGCATGGCGAGCACTGGGCAGCTACCTGCGATTCTCTCTCCCCCTCTCTCTCTGCCCTCCCCAATCCACGTGTGCCAAGTGCACACGCGCTCTCTCAAAAAAAAAAAGAAACACAAACAGCTGGACATCCACCACAGCTGTGTTCCAGAGAGAGGGAAGGGCAATGGAAAGGCCTTGTTGGGGACAGCATGGAGGCCACCTTGGCCGAGCAGAGTGCACGCACGCTCGGGGCCTCTGGCCGTGACTCTGAGTGGGTTAGGGAGGCACAGAACGGCTGTGAGCACAGTAAAAGGATTCCTCAGCTCGTCTGCAGGAACAGACCCTGGGACATGCAAGGCTGGAAAGACAAAGATCTGTCAGGAAGCTGTTGGAACAATCCAGGTGAGAGCTGACCAGGGTGTGGCAGTGGAGGGAATGAGATGTGGCCAGATCCTACATACATTTTGGTGGAAGAACCAAAAAGAACCTACTGAAAACCTAGATGTGAAATAAAGAAGAGAAGCAAGGATGGCTCCGAGGTGTTTCAGCCGAGCAAGGGGAATGGAGCCGCCAGTGGCTGACGGAGCGGAAGTGCGAGCGAGGCGCATCGGAGAGGGGGCGGGTGCACAGAGCAGGGGGTGCTGGGACCCGGGGTGACTATAAGACAAGCAGGCAGCAGCATGGGGTTCTGGGCTGAGGTCTGGTCTAGGAAGTGAGCACTGGGGTGCTCACAAGGCAGAGAGAAGAGCAAAGAGCAAATTAAAAAGAGCCGAAAAGTTAAAAGGCAAATGAAAAACTGGGAAAATATTTACAGCAAGTAACAAAGGGTAAAAAATTTAAAAACTGTTTTCCCACGGACAATTTCAAACACATGCAGGGGGTTGTAAATATGAACTGCCGCGTACGCGGACCCCGAGATCAGGAGTCACGTGCTCCACCGACCGAGCCAGCCGGGCGCCCCTATGTTCTCTTAGTTTCTCTTAAACTGTGACTAAAGTTCTGGTGGTTTTTATCGGGGGCCAAAATAAAGTGTATACGTTGCCTCTGCTCCCCCTTTGGTCTCCCGAGTCCCTTTTTTTTTTAAAGCATTTTTTTTAATGTTTATTTTTGAGACAGAGACAGAGCATGACCACTGGAGGCACAGAGAGAGAGGGAGACATAGAATCTGAAACAGGCTCTGAGCTGTCAGCACAGAGCCCCATGCGGGGCTCAAACCCATGAACTGTGAGATCATGACCTGAGCCGAAGTTGGACGCTTAACCGACTGGGCCACCCAGGTGCCCGAGTCCCTTTTAACCTCATCCTGCCACCGATGCCACAAAGAGGCGATTTCCACCTCAGGACTGTGCAGACGGTAGCGCTGTGGTGCGTAAACACATCCCTCTGCCTCCTGTACTTCTTCTACTCTGTTCCTCAGACCTCAAAGCTCAGGTCCACTAAAAATATATATATATTTAAAAAAAACATTTTTTTTTCAAGAAGAGCATGGGTATCAGTTTGAACTTCTAAATGTCTAGGTTGTTAGCAGTCTTTCAGGATCATTGTTTAGATCCATTGATTCCCTAGGAGATTAAAAAAAAAAAAAAACTGTGACAGTCTAAAATTCTTCATCTGATGAGTGGAGACAGGTCTATAAAAGATCCTTCTCAGTACCGGTTTGGTTACCCTGCGGTCTAGTTTCCAGAAGAAAAGGGGGGAAGAATGCTTGATCCCTCTCCTTGTCGCTCCCACATCCACTGTGTGTAACCAACGAAGACGGTCTTTTTGGATCGTTCTGGACCCAGGAATTTTATGTATGTGGTACGCGTCCTCCTCAGGTTTAGGATTATTCCTACAAAGGCTCCCACGGTCTCATCTGTGACTAGCAGAAGCCTCTTCACAGTGGGCTCCTGAACCTCTCTGCTGCTCCCAGCAGGCCTCGCTGACTTTGCTGCTTCTGTGAGCCTGAGATGTTCCAGGCTCACCAGACAGGCTCCTGACCTAGATGCAGGACCAGTAGCGACTCTGAGAAGCCCTGATTCCTTCCAGGGGGAAACGGTATTTAGCAACCACAGCCTGGGTGCTGGGCCCCATCCCACCTGGCCAGTCCCTGTGTGTAAGCCGTTTTAGGGGACCGAGCGAGAAAAAAAAAATTTAAAAAACCAACACCGAGTTCATTCTGCCTCTTCTGATCCAAATTCAGAAGCACGGGCTCTATTCAACTACAATGTCATGTGTGTCTCCGTTTTTCCAACACTGAAAGTCCTAGTTCTTCACAACACGAATACAATCCTTTGTCTGCTTTACCCTACACACACACACACACATTCATGATTGCGCGTGTGATTATGTACACGTATAACCTAAAAACACCAGAAGCAAATATGCCAAAATGTTAAAATTAGTGAAATAAAGGGTAATGAGGTTCTAAGTTTTTCTTTTAATCCACTTCTACATCGCCCAGATTTCTATAATAAACAAGCACTACTGATAATCAGAAAAGAAAAAAAAATAATCTTATTTTAAAACTCTGGGCTGGCTCACCAATTTTCGAGTTCCCCCAAGTTTTAGTGAATGCACAGAAGTCTTTAAAGTATATTACATGAACATGAGCCTTGGGACCTCAACACCCAAACACGGGTCACTACTGCTCCCGAGGCCACAGACCCGTACCCACGCCCAAATCAGTAAGATTACTTACATCTCTCACAGACATCGTTTCCTCTACTATGATCTCCATCTCTGCACCAGGCTGGACTTCAGTCCCCACAGTGAAACACAGGAACAGCTAAGACCAATGAATGCAATTTAATCTAAATTTAAAAAATTTTATACATGTATTATTTGCTTCCAGAAAAGAAAAGCCAATGGTCCGTGAAATTTTAATAAAAAACTCATATACAAATAAAGATGTGGGCAATTTAATGCTGCAATTTGAACAATAATCTCAACTGCCTAGAAATGTAAGAGGCTTCACACCAATGTTTTCACCCCCATAGGTACTATTACAGCAGTCGTCTTCTCTCACAGGTATTCTTTATTTCACTATGGCCTTCACTTCTTTCTTGGTCACTCCTCAAAAGGATCTGCTATGCACTGTAAGCATGAGCTGGGCTTTTTCTCTGTGTCATTTGGTTGTGATCTTATTTTCTGTCCAGGGAATCTGATCTGTCAGTTCATTTCCTTCCCTTTCAAACTCAATCTTACTTGTCACATCCACCCCCCCGCCCCCCGCCCCCCGCAAGCCGGTCCTGCACGCCGACATGGTAGAGTTCAGGGGAGGGACGAATTAAAGAGGAGGTAGCTGGGAAACTGATGAAGTGGATCCAGGAACCCCAGGGAACCTGACAGGAGGCTAGCTTCCCTTGATACTGAGTCTTAACTGTAAGGACACGGTGACTTGTGGGTTGCAATAAAAGTTTATTAAACAAGTAGGGCTCCTGGCAAAGGTCGACCTACTATTCTACACAGAAAATGAATACTGATAAGAAAAAGAGGACTGCTATGAGACCATTATACTCCTGCAGAGTAGTTCAGGGCAAGATCAATATACTCTTTTCATTCAACCTAAGATACACAGTTGTTACTTGTCACTTTCCGCAGTGCTGAGAAAGAGAAACAGTGTCAGCTGCGATCACAGATACCAAATTGTGAGATGGACCCCAATCTCACAGATGTCAAAATTTGGGAGAAAATGGGTGCATTTTAGAATTTCTGAAATATAGTGATTCAAACTGGTGGCCACTCAACTTTAAAGGCCCTCTGTAAGAAAATTTTCACCGAACTCTATGGATGTATGCCTGACACAGAAAGGTACCATTTAAGAAAGAAACTTCTAAGAAAAGCAGTTACTGCTGCAGTAATTAAGGTAAGAATAATGCAATTAAGAACTTCAGGAGGTGCCTGGGTGGCTGAGTCAGTTAAGCATCCAGCTCAGCTCAGGTCTTGATCTCATGGTTTGTGGGTTCGAACCCCATGCTGGGCTCTGTGTGGACAGTTCAGAGCCTGGAGCCTGCTTCACATTCTGTGTCTCCCTCTCTGCCCCTCCTTTGCTCATGCGCTCTCTCTCTCAAAAATAAACTTTAAAAAAAGAAAAGGAAGTTCTGACTCTGGGAAGGCGGCGTCTGTACCTGAGAGGGAGTCGGTGCTTTCCCAGGACACAGTCCCAATGAGCTCCCCATCTTCAGCTCCGCTTCCTTCACAGTATAGCTGTCGGGCACTATAACGAGTGTGGATAACATGATGAATGTTATTAATTCCTACCTCTCTGGGCAAAATAATATACTGAACTCAGTCTTTCTTTGAAAATCAAGAATACAGAGAAAGATAAAAAATGAGGTGCACTCCATGCAAAAAGATTACCTATATGATAGTTACGTTTGATTTTTGATGTCCACACTCTAGTGTTATCTATACAATGCTAAGAAATGTAGCTATGAATGTTCTAGATTCAGACTTAAGAAAAATCAAAGAGCCGTTGTTTACACGGATTAAAAGCGAGATATTCCCAACTGCTTCATGAGCGATGGGCCAGCCCTTTCCACGTTTACAGCTGCTGTGGGGACCACTGTCGATTATTTAAGCCAAATGACAAGATGCTTTACAGAGGCAAGAGCAGAGACTGCTTCTCAACTGCTGTCACAATAAAATGAGCAACACAAATAAAACACTTTGACGATAAATCTAGAAAGATAGGACTCGATCAAAACAACTGCCTAAAATGAGGATCAGCTGATCAGAAAGGCAGGTGTTTTCCTTTAGACAACAGAAGCATCTGAATTTCTGGTTGAGATTTTGTCATGCATGAAGACAGCAGTGGGACCATAAAATGTCCCAAAAATTAGTTACCAAAAGGTAAATTTAAGGATATTAAATATCGGAAGACATTATTGACAGTTAAGTTAGGTTCTGAAGGCTCCCATGAAGACTTACCTGGACAGAGAAGCTTCCCATTTCTATCAATAGGTCGCAAACAGCTGTTCTCAGCTACAAGTAAGAAGACGCCAGTGAGTCTTACACACTAAGGGAAGTCGCTCTACTGTGTTAATTAGCAGAAAGCTACAATGAGCTACAAGACAAAAAATCCCCATCAACCAAGAAGAAACCCCAAGTACGGGCAGCGTTCACTTCACACAGGAGCTAGCGGCGAGGGAGTGCCGGCCAAGCTGAAATCGTGCAAAGCCAGCCCAGTAACCGTGAGGGCCACCGCAGATGTCCTGGGGCCTTTCAGCACCGTTGTCACAACATTTAAGTCAACACTGGTTATGACTGTATAGTGAAATTAAAAAAAATAGCAAAACTAATAATTAAAATACTAGAGACCCTGAGAATTTTTTTATTCTTTTGTAAAAAACACAGCAAGACTAGTTTACACAGGGCTCTCTTCTTGTCGGAGAGCTTATGATACAGAGTGAGCGTCTCTTCTATTCCTGGGCGAACGGTCATAGGCTAAGTTGGGTCTGCTTCCAAAATTTCCTACGTTGTGCTCTCAACCTCATGAAGTTCTCCAGGAGCTCCTTTTTTTTTCTTTTTAAGTTTTTATTTTGAGAGAAAGCATGAGCAATGGAAGGGCAGAGGAAGAGGAGAGAGCAAGAATCCTACCATTATGGCAGCGTGGAGCCCGACGTGGGGCTAGAACTCACAGACGGTGAGATCATGACCTGAGCCAAAATTAAGAGTTGGCTGGTGAACCGACTGAGGCACCTCCAGGAGCTCCCTTAAAGCGAGCTTCTCTACTGGCATCCTGTCCTCTGGGAGGCCACCACCCTTTCTGTCACTGCTTCTTTCCTCACGTCCATTCAGCCCTCTGGCTGCACACCGGTCCCTGGAGCTGCGCGGTGCCATCGTGCCCACGGTCAGCTACCCCTTCTATCCCTCCCTGTACCTGGTTTTTCTGCTGCACCCCCGTGTCATGGAGCGATGGGTTAGCCCTTACTGCAGAAGGCACGTGGGTCACCATGGGAGAAGGGGGAGAGACCACACACTGTACTGTGGCGAGATGAATACCAGATGCTTCAAAGTAATTGGCCCCTGATGATGAGGCACCTCTGCTACTCAAGCAGTGACTGTGCACTGAAGGGTGAGTAGCAAGTCTGTACTTTATGCAGTCACTCAGTTAACGTCCAGTGGAGCTGACATCTGAACCGCGCTGCTGGGTGGCGGACGTTACGTAATGAGCCATGGTACCTGACATTCGTGTCCACTGCCCACGTGTAAAATACATTAAGTGACTTTCATGCTTATTAAATGGATTAGGGTCAGTGGGCCCTACTTTGTGGGGGGCAGAGGGTCCCTGCTTTGTGGGCAGGAGTCCGCCAGGTTGTGAGTCCAGACAGAATCGTCACACGGCCACACAGGAGGCAGCGACTGGCAGGACAGGAACGGCGAGCCTCCCCAGCTCGCACTCTGCCGGACCACAGCGAATCCGAAATTCTGCAGTTCTCCGTGTTGCAGGGCGGTGACTGATGTGAAGGCAGCAAACAATTCTGATACAAGTTTCTTAACAACTGAAACAGCTTATGGAGAGTTCTTCAACTTAAAAAAAATGCATTTTCAATACTGCCTCCTTAAGATCGTCCCACTGGACTCCACAAACAGATCTCCTAAGTGCCAGACCCGTGCTAGAAGCGGACAATGCGGCAGGAAGCGGAACAGCCGCGGAGCCCCGCTCAGAGGCCCTGCGACGGGGAAGGGGGTGCAGGAACCGCGCCGGCGCTACAAGGGAAGGACAGGGATGAGAACGAAGCAGACGTCGGAGCAGGCCGCGTGCTCAGGGATGACGGGAAGGAACATTCCTGCTGGGGGCAGCCGAGCGAGTGAGGCGAGCGGACAGGAGGGAAGGGGACAGAGTTGAGGGAGGGGACAGCTCTGAGAAGCTGGATGGGACGTGGTACGGCGGGAGAGCTGGTGCACCGCAAACCCGGAAAGCCAGCACGGGGGGTGGGGGGGTGTTGTGCACAGGAGGGGACCAGAAAGAGGTCGGAGGCCGTGGTCAGATGAGGCCGGGTCTTGAAGGCGAGTGCGAGGAAGAAGCCTACGGAGCGTTGGGCAGAGGGGGAATACGATCTCATTCGCATCGTGCTCTGTGGAGGACGGTTTAGAGGCGAGCAAGAGGGAAAGGGGGGCCAGTTTCACGTTTTAATAAACCAAATGCTTTCAATTTGAGGCGTACGTTACAATAAAACACAATGAAACAGTTTTAACTGTAGAGTCTGATTAAAACAGTCAGCAACCACCTGCCAGCAGAGCTAGGGTTCGCCTCACCCCCCAAATTCCCTCCTGTTACCTGCCGTCAACCTCTACCCCCAATCCGATTTTCTACCCCCGTGAGTACAGCGTAGGTTTTCTTTTCTGCAAACTTCGTGTAAATGGAAGCCCAAGAAAATGTACTCTTCTGTGCCTCGCTTCCACTCTGCACTCCGAGTTTCGCAGGCGGTGCAGTTTGCAGCCACTGCTGGGAGGATGCACCGCAGAGTGTGGGCCGTGGCATGGCTTCCGGAAAGTGTCCTCCCAGTTTGGGGCTGGGCTGTCCTCTGTTAAGGTGCAAGTATTTTTTATGTGATCCAGACGCCAAGTCTATTGTCAAATGTGTGTTACGCCAATTGTTTTCCTCCCAGTTTGTGGCCTGCCTTTTCAAATGCCTTCTGAAATACAGAAGTTTTACATTTAGATAGCGCCAATTTGTTTTTTCTTTCATGGTTTGTGCTTATTGACTCCTGACTAAAAAAATCTTTCCTTATGATAAAAGTAACGAAGACTGTCTCATAAGTTCTCTCCTAGGAATCGTATATAAATGGTTTCAACATTTAGGCCTATGATCCAGCTAGAATTAGTATTTTACATGATATAAGGCAAAGCTAGAGGTTCATCTTTCCATCTATGGATAACTAATTGGTCTAGCACCTTATGTTGAAAATATACTATTTTTCCCCAGGGAAATACTTTTGCTCTTTTGTTAAAAGTCAATGGATTAGGAGCGTCTGGGCAGCTCAGTCGGTTAAGCATTCAACTTTGGCTCAGGTCATGATCTTCCAGTTTGTGAGTTTGAGTCGCGCATCAGGCTCTGTGCTGACAGCTCAGAGCCTGGAGCCTGCTTCAGATTCTGTGTCTCTCCCTCTCTCTGCCCCTCCCTGCTTCCGCTCTGTCTCTCTCAGAAATAAACATTAAAAAAAAAAAGAAAGCCAACGGACTACATATATTTGTACCTATTTCTGGATTCTCAGTATGGCTCCAATGTAAATGTTTTAAGCACAAAACCACATGTAGTTTCTCTTCCACATTCTTCTCAAAAGAGCTCTTTAAAAGTGTGAAAATTATTCTCAGCTCACTGACTGTACAGGAACAGGTTACAGGCCCGGACAGCTTGCTGCCATTATGTTTGCTCCTATGCCAGCGCCCACGGTCTTGATGCCCACAGCTTTGGGCCGAATCTCGAAGTCAGACAGTGTAACTCAGCCAACTCTGTCCCCCACCCCCACTCCCACGCTGTTAGGATACTCTAGGTTCTTTGCACTTCCATGTAAATTAAATCAGCCTGTCAGTTTCTACACACACACGCAAAACCCAAAAGGATTTTGAGTGAGGATGCATTCAGTCTACACGTCGATTTGGGAAGAATTCATGACACATCGCTCCACTTATTTATGTGTTCTTTGACTTTTCACAACAAAATTTTCCTGTTGTGAGCACATACATCTTACACATATTTTGTTAAATTTATCCCCAAGTATTTCATGACATCTTATGCTACTGTACATGTTTTCTTAATTTCATTTTCCATTTGTTTGTTGCTAGTAAACATATAATGGATTTTTGTGTGTTAATCCTGGTCTCTTGTTAAGCTCAGTAACTTTAGTACCTTTTTAATAGAATCCTTTAGACACACAGAGAGTACGCGCAGCAGCAGCGCTCACCACCACTGCATTAGGACACTCACCAAACACACAACGATAGCAATTCATATCCACTAGCACGACTGTGATCAAAAAGATACTTACAACCACTGGCAAGGACATGGAGAAAACAGTGACGCCGATACACTGCAGGTAGGGTGTAAATGGTGCAGCCCCTCTGGGAAGTGGTATGGCAGTTTCTCATAAAGTTAAACATACATTTGCCATATGACCCGGCAGTCACAATCCCATGCATCCACCCAAGAGAACTGAAAACACGTCCACAAAGCCTCGGATGTAAATGTGTATAGCAGCATTATTCATAAAACCCCACACTAGAAACAATCCAAATGTCTATCAATTGGTAGATGAATAAACAAAGCACGATCCGTCTGTACCACTGAGCACTTAGCCAGCAATGAAAAGGAACACACTTCAGGCACATCCTAAATCATGGATGAGCCTCAGAAAGGGTCTGCTAAGTGAGAGAAGTCATACGCAAGGGACAATACACCATGTCTATTAAGTCTAGAGAGACAGAAAGCGGATGAAAGGCTGCCGGGGTTTGGAATGCAAAAGGTGCACGAGGGAACTTTTTTTTGTTGTTTTAAGCTTGTTTGTATAGAGAGAGACAGACACACAGCAGGGTAGGGGCAGGGAGAGGCGGGGAGAGAGAATCCCAAGCAGGCTCCACACCATCAGCGCAGAGCCCAATGTGGCGCTTGAACCCACGAACTGCCAGATTGTGACCTGAGATGAAATCACGAGTCGGATGCTTAACCGACTGAGCCCCCCGGGTGCCTGGCATGAGGGATCTTTTTGGAGCAATGGAATGTTCAGAAACTGGACTGTGCTGATGGCTGTGCAACTTCATACATTTACTAATCATCACTGATGTACACTTAAAATGCATATTTTGATGGGATGTAAATTATACCTCAATAAAGCTGTTAAAGAAAACCTAATGCCAAGTGAAGAGTGGGTTTCAGAATGTTACATTCAGTATGACAGCATTCATTTAAATGTGAAAATACACACATACACCTCTCTGTGGAAGCATAACATACGAATGCATACACTAGACAGATGCCCAAATCAGATATACTGGGTGCATCTGGGGAGGGAGAGGGAATAGGTCTGAGGAGGAGGAAGACATAGAGGATTTTAACTGCAGTTGCTTTCAAACAATAAACGCATGACAAGATGTTAACATTTGTCCACTTTGGGTGGTGGGTGCATGAATTTTCCCTAAATTACTTACTTATTTTAGAGAGAGAGATAGAGGGAGGGAGAGGGAGACAACGTGAACATACAAGGTGGGGGAAGGGGTTGGAGAGAGAGAATCTTAGGCAGGCTCTATGCTCAGCACGAAGCCCAATGCAGGGCTTGATTCCACAACCCTGGGATCATGACCTGACCCAAAGTCAAGAGTCGGACAGTCAAATGATTGTGCCACCCAGGCGCCCCTGAATTACTTTTTGTACTCGCATAGTTTTTTCAACCAAAAATCAAAACAAAACTAAATTAAGCCAAAAAACCCGAAAGCAAACGTAAAAGATTACCTAGTTCCTTCATTAATTTTAATTCCTTTATGGCTTTAGTTCGAATCTCAAACACCACCTAAAACAGAGAAATGCACTAGTGACTGTGGGAGAACAACGGGGGGTGGGGGGGGGGCGTACACAGTGCGCCCGTACACAGCTTAGCTGCCTTACCAGTTACTGGACAGCTTATGCCTACTTGAAAAAAGATTTTTTTTTCCATCCCTGCAATTCATTTTCTATCTTCTACCAAGTACAAAATAATACTTAGGTCTTAAAAGTTTTTACCAAACTAATGTTAACTGGAGCAGAAGGAAGACACTTATGGAAAAACTTAAAACAATTTTAGCTACAAAGGCAAAAAGCTGAGAACCCTCTAACTTTTTTAATGAGAGCAAACAAAAGAAAACACAGTTAATGGTATTTCTATATGTTAAGAATGATGAATTCAGGGCCAATAAGCATAGAAAATATAAAAATGTACAATACTAATCCAAAGACATTATTTAAATCTGTTTAAATTATTTTTCTTTTTCGTTTAGGCTAATTGCCCTGGAAATTTAGGGGTAAAGTGATGTCAATGATCACGGACTGGACCCTCCCAGCAGCGCCCCACACGGTACCATGAAGGGACAAGGACTGATATACCCAGGACCCCCCCATCCCCGAAGTCCCCACTTAGGGTCAGGACTGGCAGGTCTCCCGAGCTTCAGGGGACCTGCCTTATACTTCCCTCTACTGTAACAACTAGGATTAATGCACTGTAAGAAATCAGAACATTTATAGAAAACATTCTAATAGGTTTCTTTGATGTTACAGGAAAAAAACTTCAATGAACTGAGAATACCTGACTATAAAAAGAGATTTCCTAGAATGACATTTAAAAAAATGACGGTCACAATCTTCAAGTGGAAAACTGAAGAACCCCTTTTAAGAGCAGCTGGGTTTATATAGAGCACAGAGTATAATGTAGAGCAACTGAAGATAAACTTAAACAACAACACAACACAAAAATAAAACATATATGCCTGGCTTAAAAAATAGAGAAAAGGTTGTAGGAAAATAGCATTTTATATTTATCGAAGCCAGCAGATTCCATGAACTAATTAAACAGGCAAATCCTGTATTCTAATTCCAGCCTTTGGAGGGAAAAAGAGGCCCCTGTTTTCTTGAAATATGCCACTAATTCAGGTAAAGGAGCAGTAATCAAATGTTAGCAATAAAATGTTGACTTCCTTCCCCCTCCTTTTTTTCTTTTTAAAGTAGGTTCAGTGCCCAACGTGGAGCTTGAACCCATGACCCTGAGATCATGAGTCACATGCTCTACTGACCGAGCCACCTGGGTGACCCAAAAAGTTGATTTCTAGAAGCCCACTGAGACAAATGTTGCAGAAGATTTCCGGTACTGCTTTCTAAGTCCAGTTCTGTTCAACTAGAAAACCGTCCTCCAAACCTGAAGTATAATCTACTCACTGTGTTCACAGTTGCTGATATTTTAACTTGCTTCTTCTCAGACTCTACCTCGCATAAATTATGAATTTGGAGCCAGCTGATCTCATTCATACCAGTGAACCATTTCCCCTGTCTGAGCAGCAAACTGTAAGGAAAACGACATTTAAAAAATGTGTCTTTACATAGCACTTCTACGGATCAGAAAATTAATAGTTTTCCTTAGGCACTACGTCCAGAACGCCACAGGTGTCCCTTGACGTGACTGACGTATGGTGACCGGGGCGTACCGAGCAGGCACTAAGAAAGTGGACTATCTCTTTTGGGCAGCATTAGGCAGTAGGTCTGCAGCGTCTGTACTCAGGACTCCAGCTATTCTTTGACTCATACAAATTATCTGGTGCCATGTGTTTTGTCTTTTGTGTTGCCGCCGTTTCCCAAGAGAAGTGTGAGAGCGCCTCTGCCTGCACCTGGAATCGCCAGGGTGCATGCCCGGGGTCTTCGCTTCTCCAATCCCAAGTCCTAATACCTGTATGTTACTTTTTATAAAGGAATGTATAATAAACTTTTACGTTAAATAAACAAAGTGTGGCAATAAATGTCTGGAAAACACTCGTCCCAAAGAGCAGCAGTGATAAATGTGATACAAAATACAGTTCTGAGCACTCTGCCTCTGTCACAGCCACCATTACTGGCAATGTGCAAACTAATCTAAGCGTATTCACGGCACTGATCAAGCAGGGAACTCATTTGCTGCTCACAACCTCACGTCCTCGGCTCATGGAAAGCTGGGGGGTTGCGGGGCAGGACACACCGACCACAACAGACGTGGGTAACAAACGGAGGGACACAGCACTTCTGAGCACCCGTGAGACTCACAGGGACCCAGGCTGTGATGCCCCACGTAAGTGCCTCACTGGGCAGCTGGGCAGGTCTCAAGAGTCAGAAAAGGGATTATAATGCAAAACTGAATTGTTTTCTGGAAATCTTGTCACAAAATGGACACATTTAGCTGTACCTTAATCACCTCATGAAAAAATTCAGGAACTTTGTGAGAACGTGCCTTTAGTTTTGTAGTAAGTGCTAATTAGAATTCAATTGCTAAGATTCTGCTTCACAAACCATTAATCTAGACTATTATCTCATCATCTCATCTACACTTGTATTATCGACCACACTTACTGAAAAAAAAAAAAATCCCATTACAGTATCACTTTTCCTCCAAGCTTCCTAACCCAGAACACAATGTTTAGAAACAAAAGGAAAATACTGAACTCTTTCATTATTAAAATAAAGCTTTAGTGTTCAAAGAGACAGAAAACCTGTAATTAAAATAACTTCCGAAGGAATTCTCTCACGTTTCAGCGAGCTACCTGTTATCGTCATTAGACTCCTGGACGAGAAGTGAGCTCCCGTTCCTGAGGCCCTGCTCTCGGAACGTCTTCTTCAGGTCTTCCTCGGGAATGGCCACCCAGTTCTCTTCCCCGACGGGGTCGGTGGTGCTGACAAAGAGGACCCCTTCGGGCATTGCTAAGGCCGTGAGCACAGCCCGCACTTCCGCATTGGATGGGAACACGTGGGCGGCCTCTACCGTCTGCTGACGCCTTCCCCCCTCACTGCTTGCTGTGAGATGAAGAATGTTGATGAGCACAGGCTCACAGTCGCTACCAGTTGGAATGTGGATGCCACCAACCTACGATGATACCAAGACAAGTGTTAGTAGAAGTCCTATTTGCCACAATCAAGTCAACATAATAACACAGTAAAAGACCACTCTTGAGAAATTCTCATTCTTTTTCTTTTCAAGTGACATACAGTTTTCACAAATGTCTTGTACATATCAGAAGAACAACTTTCGATTTTTCCACTGAAACTTTCTCTTAGCCATCTTTTACTTTCTAGGAGAGAAACATGGGGTGGAGACAGAGCCCCCACAGGGGAAATAAAGCCACGGGGAAAAAACAACAACCACTAAGAGAGCCTTTGACACACAGGAGATGAACGAAGGGCAGTCCACTGAGTGGGTGCGACATTCCTGCCCCTTTCTGGACTTAGAAACTTCACTCTGCTCTTGTAGGTCACTCACAGAACCCGGGGTAAGAATTCCGAACTCTGCTGGGGAATAGGCACAGATCCCTACTTCAGCACCCGTATTAGTGCAATTATTTACACAGGATGCAGGAAGGACAGATTGATTATTTACCTTTGAATGGAGTGTCTGGCACAATGCAGGCACTCAACAAACGTCTGACACTGACTATACCTAAAACTTATCAGACATTTCAGACTTTTTCTAAAATCTAGTTGCCTTCACGTATGCCGAATAAGTTTTATTCAACAACTTAAAAAAAAAAAATCAAGAACCGTCACGAATATTTCTTCAGTGCATATTTACCTCCACCCCATTCCATACAAAGATGTCTTCCCCATCCTCAATTCCCACTTCACACAGCGTCAGGTCATCTCCTAGGAAGAGGAGGCCTTCAGTGAGACCATGTGTCATGATCACCAGAGACAACTGAACAAAAACAAAAGGCTGAGACACTTATTTGTTTGAAAAATCATTCTCATAAAGGAAAATTAAGAAAAAGGCAGTCATAATATTATATTGGTATTATTTTATATTACTTTTATCTTAATTTTTAAAAAACATTTATTTGTTTTTGAGAGATGGAGACAGAGCATCAGCAGGGGAGGGTCAGAAAGAGAGGGAGACACAGAATCCGAAGCAGGCTCCAGGCTCTGAGCTCTCAGCACAGAGCCAGACGTGGGGCTCGAAACATGAACTATGGGATCATGACCCGAGCCGAAGTCGGACACTTAACCAACTGAGCCACCCAGGCACTCTGGTATTACTTTTATCTTTATTCTTCTTACATACTCTTAAGGTTTCCCCTCCCATGTTAAGGAAGCATTTCTGCACTGTCGTTATGTAAGCTTTAAGAGCGCAAGGGCAGGGAGGCGCCGACTGTATGGGACACTGCGCAGAGGCGCAGCTTAGGCATCACAAGGCCCCAGAGCCGCACTAATGAGCTGTCTGTCCTGTGTACCTTGTCCCCATGCTTCAGTTTTCTTGTTTCAGAAATGGAGATAAAAGAATTCTGTGAAAATTGAAGGAGGTAATTTATAGAAATTTATCTCAGTATTTGGTCCAAAAGAAGTGTCACTGTGGCTACTGCTATTGCTATTGTTTTGTTGTTATTCACAGGTAGCAAATACTTTTCAGCTCTCCAAGTACTTTTGTCTGCTTTGCTACAAAATCTGTGGTAATATAAAAAAAAATTCCAAAACCTCTTGAAAACTTGCTTTGGTGGAGAGGTACCCTTAATTTTAAAAAATATAAAATGCTTCTGTGCTAGCAGAATTCACAGACAACATAAACCAGATAAATTAGTTGTTTGAAAGCCGACGGCGTGATGCTAGCCTAGTTAAGGTAGTAGGAGGAAGGGGAAGAAGACAATCACCGACGAGATGATCAAAAGTAAATACATGCAATGAGTTGCTGTACTTCAGTATTCATCTTACCAGCCAGCCTCTGATGAACGTGGAGTCCTGCAGGAACAAGCTTGGCCACGCTAAGCACCAGATCTCCTTCCCAAAACTCTACCAGCTACAGAATATTAGTGGAAGGAAAAAGAACAACGAGGAGTAACATTAACATCACATTTCCAGGCGAAAGAACCAGAGGGTGCTGTTTTACCTATGTTTAGACGAAAGGGGGAGCAAATACACCCATCCCATCCGGCAGCAAAATGTGGCAAGAAGGCATCACTCCTTGCTAAATAAGCCAAATCCAAAGATAGTTAATCTCATCCACTGGCGACCAGAGAATGCTGCATACACCGTGAACAGGATGACGGCCCAAATGACGGTACTTAATTCACGGGAAGGCCACCTCCATGGGAAGGTGCCAGCCCAGAAATCTTTGTCGCAAAGAGCAAAAGTCATTCATTTCATTAGCACTGTTCAGGGAGGAGCACACACCAATATTCTCATTAACCTGAATGTTTCCCGCTATAAATTCAAAACGTAGCATTGATAGTTTATAATAATATCACCATGGCTTTGTCTTTTAAGTTTCTAGATCCAACACTCCGGGGGACTGGTCATCTCACCAGAAGAACATCACCCATAAAGGCCAGTCCTATTTGATCTCTCTCCACAATACCACAAGGTAGCTGTCTTAAAAAGAAATTTCCTATTTACAAGTGATTAGTTAGCTGAGCCAATCTTGCAGCCCCTTGCCAGTGTCTTGCCTCTAGAATAACACAGATGTGCACTTAAAACATCAGAAAGCAGACTGGAGCAAATCTAAAACTTGCAAAGGTGAAGAGGTCTTTTCCATTTGAAAGGTCCCCCTAGACGGGGTCCCCTCCCCAAGCCTACCTATGACACTGCCTGGACTGGCTCAGGAATGAACTTTTAATGCAAAAATTCAGAAACATTAGGAAATTTTAGAAATCCTGATACGAATCCAACATTTAAATATCATTCGAATCAACTGAAGTTAAAAAATCAACAAGAGGAAAATCAAAAGAAAGTGAATAATTTTGGGAATTGGTAGGAGTTTTTCTTTTTTTTACTTTGAGAGAGAATGAGAAAGTGTGAGCATGAGTGGGGGAGGGGCAAAGAGCGAGGGAGAGAGAGAATCCCAAGCAGGCTCCACGATACCAGCACAGAGCCCAACTTGGGACTCGACCTCCTGAAACATGAGATTATGACCTGAGCCGGATGTGCAACAGACTGAGCCACCCAGGTACCCTGGGAATTGATACATTTTTTTCAAAAAACTCATTTATTTCTGCAAAAAATTAATGCCTACACTTTCTATTTCCCTTTTCCTCGATTAGGAGGTAGCGTGAGGTGGAAGAGTGTGATTAAAAGGAAGGAAGGAGTAAGGAGACCGGGGCCTGGTTCTACCACAACCAGAAGTCTGACTGTATGCAAGCCATTAGCTGTCTCTAAATCGTGATTTTTTCACCTCTAGAATGGGGTTAGCTTGCCCTGGGGTTGCCCTGACAGTAAAGAACCCGAGGACAGGATTTCCACGAAGGCACCAGAAGTGAAGTAAGCAGCACCGTTCTCAGGAAAGCACACCTGCACTCGGAGGAAATGACTGACGACAAGGCTTGTGTGTACTGCAACCCAGGAATGCTCTTCCTTCCCTGAAAAGCTTTAGTAACAAGCGCTATTCTCGGGGCGCTGGGGTGGCTCAGTTTGTCGAGCATCCAACTCATGACTTTCGGCTCAAGTTCATGATCTCACAGTTCACGGGTTCGAGCCCATCGGGCTCTGTGCTGACAGTGCAGAGTCTGCTTGAGATTCTCTCTCGCGACCTCTCTCTGCCCCTCCCCTGCTAGCACACTGTCTCTCTCAAAATAAATATAAAAACTTAAAAAAAATTTAAAACAAAATGCTACGCTCTGCTTAGGAAAGGGAGATGCATTAGTTGCTTGTTCAGCTCTTCGTTTTAGGTAACGTGCTCATCGTTATCCTTTTCTCCTTTTTTTTTTTTTAATGTTTTATTTATTTCTAGGAGAGAGAGACAGTGTGAGCAGGGGAGGGTCAGAGAGAGAGGGAGTCACAGATTGAAACAGGCTCCAGGCTCTGAGCTGGCAGTCAGCACAGAGCCCGACGCGGGGCTCGAACCCATGAACTGCGAGATCATGACCTGAGCGAAAGTCGGACGCTTAACCGACTAAGCCACCCAGGCGCCCCATATCCTTTTCTCCTTTTAAAAAATAATTTTCTTGCACTTATTTTCCAAAAAAGACGGTCTTACACTCTTTTTCCTAAAATAAAATATACCAGGCTTGATTGTCCCCTGAAACCCTGCTGGCAGAGCAGTGTGGGTCTTGGCGTGCAAAAAAAGCCTGAGAGACGTACACAGAACACCCGGGCCGACCCTTGCCAAGTGGCAGCTGTAGGATTTTCTTAAGTGGCTTTGAAAAATAAACAGTTGTACCCCAAACAGGGTTTTTGAAAAGGGGAATCCAGCTTGAGATGGACCTCAATGTCTAAATTAAGAGGAAGCAGGGCTAAATTACCTGAAATACTGATTGTCGAAGATCTCCTAAAGTTGTTCTTTTATCAAAGGTCAAATCCCACACGCTTTCTGCTTGAGACGATGTTGGGTGCAGAGCCCCATTGAAGAAATGATAATGAGGGCCCAGGTGGAGATGCAATTCAAAATTATTGTTTGCAGAATGACATTCTGCCCTTTAAAGAGGCATAAAAAATACAGAAATGTTATGTTTTTGTAACAGACACTGTTTCGTACCCAACCAAAAATACTTGATTTACAATATAAATAAGTTCTCTGTTCTCCCTAATTATTAACTCTTTTTCCTCCATGCTCCAAAATTAACTCATTTTAGTTTCTCAATGAATAGCAGACTTTCAGCTCCGCCACCATGAATTCCAAGGGAAACGAATTTTAATATACCCCGGGCAATATTATTCTGAATAAGTATCCACGCTCAGACTCTCCCAACCCTGAGATTACAGTTACAGATATGCTAGAAACCCCTTCCTGTAACACGTCAAGTGCCAGATTTGTCAACTTCTATCTCACCCTTACTTTCACTAGACCCCGTAGACTCTTCCATAGAATATTGAGAGTGGATCTCATGACCCTCCAGAGTCTACTCTGCCGGGTCAAACGTCCTCAGCTGCAGCCCGATGCTGTCTGCTCCTCTCTGAATCCGCTCACCCCCTAGGCTGGTGCCTGATATTCCACTTCTGGCAATGTGGTCAAGGGGAGCTTGGCCCAGGGTGAAGCCACTGCTCCGGTACTCCAGACACAATTCTGTTAACGCGGTCAAAGACAGCACGAGCTTTTCTGATGGTCACATAAAAAAGCTTAGTGCTGGCTGGCTGCACCCATTAGGTTCTTACTGTTGTGGCTGTGAACACCCACTGCTAATCTGCACCCACACATGCACGTTATTTTTCCTGTTTAAGACATTTTACCCTAGGTTTTATATTTTTAGTGTCTTGATTTGATAGTGGTTTGCCATTCAATCCACTTGCTACTCTTTCTCCCCCAGCTTTAAGTCAGTGATAAGAACATTGACCACACCCCTGCTACATAATTAGCCAGCCACGTTGAGACCATGAGAACGTCCACGTCCCTAACCTAACACCCTACTGACCCTGTCAGAGAGCCACTAAGGACCCAGTTCTTCAGAGTCCAAGCTAACACCTCAGAAGAGAACAGGAGATCGTCAAGTTCTCACAAACCACGGCTGGCAGAACCCATGAGAGGTTCTGCCACAGAGTCACAGAATCCACACTCCTTCCTCTGGCCCACCTCTGTCTGGTCTTCTGTCACTACGCCACTTCTCCACAACTACTCAAATAAGCAGGGGTGATTTTCACAGCGGGCTCTCTTTGTCCCTAGGGCATCACCTGACAGCCAGGATACAAGTCATTTAGTGTACTGCGTGCTTACCAACTTCCCCCATGTTCCTAGGCTTCATCCCTGCTCAGCAATGGCCATCGTGTGACATGACTGCACTCGCCATCACAGAGAAGGGTAATTTCAAAGTAGCAGGTACTCTCCCTACAAAAATTCAGCAGCTACACAGATGCTGGCATTAATCAGTTGACTTTTTTTTTCCCTTTTCCTTTTCCTGATTGAATACTTAAGACCTAAATTAGATCCTCATTCTCCAGAAAAACCACGTGAACGCTACAAGTAGGTCAAACTCACCTTTTTCTTTGCAGTTCAATGTTGGCCGCATCCATTTCATTCAGCAAATGACACGGAACCCCATACCTTGGATTGGCTCGAGCTGTGAACAAAACGTCATGAACTTGGGCTGAGTATACAAACTGGTTGCTGGAGACCTTGTAGCAGGGAAAACTAGAAAGTGCTGGGAGCTAGGGAAGCTTCTAGTAACTATCTCTGTGAACACTAATTTCCCGTGGATCTCAGCTTTCCCATCTGAATAACGGAAACATTACAAGAAATCAAAGATAAACGGTTCTTTAAGCCAAGCCAGAAGGAGTCCATTTCTTTGATTCTCTTTAAGTACACTTTTTAAAGAGAACACCCACCATTTCCTCCCTGATAACAAATATAGTAACTGGTCACTGCAAAAATTCTGGACATTATTTTTACAGTATGAAAGAAACACAGATTACCTGTAATCCCATTCCCAAGAGATACTCCTAAAATTTGTTAAACTTACTTCTGGTCTCTCTTCTGTACCTGCACAGCGTGTCTGTACATGCACACACAAACACACTTATTTAAAGCGACTGTGACTGTATTTAAAAATCTGTACGATGCTTTCTCATTTCTTATTTGTGAGTGCTTCTCCAAAGCTTTAAATGACTGCACAGTAGTCCATTCTACAAATATCGCAATTAACCTAACCAATCTTTTCTGTTAGACATTGCGTGACTTATAGTCATTATTATAAAATAAACGGGAGTAACGAACATCTTTGACATCTTTGAACATCAATATTTATACACAGCTCTATTATTTCAAGACAAATTTGTGGAATTACTAGTTTAAGGTTTTAAATACAAAGAACCTAAGTGGTTATATTACTTTATATACCTAACCAGAGGAAGTGCCAACTATTGAGAACAAGATTAGCAGAAACATGTAACTTGGTAGGAAAAAAAGGGGTGTCTCCCTGCTGTTTCCATGCCTATTTTCTGATTATGAGTTAGGCTGAATTCTTTTTTTTTTTTTACAAATAGTTTATTGTCAAATTAGTTTCTACATAACACTCAGTGCTCATCCCCAAAGTGTCCTCCTCCATGCCCATCCCCCCCTCCCCCCCACATCCATCAGTCCTCAGTTTTTGTCAGCATTCAAGAGTCTCTCATGGTTTGCCTCTCTCCCTTTCCCCCACCATTTCCGCCCTTCTTCTCCCCCTTGTTCCTCCGTCAAGTTCCTCCTAATCCTCCTATACGTGCAAACATATGATATTTGTCCTTCTCTGCCTGACTTATTTCGCTCAGCATAACACCCTCAAGGTCCATCCATGTTGCTACACATGGCCAGATTTCATTGTTTCTCATTGCCATGTAGTATTCCATGGTATAGATAAACCACATCTTCTTGATCCATTCGTCTGTTGATGGACACTTAGGCTCTTTCCATGTTTTAGCTATTGTGGAGAGTGCTGCTATGAACATTGGGGTACATGTGCTCCTATGCCTCAGCATTTCTGTATCCCTTGGGTAAATTCCTAGCAGTGCTATTGCTGGGTCATAAGGGAGTTCTATTGTTAGTTTCCTGAGGAACCTCCACACTGTTTTCCAGAGGGGCTGTACCAGTTTACATTCCCACCAACAGTGTAGGAGGGTGAGTTAGGCTGAATTCTTGTTTGTTTGTTTTCAGTTTATTGGTTGTTCTTTCTTCTTTTGTACATTGCTTATTTCTATCCTTTTCCCAATTTTCTATTAAGCACAATGGAATATACATAAGAGCACTCTAAAGACTGGAAATAAATTTGTCATGTATTTTCCTATTTCCCACGGTCTTGTCATTTGCCTTTTATATTGTTGAAGGTTTATAACACTTTTCCTTAATTTTTCTTTGCTTTTAAGCTTAGAAAGGTCTTATCTACCTTAAGATCAGAAAATATAGGGGGTGCCTGGGTGGCTCAGTCAGTTAAGCGTCCGACTTCAGCTCAGGTCATGACCTTACTGTTTGTGATTCATGAGTTCAAGCCCTGCATTGGGCTCTGTGCTGACAGCTCAGAGCCTGGAGCCTGCTTCAGATTCTGTGTCTCCCTTTCTCTCTTTTTAAATAAGCATTAAAAAAAATAAAAAGAAAATATGTTTATACATTTTAAGATTCCCTTTTAACAAAAACATTCAAAGAACTTGAATTTCATTCAAGCAACAAATATAGTCACTTGATGACACTAACTGGTAATTCAAGTGATTAGTAGCTTACTTCCCAGCTCTACTTCTTGGGTGATTTCACTTTCCTCCCATTTATCTGAAAAGTTATCTTACCACGGGTTAAAACCTTAAAAACACTTGGATGGGTATCTGGGCTAGCTCTACTCCAGCAATCTGTCCACCTCTCCGCATTAAGCACTGTGCTGTCTGAATTGCTGGAGCTTTACAAACACATTTTTACTGATGGGGTAAATTCTCTTCAGTAGCTCCTTCTTTAATTTTTATTAATTCACTTCTATAGGTGAATTTTAGAATCATTTTGCCAAGTTCCATTTCTTTATCCCCCCAAAAAGTTAAGATTTAAGTCAGATCTTTACTCAATTCATAAGCTAAAGCTAACTAGAAAACCACCATTTAGTACATAGTCAAATCATACACATGCTAAAATTCAATTCAGGGAAAAAGAACTACTCCATCTGAACACATTTTTTTTAGTTGTTAATATATATTTCTAGAACTATGAATTCTGCCTTCACAGTATTTTTATCAGAACCATTACCGTATTTTTCCCTCAGAAAAATAAAGCCTAGAATGTCTGGTTAAAAGAATAATTGTGTAACGGTTTTAGATACAGAAATTTTATTTCCTTTGACTCACGTGCAAATTAGTAACTGGCCTCTTCTTGTTCTTTATAAAAATGATTATTATTTTCATTCTTTAAGAACAGTGTCCTCATTCACAACTACAGATATGCCTCAATCCAAGGAACTTTCCTGGTTAGGATTTATACTTTTGCATGAACTTTGGGAAGTGACCAAAGTCTCACACACTGATTCATGTTAGCAGTTTCAATTTAAAAATGTATCATTGTGGGGGCACCTGGGTGGCTCAGTCGGTTACGTGTCCAACTCTTGATTTTGGCCAGGTCGTGATCTCCCAATTTATGGCATTGAGCCCCATGTCAGGCTCTTTACTGAGAGAACACAGGATTCTCTCTCTCTCTCTCTCTCCCTGCCCCCACACTTCAAAATAAATAAACACTTTAAAATAATGTGTCATTATGGGTCTCAGTGTTTAACCTCCCTGGTATGAGCTGTCTTAGAAGGTTCAACAAGGAATGTTCTGAAGATATTTCAACTATTCAGAGAACACATTAATTATCCTGGAGGAAAGGAAAAAAGAAGGAAGGAAAGGGGGACATATGGAAACAACTCACAACTTAAAACTCAAAGGCGACAAACATATGGCCAAATGACACAGGCGCACCCAAGCACAGGGCAACCACAAGCAAGATGGTCCACACAACAAGAACCCATTATGTGGTCCAAGAGAGCCCAATTCTAAAATACTAACGATGGCCTCACATTATTAGAGGAGAAAAAATAAAATAGAAATATATAATTATAAAATGACCGCTGGGTTTCTTTCGGCATGTGTTTCTTACTGTTAGCTTGAAAATATTTAAAAATGTTTCATGAACAAACTTTTTAAATGTATTGATTTTGAGAGAGACAGAAACCGCATGAGCGGGGGAGGGTCAGGGAGGGTGGGAAACAGAGTCCCTCCACGCTGTCCGCACAGAGCCCACACGGGGCTTGAACTCACAAAACCATGAGATCATGACCTGAGCTGAGACCGAGAGTCGGATGCTTACCCGACGAGCCACCCAGGCGCCCAAGAGTAAACTTTCTTTTAAGAGGGTAAAAATTCAAACAGCATTAAGTATTTATCTTCAAACCTCATCAACTTAAACAAATAGGAACATTTTTCTTTCCATACCTTCAGGGGGTCTCTGCAGCTGGGATTTCCGATAAAACAACATGTAGGCACTTTCTTTACCCTGAAACTGCCGTTCAATATCTTTTTCCTTGATTGGTTGCACTTTGGAATCATTTATGTCAAACCAGTGGGGACAGGAAGTTGTATCATGTAACCCCGGGGACGCTGAAGCGTGTGTCTGGAGAAGGGGTTGCTCCTTCCTTTGGAAATCAGACTCAGCCTGGAGAGAACCGTTCTTCAAAAGGCTAACTGTACTTTCATCGGAACTGAGCAGAAATATCTGAGAATGAAGCTGTAAGAACTACACAGAGAAAAGAACCAAATACTAGGTTAATAAAAATTTTTTTTTAATTGGACACAATAAAAGACTACATCTTCCCTTCTGTGACTAGATATTTGAACCTTTATTTTTGGCCTACCCAGCTAGGACTCCATCTGAGTCCTGATAAAGCATTTAATAAAAATCAGGGTTCTCTCTGTTAAACAGTCTAATAGTCACATCCAGGGAGAAAGCTGCCATGCCACCAGCCGAAAAGTATTTTAATTATAACTTAATAGCACTATATTTGAAAAGTACTTTACTAAAACAGATTAGGCAGAACAAACACTTTTGAGATGTTTCAAGTAATCTAAATAAACAGCATAAAACAAAGGCAATGACACAGTGAAACACTACTGGAAAGAATGTCAAAACTAGAAAATTCCAAACTAGTAATAATCATAAGCCGAAACTGTCATTTAACATGGACTAGATTGAATGCTGTCTGTCCAGGAAGCTGAAAGGTTAGCTCAGGAAATCAAAGCACAGAAGGCTTAAATCTTTTTTTTTTTTTTAATTTTTTATTTACTTCTGAGAGAGAGAGACAGAGAGTGAGAGAGAGAGAGCGCGTGTGCACACACAGGAGAGAGCAACCGTGAGCAGGGGAGGGTCAGAGAGAGGGAGACACAGAATCGGAAGCAGGCTCCAGGCTCTGAGCTAGCTGTCAGCATAGAGCCCGACGCGGGGCTTGAACCCAGGAACCGTGAGACCATGACCTGAGCCGAAGTCGGATGCTTAACTGACTGAGCCACCCAGGCGCCCCCAGAAGGCTTAAGTCTTAATCCCAAAAACTATTAATCACGGTCTTGCTAAAGCATTAGAAAGAAAAAACCTTTCCTTGTTGCCTTCCCCTCTCCCGCGCCTACTCTCTTCCGTTCTCACTCCCTGACTGCTGTGTGGCCTTGCACCTGGGAGCATACGTAACACCTGCTCAGCCCATCAGTCACTATGGAAAGGTGACTCTCTCATTTTCCACTTGCAAAGAAATTATGTGCAGAATGCCAACTCTCTCATCAAAGTAAGATTATATCCCAAACAGAAGCGAAGAGGTATAGACCCAGACAGTATTGTTCACACTGTGTATGAAAGATGGTGAAGTGGTTTTGTAGCTAATTTGTTTAGGTACAAGCAAATAACAGTTTGAAAACTCTGAGTAATGAACTTTCTGGTTAGTCAGTTTTTTCTTTGTTTGATAATTGAGGATTAATTCTTTTAAGCCTCAAACTCTGGCACAGTCTGGTCCCAGTTATGGCAGAGAGCTTGTATTGGACTAACTTTTCTGATAAAAAAAAAAAAAAAAGATAAACTCTAGACAAAATAGTGAAAACAAATGTTTGGAGAGTAACCAAAAACAGGCATAAAACAAGGACATAATCCTTCAAAGGGAGGCAAACCCGGTGAGTTTTACATTATCCCATTGCTTCCCAGTTTGTAGCAGTGCATGGTAGAGGGGTTCAAGCAAAGGGCAGAAGTCTTACTGAGCCAAGGAAACAGAATTTGAACATGCCAGAGAGGCTAGAAAGTGAAAGAGAAAGAGTCGTACAAAGGAGCCTCGAATCTATTCCAAATCCCCCTCAAATCCTTAGCTAACTCCTTAGCAGTACACGCACAACCCGAGATGCAAGAAACGCCACAGGAGGCAATAGCTCGTAGCCTCACGGTCCAAGCAGAGACTTTACACCCTGCTGCTGGGCAGAAAGTACGTGGAACTGAAGTCCTGGCCGAGGTGTACGACAAAGGTCTCATGCTCTCCACTGAAATCCTAAAAGGGCTGTGCCTTAGGTGGGGCACTGGCAAACTTGTAAAAGGTCGGACACTAAACATCTTAGGCTTTGTGAACTTAAGAGGCAAACTTGAGGACATTACACAGGCACCTATATAACCCTGAAAATAAATAACTGTTTAGAAACGCAAAGATAGTTCTTAGCGCGGGGCTGTACGGAAACAGGCAGTGCCATATTTTGCCAGCCTCTGTCTTAGGAAGAAGGACAGGCGTGTCTCAGGACCACCAGCAAGCCTGCAACAGACCCGCCCCACACATCCCAAAATGAAGCTGCCATCGGATCAAGCCAATTAAAGGTAATCAGACAACTTGGCAAGACGTAATGCAAAACTCTTTAGAGAACAGGTGCAGAGGCCACAGCGCCTGGCAGGCTGTGTAAGATTAAATGACACGCAAACAGGACAGTGTTTTTCACAATCAGGAGATGAATCAGTCAATTCACAAGAGGAAATAAAAAAAGTTAATAGAAATAGGCCCAGAAATGATCCAGATGTTATGATACTGAGCAGTTATTACAAATACTTAATATAAGGCTTAATAAAGCCAATTAAAACTCCAACAAGCATATTTAATTTATAAGAAAGGATGAACAGAGTGGGTCCAGATAGGGAGTTTCAAAAGAGAAATGGACGCTCTCTGTTAGAGCTAAGTGGAAACTCTAAAGCTGAAAAATACAGTATCTAAACAAAAAGTTCACTAGCCGGGCTTAACAGAAGACTAGATACGGCAGGAGAACCAAAGACCTTAAAGGTGGAGAAACGTAAAGCGTCCAAGTTGAAAGAGAGGTAAAAACTTTTAGAAAAAGAAAAAAACCCCACTTATCTAACATCTGTGGGGACATCTGGAATGTTCTAATATATATGTAACTGTAGTCCTAGAAAAAGAAGAAAGAGATAATGGCACAGACAATAAATTAAAAATACAATGGCCAAAACTGAACAAAGACTTCAAGTTACAGGTACGAAAAACTTAGCAAATACAAAGCAAATAAGCACAAAGAATACCATACTGAGAGACATTATTATTAAACTGCTAACACTATGGGGCGCCTGGATGGCTTAGTCGGTAAGCATCCAACTCTTGGTTTTAGCTTAGGTCCTGATCTCAGTTTCATGGCTTCAAGCCACGAACACTGCACTGGCAGTGCAGAGCCTAATTGGGATTCTTTCTCTCCCTCCTCTCTCTCTGCCCCTCTCCAACTCACGCTGTCTTTGTCTCTCTCAAAATAAATTTTAAAAATAACAAGCAAAAAAAAAACCCCCCAAAAACCAAACCTGCTAAATACCAAAGAAAAACAGAAAATCTTAAAAGCAGGCAGAGAAAAGGACACATTATGTTCAAGTCCCAGAGCCAAAATAATAGAAGCTCAAAACACAATGGAGTGTCATCTTTAAGGTACTGAAAGAAAAAAAAAAAAAAAAAACCACAACTATAAAACCAGAATTTTATATCCAGCAAAAATATCCTTAAAAAAACTGAAGGTAGGGGCGCCTGGGTGGCTTAGTCGGTTAAGCGGCCGACTTTCGCTTGGGTCATGATCTCACGGTTCGTGGGTTCGAGCCCCGCGTCGGGCTCTGTGCTGACTGCCAGCTCAGAGCCTGGAGCCTGTTTCAGTCTGTGACTCTCTCTCTCTCTGGCCATCCCCTGCTCACGCTGTCTCTCTCTCTCTCTCCTAGAAATTTAAAAAAAAAAAAANAAAAAAAAAAAAAAAAAAAAAAAAAAAAAAAAAAAAAAAAAAAAAACTGAAGGCAAAATTTTAATCAAACGAGCTGAGAATATTTTCACCAAGACTCCAAGAGGGATGTTCTCAAAAGACCTGAAGTTCTATTATATTCCAGGTAAGTGATACCAGATGCAAGGCTGAATGTGCAAGAACCAATGAATACCAAAATGGATAAGCATACAACATGATTTTTTATTCATTTTTTAAAAAGTTGCCTGGGGAGCTTAGGTGGCTCACTCAGTTAGGCCTCTGACTTCAGCTCTGATCATGATCTCACAGTCTGTGAGTTCAAGTCCCATATTGGGCTCTGTGCTGACAGCTCAGAGCCTGGAGCCTGCTTCGGATTCTGTGTCTCCCTCTCTCTCTGCCCCTCGTCCATTCATGCTCTGTCTCTCAAAAAAAAAACATTAAAAACATTAAAAAAAAAAGTTGCCTAAGTGTTTAAAGCAAAAATTAATAATAATAAAAATAATGTAGAGTGGAGTTTACATGTAATAGTAAATATAAGGCAACAGGAGAAATGCAATTGCACCACTGTGAGCATCTTACACTGTTCATGAAGTGGTATACTATTAATCTATTATTGGTAATATGAACTTATGTATAAAACAATCCCTAGAATAAAAAACTACAGAAATACAGCTATTAACCAAAGAAGAGGTAAAGATGATGAAACAGTAAAAATCACCTGATTAATCTAAAAGGCAAGAAAGAACGAAGGAGCAAAAAACAGGTGGCAAATAAAAACCAAATACCTAGATGGTAAATTCAAACTCAACCATATTAATTAATTCATTAAAACCAAATGGGCTAAACATTCTAATTAAAAGAAACTATCAAACTATTATGTGATAGAAAACAAAACAGCAGAGAAGAATCAACACATACAAAGTTGCTTTTTTTTTTTTTTTACAAATAGTTTATTGTCAAATTAGTTTCCACATAACACTCAGTGCTCATCCCCACAAGTGTCCTCCTCCATGCCCATCCCCCCTCCCCCCCACATCCATCAGTCCTCAGTTTTTGTCTGCATTCAAGAGTCTCTCATGGTTTGCCTCTCTCCCTTTCCCCCACCATTTCCGCCCTTCTTCTCCCCCTTGTTCCTCCGTCAAGTTCCTCCTAATCCTCCTATACGTGCAAACATATGATATTTGTCCTTCTCTGCCTGACTTATTTCACTCAGCATAACACCCTCAAGGTCCATCCATGTTGCTACACATGGCCAGATTTCATTGTTTCTCATTGCCATGTAGTATTCCATGGTATAGATAAACCACATCTTCTTGATCCATTCATCTGTTGATGGACACTTAGGCTCTTTCCATGTTTTAGCTATTGTGGAGAGTGCTGCTATGAACACTGGGGTACATGTGCTCCTATGCCTCAGCATTTCTGTACAAAGTTGCTTTTTTCTTAAAGAGTTTAATAGATGTGATGAACCCCTAGCAAGACTGATGAAAGAGAAAGCCAAAACAC